TTTCCTGAGATCCATCACTGCAGATCTGTTTACACAGCACGAAGACTTGTAATATTTTAAATAAGTAGTATGACCAACTGCGATGTTTGCAGACACTTTAATTGGATGCATAATATTTGACAGATCTTTAAAGGCTAATTTAATGCATTAAAAAGCATATCACAACTGAAATTTCCACATTAATAAAGACAATCTAAAGGCAAAGTACATAAAATATTGCCTCAAATACTTAAAAAATATGCATTACACTTGGCATGCTTGATGCACTTGATTATAGGTATATAACCTGTTTGATTCATTCTAGATCTCTTACAGTTTGACAATCTCAAACTAGCTGCAGAACACCCAACTAAGAAATGCTCCTCTTTCTTAACATTTTAAAATGATGCTGCACAAGAGGACAATGGTGTTCACCATGCACTTAATTCTTCATTCTTTGCAGTGTATGAAATTACTCAGCAACATGGATGTCTTTACAAGAACCAGCTAATTTCTTCCAAAGAAACTACATACTGTAGAAATACTTCTGCAGTGTGTAGCTTGAATAGGCCATACTGTGGTCCAGTATACATCTTCCTAACAGTGTATTGTGTTAGTGCATTATATTGACCACAATTATAAACATCAATGTGATAGTAACATGAACATGTTACTAACATTGATACTATTGAAATTATACTATGTGGATTGTGCCCTTCCTGAGCCATGGAAATTAATCCTAAAAAGTACTTTATCTGTGGTCAGCCCACCTCAATGCCCAAACACCTCATCATTTGTGTTCTGTCCATTATACTTAATTTACCAGTGATAGGTCTCTTCATAGCATAACAGATGCATAGATGATCAAAGTGATGTTTTACTTGAAGTTGCTCCATGACGGACAGCATATTCATTTCAGGACTTTGTGTAAATATGGAAATTTAGTTTCATCTTTATTCCACAGTTACTACAGATACGGTACTGTGCAAGTGTGCAGTGTTTCCTAGCTTCTTGTAGCATACGTGCGTTTTCAAGGAATCTTGGCATAGCAACCTCAAGCTCCCACAGAGTTCACGAAGGCCACGCTTAAAAAATTCAATTAGAAGAAAAAAAAAGCACTCCAGCCAGATAGCATATTACTAAAAAAGAACCACGCAGGAACTGAATGGGAATCATTCAGTACTATAGATGTTAATCAGAAACGATGGGGATTTGATGGAATTAAAAAAGAAATGAAAGTTTCAGCACATCTGCTTGACACAAAAAAAGTTAGCTCCTAAACAAACAAACAAAAAAACAAAAGCCAGACCTCACTAAGAATCAGAATTAGGCAAACCACATGTAAACACAGTGACCGTTTTGTGGAAAAAGACAATGATACAGGGATAAAAAAAAAACTTCATGGCATTAATGCCTTTTCACATTTTCATAATTGCTTATCAGCGGCTGGATTCATGTCTGACACTCAAGGGAGGCTACAGCCTGCAGGCAGTGGTTTAACATCCATGTTGTGTTATTTTAAATGTTAATAGGATCACCAGTTTTCACACATTACCTCTAACTGTAAACATGACAGCAAAAAACAACCAGATACGCTATTCCACAAGCCCCAGGGGCTACGCACATAACTAGAAGAGCACAACTGAGCACTTACAAAAATAGATTAGCACGCTTCCCCCCTCTTTTCTGCTTCTCTCTTCACACACCCAGCGCTTGACAAACATTTCAAAACCGGACAAGAATCAGTGCCGCGCGAAAACGACTGCCATAAAGGCCAAAAACGGAGTATTAAATTACCATAAATACATTTTAAAGAAATAAGTGCAAAACACTGGAATTAAAATTTCATGGTAAGGGCGTATAAATATTTATATCCGTTTCCGTATGTGAAGTGTAAATTAGTTTAGGAAATGAAAGCGGGCCTTTGAAAGAAACGGGGCCCGCCGGAGAGACCATCGCTGGCCCACTGCAAGACTGCCTTCCACCACGACAGGGCTCGAAAGGTGCCATTCACATACTTCTGGAAAAGCCTTCTTCACGAAACACTTAAGGGGGAAAAAACATGCTTTCCAAGAAAGTCTCCCCTCGCAGCACTAACTAGTATATGGAACAAACTGAAGGCCAACTGGAATTTCTGATGCCACTAATTATTCCAGGTGGAATGCGTCCGTATAGACACACAAGAACACCCACAAGTGACGTGCACAATATTGTCCTTCAGAAATGCCCATACTGGTTAGAGACGAGTCGATAGGTCCAAATATTCACAATATAAAATCACAGAAGCACTAGAGACTGCAGTGAACATCATTTCCACCTCTGTTAAAAACAGGACTACTGAAGGTCACAATCCTTTTAATTCTATTTTGTTTTTAAAGATGGAAAATGCTGAACACTGGAATTCACACTTGATCCTAAATTGTGTTTTTTAAGACATTTTTCAGTCTGAAACAAAAAAAACAAATCTTTATTTAAACACTCCATTAGCAGTGTTAGAAATACACATATTAAACAGCTATGTAGTACAACTCAATATTCAGGGTAACCTCTATTGATCTACAGCCATGCATTGACAAACTATGCAGAGAATCTGAGCAGTTTATCTTGAAGTCTTGAACTTTGCAGACTGTTTCTAAAATTGAAGAGGCAGCAGGGTTTTACTTGGGCTTTCTCCAAAGAATTGCTAACACTGGGGCAAAAGTCCGCAGAAAAAGACTGCACATTCTAGTCAAGACAGATGAAAGCAATTTTCAAACTGAAAACCGGACTACTCTGTTCAATGTAATCCCAAACTCCGCCAAATCAAACCTCATTAGTGGAGTTCCTGCGGCTTGTTATGTGAACCCATTTTCAATAGCCGAATTTAAATTCCCAGTTTATTGTTCTTCCCACAGGTTAAACTAGTCCTTTTTTAAATTAATTATTCTTTTATATTCCTTAATCCGACTGAGTTTTACTGCCCCAGAGTGACCAGTACTTGGTGTACTATACAAGCTTAAAGCAACTTGAGAACTAGGAACGGTAACAATAAAGATTTTGTGCAATATTTCAACGCACAATCTTCTTATTTTAACTGGACTAATATATGTCATAAAAGGACAAAAACCAAGCGGAAAAAAATGTCGCTTTGAATCCTTGCCCTAACGACGGTATACAAACGTAATTAACATGGGCGTCATTTGTACTTTCCACCTTTTCAAGAACAAATATGGAGATCTCATGAGGGAAAACAAAACGATTCCTATTTTTATAAAAAGGCGCAAGGTAGGCAGGCACACAACGAAAACGGAGTCAATTTACTTCCATTATTTAGGTCTAAGCAGACCACCGGCGGGCTCGCAGAACCGCTCAACACTGCCCTCTACCGACTCGAACGGACTCTCGTTCGACGGAATGCAACATAGATGACCCATCTATGAACTGATCGCTCTTAACTGCCATGTACATGAAACTAATAATTGAAACGGGAAGGTCTCGTGGTGTCTGGAATATGGGGGGGATTTTATTCCTCCACATCTTTATTGCTCGTAAGCACGAGACCGCCCGCTCCTTCTTCAAACGCCGCCAGCGTGAAAGAAACTTGTAGTTGCAAAAAATGTACCCAATATCCTTGCACAACACATGTCACTTTTGATTACTGCCGCATCGCTTATCGTTTCAGCTTCTCGACCAAGAATAACGTGGGCAACTGGGGCATTTTGTTCGGAGCCGGGCCGGAGCGACAGTGACGACACCTTATTTAAATAATCCCTAACCTCTCCAGCCCACCCGTCGGGCTGCTCCGCATTTAGCCTCATTACGAACCAGTCACAGCGGGCCCCGCGATGAGCGCCGTGGGGCGCGCGGTGTTTGGGGGGGACTGAGAGCCCCAGAGCTGTCAGGGGCTGATGGCGAGATGCGAGCGAGGACGGAGCAGCGAGACCTCGCTCGGGAGAAATCCGCACATCCCCAGCCTCCGCGTCTGTGCGCTTTCTAATCCCGAGCACCCTGCACTTCTGCACCCGGTAATTAAAAAAAAATGCAAAAATGAGCCATTAGAAACAAAAACAAAGACACCTAACAGCACGCCCCATACCAGAAACCAATGCTATTTTACGGCTCTGTTAGCCCAGAGTTGCTTCGTCGCTTGAAGCACGCTCCATGCACCCTCGGTATCCCTACAGAACTCTTTCAAGTATCGAAACGTTGTGCAAATAAATAAGAGATACGACAAGCTTTTACGAAATCACTCCAGGATTTCGGATTGGGCAACCAGCCCGTGCCTCGCCTGCTGCCCGAAAGAAGAGGAGATGATCAAAAAGAGTTTCCGAAATGTTCTAAGTGATAAACATGCACCGGCTCCTGCAGTCTTTCCTGCCTCTCTGATCCTCACAAGGAACGTGAGTCGCAAGTAAAAACGCAGCTGTATAATAGACCCCTCTAACTGATGCTCGAGTCTTTAACATATGTGTGCACAGCGGGTACTCTGTTTAAGTAACGCATTTTCAGCTTGAAAGGGGAAAGTTTCGAGGCTGTGGATTTCGTCTTTTCGAAAGCGGGCAAACAAAAACGTTCTGTGGCTTTTTTTTGGGGGTTTTTTACCAAAAAAAGACAAGCGGGTATTCTCCACAGTCGCTTTGAAGCATCAAATCTTCTCAGCGGCAATATCTCGTAAGGAACCCCTAAATAACGCACTTCACTGCAAAACTTAATTTGAACCGCATAGCAAGTCACCGAAATACGCTGATATAGCGACAACTGTAATTATGAACTATTAGTCACACGCAGCGATGCCGTTCTGTTCTCAATGCTTTGTTCATAATCGACTGTAATCGAGTAATTCTGATATCACTCCCTTTTAGAACACAGCAATTCTCCTTCAGGAGAACCGAATCCAGTCTACTCCCAACCCGAGTTTTCTGCTAAAAACAAAAAAAGTTCCCCGAAGACCCTTTTAAACTTTTCCCGACAGCGTCGATTAAACCGACTCCGCCACCCCCCCCAAAAAAAAAAAATAAAACACCCCAAAACAAAACCATTACCTGGTCCCGTTAATGAAGCATGGGTTCTTCCCAACCGGACCGGCTAACACGCGAGCGACGAGCCCAGTCCACGGCACCTAGTCCTCCACCTCTGTGACTGCGTATCCACTTGTGGGCTATCCTCGCCTCTCAGCGACTTTCGGCAGCTATTCCCTCTCACTCCGAGAGCTCCAGCTACTTACTATAAGGGTAATTGCCACTGACGCAGGAATAGGGGGAGTGGGAAAGTCAAAACTTGGGAAAGGACAGTGAGCAGACGGCACGCAGCGCCGCGATCACGCCGGACGGAGCTCTTATTAAACTGTTGTCAGCAGTGGGTGAATGGGAACATTATTTAAGGGACGGTTCAGCGTTTTGCACTACGGAGAGGGTGGCACCGCACCCCCACACGCTCCTGGGGAAGTGCCCGTGTTCTCGCTTCTGAGGACAAACGAGGTACCCCCAAATAAGTGGTTAACCGTTTCTGAGCGCCTCGTTATCGGAAGCCTAGCAGATCGTTTCGAAGAAATCAGACGCGTCGTGTTCTTAATTGAAAAGGGCGGGCGGCGTCCTAAATCTTGTCTTCATCTATCCTGAAGAGTAAAAGTGGTTGATTTGTTCCGGGAAAGCTGCAAAGTGATGCGGTCACAGTGACAGCTTTAATAGATCGGGATTTGGTAGAATCGGGATTAGGTGTGTGTTTTTTTTTTTTCTCTAAATGGGAATTATTTTTAAAGCATGCATTACGACATCTACGAACAATAAAAGTAACGGAGATTTGTTCAAGAGTTATACCAATTTAAAATTTTGCGGTCCCGTTTTGATCCATTGTGCTCAAGCGGGAGCATCGTTTATTCCTGAATTTATTACATATTGAGCCGCTTTGCACCTTGCAAAATTGCACGATGCGCTTAGCTAAGATCCAAACCCCTTCTTTTCATAACTGAATACGTCAGATTCGTCTTTATTTACATACAGATAACCTTTTTGAATATAAAACGACATTAAAATTCGGTTCTATGTTACACTTGTTTGAACTGTTACCTACGTAGATTGATAAGGAACAAGTAATAGGTTTATTCCATGCTGAAAAAAAGAAGAAAGAGAACACAACGTTTCGGCCGTGGAGCCTTCTTCAGGTGTGAGCGCGTAGATTGATGTTCGATTAATGTATACTGTAAAATGTTTATTACTTTGTTACGGTACACTGGAAGCTCTGTTTCGAAATCACAGATGTAAGATAAACCGTTTAAATGCATGTACATTATTCAAACCTAGTCCTTGTCCTCAAAGCACCTCTTTTGCTGCCTGCGCTCAGTGATTTTTCGCACTTTCCAAATGCAGCTCAGGCTTATGGCTGGATTGATAAGGAGTGTCACCTCTTAGTATGCGCCCCCTCGGCTCAGGCAGAGAGCTGACGCATTGATGGGCTGCCCTCGGCTCGAGGTCTACCTGCGCCGCCCTCACCTGTGATCCAAGCCCCATGTCCCCGGGCCAGGCGGGGGCACCACACGTCTGACGGAGCCGTTTCGAGAGACAGCCAGAAATGTCTGTAGGTGGCATGAATGTGATTTTATCAGTTTTGGCAGCAGTGCGATTCATCGGCATGCCAATAAGGGTCGTTTAAGTTGAACCGACTTGAGTTCACGGCGCCAACAAAAGCGGTGAGCAGCACGGAGTGCGCCCTGTACCGCAGGAGCACTGCTCTCCCGGCTGGCCCGGGTCGCGATCAAAGAACAGCCCTGAACGCTGAACTGGAGTTATTCCCCTCGGCCCATCAGAGACCATTAATGGACCTGTACCATCCAGCTTGCCCATGAACCACTCTTACAAAGGGCATTTTCACTTCTTTGCATGTTCAGTTATAGCATCACTTTTAAAGAGCGTGTTTCTCCTAATCTTGAGGGTGTTTTAAAAGAACTAAGCATTATCTACTGTTATTCTTATTATCAAATAAGCGGATCGGCAACACGACTACACATGCGAAATTTAAACCGTAAAACATAAATCCTCTGGTTTTCGGTATAAACCCCATCTCTCCTTCTACATAGCCATTTGAAAGATAATGCACTTCGTTGTATGGGTCGCTCTCCTTTCCCCGGATTCACCAGATATCAAGACTAGGGTCTCTGTGTAACCTAATCACAACATCTCGCTTCTACTCCTAACGCGTAAATTCCGAATTTGGGATTCGCAGGTGCTGTTGGACTTCCACCCAGTTGCCTCCTAGACCACACAGATGTGCGGGAGTTGTAGTTCTCCGATCTGTATCTCATCGTCATGGTGCACTAGCATGGACGCTGGAGTGGACTGCATTTCCCACAAAGCAGTGGGCTTCACGGGGGCGGCCGCTTTCTGACGGATTGCGCTTGCGTATCCCGACGTGGCAGCAGCATCATGGCTACTTGGAATCTCTGCGGGAGTGGGATGAGAGGCGTGAAAATGTGCATGTTCGTGTACTTGGTAAGTTTTGTTCTATTTTGGTGCGTGAAGACATTTTGTGTCAGGCACACCTCGGCTTTTGTATTTACAATAATGCTCGGCGAGCAGGACTGAAGATTGGTTGCGTTGGACCCTATCACTATGACAGTAACGCGCAGTAACGGAGTCAGGAACTGAAAGTCAATTTATTTCCGAAATGTACCGCTTCTTGCGTAGCTGCCAAGAGCCAAGCAAAGACCGCTTACAATATGCGTCTGTGACCCGTCTGTTTATTACTTCGGCCGTTGCAAGGGATCACAGAAAGTGACATTCCTAATTGTTGTTAAAGAGTGGTGAGTTTTTTATGAATGAAATGCCCCTTTTAATAAACACAGAGCTTGTCTTCTTTACGTCTCGGCCCGTTATTCGCTAAGAGAACAGTATCGTACTTTAATGCCGCGACAGTCCGTAAACTACTACAAACCGTTCCGTCAAAATAAAAATGGCAATACACTACTTTTTTTAAAAAATATATATAAATGGCAGTTAATTGGCAAAGTCCAGTTCCTGTCAGCGCCCCTAGGGCGAGGTGAGTTTTTGCTTGTCGGTTAAGAAGAACGAGTGGACGGACTCATCTCGGTCCTCTCGGGATAGATACAATCACAGCTGGCTCTCCTCAAGATCTCCGCTCTGACCTTTTGTGCAGACGTGCTCCCCTGCTAACTGTCACACTGCTAACTTCGTGACTCTCCACGATCACTCGTCCGCTGTGCAGCTGTGTGTGTGCATGGGGATAGTGCTCGTAAAAAATCGCACTGCTAAAAACGGAAAACTATTATCTGATTCCAGTGATGGTATATCCTTTTTCACTGGACGCATGAAATTCCTATTTTGGAAGTCTTTGTTTTCGGCTCTTAGACCTGAGCAGCATATTTGATTCACAGTGTACAGTACTTAATTTAATTTACAGCTTTTATTTAAAATATGCATGTCACGACTTGCATACTCCACTGTCGTTTTAAGTTATAGCTCTCCTTTCCACCTGCTCCCCAGGGTGCCTGCCTACCTAGCTGTTTGATATCCTGTTTCTAATCGCAAAAGCAAATAAAGGAGGTTTTTTTTTGTCAATAGATGTCCGTACAACCAACATAGTTTGCGAAGTGGTTTCGTAGGCACAGCGGAGTTGCTTGTCAAAGCGCTTAAGAAAGTTATCAAGCCCTAAATTTCTTAACCTGGATTAATAATCTTATTTTTCATATACTGTAGTTGTATCTGTGTTTAACTATTCAGTGGATTCGACATCCACATTAACGCATTAAACATACAGCTACTAGAATTTATGAGACCTAAAAGGGACAATTGTTTCAGTTAAGCAATAAAATTTACCTCGGTGCAATCAATTACTAATACACGGTTTTACTAGACGTCTGTGCCGTCAGCAATTCGACCAGCGCTGAGCTCATAATCTTCGGAGAACATGACTACATCAGCTATCGTAATTGGAGTCAGGATTTTTCTAGTGTCTGGTCTGTAAATCTAAAGAAATAAAGCGCTCTGACAAAAGCACTTGCTTTTGCTTCACGCTGATTTAGGGATACCCTTGAAAAAACTAGTGTTACACTCCGACCACAATAAATTCCTGTACTTAAGGCAGACAGTAGTTGAATTAAAAGTTTTTTTCAATTGCCTGCTCAGTTTTTGAGTCAAACAAGAAGGTAGCAGTGAAAGTCTTTGCCAAAACAAAATTCCTGGCTGGAAAAATAAATCATTGTCATTTTTTATCAAGCAATGACAATTATTAAACAATACACAAGGAATACATTCTGTATATTACAGTCTGTAATAAATAGGACTAGATTTATGCACCATTACACTAGACCTAGAGCTGGTCAATTGAATACCTGAGCAACATTATGCATTTTTGAGAATGGGGGAGAGAATGATTTACACTTGTGGACATTTTACCTTTAGACTTCTCATGAGGTATGTGGGATGGAACAGACAGCAGGTGTTGTTGACAGATTGATAGGTGAGGGAAACCATACCTTATGAAGCCAAACATCACTGGGGTCAAGACTGCTGGTAGGCGAGTGGTGTTCTTGCATAGCTTCCTGATCTCAGGTGAAGCTCATCACAGAGAGCCGCTGTTTGGTATGAAGATCGACTGGAGAAACAAACAAGAGCCCGGGCAGCTGTCCTCAGAGCTGTGATCTTGCCAATGCAAAATGAAGGACCCGTTAGTCATTTCCTGCCGTCTGCTTCCTGGGGATGTAAAATGGCATAGGAACACAAGGAGGTACGATTTTAAGAACTGGGAATAATAATAACAACAAGGTCTCCTTGTGTTTTTGGTGGCTACCGGGACTATGCATCCAGTGATGTCACTGAACAGTCAGGAGTACAGACCAAAAAATATTGAATAGCTTTGTCAATACAGGTTAACTGCATCTGGTAAGATACATTTTTAATACTGTATTTTTTAACATTGTTAATGAGTCCCAAAATAAAAGTTGCTTGAAAATTCAGGTTATTGTGACTAGGACCCCCTTTTAAATGCATTTAGTATCTGAGTGTCTAAAGAAAGAAGCAAGTCTTAGTAGTCTTGGAGAGAGCAGATTATGAGGGGACCTGATACAAGTCCTCGTGGGCAATTACAAATTCATCCCAGTGGATGTTTTCAGATTAAATAGTAAAAACACGAACCAGAGGACATAAGTGGAAGCCATGGAACTGCGTTGATAACTGACAAGAGGAGGCATTGCTTTACACAAAGTGTTGTTGGGGTAGGGAGCAAGCTGCCCCGCCATGTTGCTGAAGCCAGTGCCCTGGCTTCTTTCAGAAAATGGCTGGGCAAGATGTTTGGATAAATTAGCTACTAACATTAAATGTGGCAGGTGAGTCTAATGGCCTCTTCTCTCTTCTAATCTGTTTTATGTCATTAAATAGCCACATCTGAGTTTTCTGCTACCATTCCTTTCCTGTATAGCTGTTAGTCTTCCTCTCGGCAGAGGGTTCTGGTTGTTCTGTGCATATTTAATTTGGGGTGGAGTGTGCCTATTCCTGAATAAAACAGTAAGTACCTGCACTCCTATTCAGTGGTTTGAAAGGACACTGATGTTTTCAATAGCTTTTAATTAAAACAATAACTGTTTATATTGTGAACATGGTCCTTTCAGTGCTGTTGTACTTCAATTGAATGCTGTTGATGGGAGAGCTACATGTAAACAACTAAAATGTCTGAATTCCAATGATCCTGTGGCTTTTATATGGTCATAACATTTCTCTCTGAAAGATTTATTAGTTCCCTGCTGGAGAATAGACATTTTGAAACATTCCTGGCATTCAGTTCTCATTTTCCTGCATCCTTTTCTTCATGTGTGACAACTCGCAAAATGCAGCAGTATGTTTCCTCTCAGGAGTCCAAATGAACTTTGAGTGCACAATCAATAGGAGGACATTTTCATGCACATTTGACTCGTGAGGTTGTGAGCTGGCATTGACTTTGAGCAAACGCCAAACAGCCATGCTATTGTTAACTGAAAGGTAGATCTTACAGAGTGGAGTGTTTCAGTTTAAGTGTCATCTTTTTTCAAAATGCATCAAACTATAAGGATCTGTAATGGAGACAGAAGACTGTTTAGTGTGTCTTGAAATTCTTTATAGTCTATTCTTCTCTTGCTATTAGTTTTTTTTCTTGCAAATAATGTGAGGTTCTCGGAAGAATAGAATGCGTTGTACATAGTTGTAGACAACAGTGCCTTTTTAATGATTACTGGTGCCATTTTTTTCTTTTTTAAAAAGGAAACACTAAAACATTTCTCCTCCTTTTTTCTCACCAGCATTTATCCCCAAACTCTTGAATACCGTTGGAATGGCTCATTATCTCAATGTTGTGATTGATTATTGTTCTTTTAACCTCTATATAAATATATAGTTCTTGCATGTACTGCTTTTGGAGAAGGGATATCAATACTTTCAGGAACTTCACATGAACAGGGATACAAAAAAAATCAATTTCCTGGAAAGCAACAGAAACCCAAGTGTTCGACCTTCTGAGAGAATTGCTTTATTAAATGTCTAGAGGGAAACTGGGGAAAACTCCCTTTGAGCTGCTTTACAGACAACAAAATATTTTTGTTCTTTTGTCAGAAGCACTGTGGGATATGAAGAAGTGTGTTTATTTAGGATACTGGATTATGGTATGCCTTACATTATTAGCTACCAGAAGTACTCTTGTTATTCAATTCATACAAGTTGAAAATCCAGTTAATTTAAATTTACATTATCATAAGACTTCTTTAATGAGTCAGTGTTGAGTCTGTGGTCTTTAATTACCTACTGACACATCAATGCAGACAGGCAGGGTTAGAACAGGCTGGATAGAGGATACCTAATAATTTAATCAACACATTTGATGAGGCAGATATTAAAAAAAAAAGAAAATTGGATTTCCATATTACTGAAAGAGATTATTATTAATTTAAGAAGGAAAAGGGCATTTTGCTGCATATCATTTTTAGATGTTAATTTGATGGACTAAATTTTTAAAAAATACTGTCAGTTTAATGCAACCTGTTCTACGAGATCTGTCAAATGTGTTTTGTGTGACATGTATCTAGCTGTGACTGTAATAATTTTATGTAATAAAAATAATTTGCTGTTTTGTTTCCTTTTTAGATGACTAAAAGTAAAGACAAATCTTACCAATCAAAATAAAAGAAAGTTTTTATTATAAAATATGTAAAAAAGCCTAACCAATACTGAGTAACCAGGAAATGGAAGCATGTTATCTACAGAATATTTCAGCCTTGAGCAAAAAATGACCTTGCTTGAATGCAAAATGTATATATTTGATATAAAAAAGGTGTGTCCTTGCTTTTCAGTATGGCGATTGTTTAATCATTTCATCGGCAGGGCTTTGTCATAATTTCACGAGCTATAGAACATTTTGGTTGAACTAGTCTCTGTAAATAATCCTGGCTTTTGCAGAAGGCCTGAGGACCAGGTAAGTTTCTACTTTGTAACATGCAGCCTGATTTTCTGTTTTGTTTGCCCAACGTTTCACAAGATAAAAGACCTTAATCTTTGCTCAGCTGCTCTACAGACTTGCGTCCAGTTTGGACTCATCTTTACAAACGGCTCTGTGGTGTGACAGAGATAAATACTGAAGAAGTGGCCTGGAGACACCACCTGCCAGGGCTGTTTCATTGCTTTCGGTTCGGGGTGACAAGCTCTTAATGCACTTCTTATCTTGGGATACTCTATTGTCTCCGTTTTGTTCAATTTTTTCCCTTTTCTTTCTGGTTGAAAGCAAATTGGTGTTCGGCTCCAGTGGAAAACGCCGCTCTTTAGGCACCCTCAGACTTTTTTTTCAGAGATCCAGTCTTCTTGAACACAGAACAATCACGTTGGGGAACCAAAAGCCCCCGACAAGATGAAGTTAATGAAGCGGTGTTCTCTTGTTTCCTTCACAGAGTATCCTTCCAGCTTTGCTGCAGGCAGCTAAAGTTTCCCCACTTATAGAGAAAGTCAGTGACCATAAGGACTTCAAAAAACTCCTCAGAACAAGAACCAATGTCCTCATCCTGTACACCAATTCAGGTCAGTGTGTTTGCAGTCTGTCTTCAACGGTGCTGCTCTTTGACCCCTGTAGTCCCTAAACTTCAAGCACCGTTTGCCTGCTCTGGATTACAGTCGACTCCAGTTCTGCCTGAGGACCCCAGATCTTGATAAAGACTGAAATCCCACTACACAGGCAAAAGCATGTTAATTAAAAAAAATGCCTTTAGGTTTCTCTGCTATTTTACCCATGTTTGGGTTTAGCAGTTGCTTTTCATCCTGACATACAGCAGGGGTTGAGAGTTGCACCCTTTGAAATGTGTTGATGGGCTGCTCGATTGCTTCCACTCTTTGGTCACCGGACGGGCGTAGGTGAAACTAGGGGTGCCTGCCCAGGAGAAACATGCCCCCACTGGCTCTGTCCCAATCCTTGCAACAGTAACTATCCCAGACAGGTGCTTTGCTCTGTGAGCCTGTCAGAAATAATTGTGAAAGTCATAGAGATGGGCATGAGGTTGCCTGATGAGGCGGAGAATATTTGGGAGGTTATATGGGTACTGAAGATATGCTTAACAAAATCTCAGTACATATGATATTTGAGGTATCTGTTGACATTGGACTGTACTTGCACATTCTACTGCTCGAGAGAGATGAGAGGGTCATGCTGGTGCTCTGCTTTTCAGGGCCTGGAATTGGGACACAAGTGACAAATGGGAATACTTTGTGCTAAATCACCACGGTTTACTACCATAGTTCATAGAATATGTATCATTCCTCACCCTAAATGCATTAAACATTTCCCAGCTTTTCATGATTCATAACCCAGATTGGCTCAGTATAAAACATTTTTACATTTATTTTCTCATTTGTCCTTACATTGTTAATAAATGTTGCAACAAAGGTATGATTTAGGAGTCAATTTAAAATATAATTCGAAAGAATGAAAGGTGGACCAGCACCGTCCTAAACCTCTACTAAATGATCATTCAGATTGTTTGCCAAGAACTTAGATGTTTTCTGTATTCTCTTCACCTTCAAATGAACAGGCTTTGCTTTGCTTTCACTGCTCTCTCTGCCTCGGACAAAACGATGCTGCTTTGGATAGTTCACTACGTTTCTGAGAAATGAAGGCAAAAAAATCCATAAAAATGTAAAATGTCTGCAAGATCATTAGGAAAATAAGTTCTGGTTTAAAAATGGTTAGATTTGCATCTTTTTGTGGGTGATTGAACTGTAACCATCATGCAAACTACATGGTTTATGTGATATTTTGCATAAAGCGGTTTACCATTCAACAAGAAAAATTCTTCATGGGTCTCTGCACATTGAATTTTGTTTTATAATTCCTAATGTGTTTATGTTTGCATGAGCTCAGTGGATAAGATAAAACACCCGGTTTTGACTGATTGCAGATTTACCCATCTGTGCCTTTCTAGTCTTGCAAGCGTGCCGTCTTTTGTGTTTATTTTGCTGCCTGTTGATTTAATTTCCCATCTAGTTTTCTTAACTGCTTCACTTTCCTCTCATAAGTATCGCTGTTGGCCTTGTGGAAGTGCTGGCAAGCACACCCTCAGAAGAAACCTAAAACATGTTTTCCATTAAATTTGTCTTTTGAAATGCTTGAAAAAAGCATCCACTGTCCAGCTCTTGTCACTGAGCAGGACAAAAAAAAAAGATGAGAATTCCCTTTGCATATTCCATAATTCGAGCCAGTTCCTTGTGAATGCTTGGCTGGCCTGGCGGAGAAACTCAGGCCTTCAAGTGGGTCATACGTTCTAGTCCCAACCTGGAAGAGGTCGGGATCTCTCAGAGTTGATCCTGAGGTGAATATAGGAATGCATTCGAGTAAAGACAAAAACAGCTGAATCTGAAATACATATTCAGCTCTGGTTTATTTCACCAAAACATGTAGTCCCCCTTCTCTTGCGTGCAGAACAGACGTAGTCCTGTTCTTGCAGTGTTGTAATATAACTGCCAGCCATACTTCCTGCTTCTTGTGTATTAATGTTCTTAACACTGGTAAGCAAATAAAGCACTGAACAATGTGTTTGACAATGCACTTATGTTTATTAGTTACCTTTTTCGGTGCAAGTTTAGTTTTCAGTTTCCAGTGCGGTCGTTCTAGACCTCCACAAATTATAAAAGGTCACAATGAAAGTTTAGCTATTTTTTAGAAGCTTCCATTCCACTAGAATATGTTTGGTTTGATACAAAACAGTTGCCTCTTTCCATTATTTATTTGTTAAAATAGGAAACTTACACTATTGAGTTCAGCTTGAATTGTGTGTTTGCTACACTCTCCTTGTTGTAACCCAATGGTAGATATTAAAGCCTTTCACCCATTTCGGTAACTAAAACATTATATTTAAAATTTCCAAAATGGACTAATATTTCGTTCTTAGTCTTTAATAATTGAATAAGCAAGTCCCTATTTTCAGCTTGAATCCTAAAGCAGCCGTTTTGAACTTGTCATATGCAAGACGTGCTTAATTTTGCCTTGCATGTTCAAGTACGCTCAGCTCAGGCTGTGTCTGAATTTGTTAGTAAGCGGGCATCTTCTCTCCTGCCAATCTTCACATCTCTAGGAAGTACAGTACTCTCGGGTAAGTGAAGGTTTGTAACTGTGTGCTTGTTGTTCTTTTTTCCATAGCATCCTCTGGTGAAAGTCAGCTGAAGCTATTGTCTAATGTGGCGCAAGCTGTGAAAGGCGAGGGTACCATCGCTTGGGTGAATTGTGGGTAAGTCCAGTCTAAGTAGCATTATGTTCTCAGAGTGTATAGGACTTATTTATCCTTTAACTACAGTTAACATGGCTTCTAACATCAGCTTTGCAAAGTCAGTGACTTCAGTGTTGTTGACGTGCTGAAATCAACGTTTTGATGGTAGTTGGAAACCTTTGTGTTACCTTTGACCTGGTTTTAAATTTTAAAATGCGTTAGGAATGTCATAACAGTAAACTTTCACCTGTGTAGTATTGATTGGTTAAGACCATTGGTCTGCTTGTTCATTGCTCTGACCTGAAATATTATTTCATCAAGGTAGATTACTAACACCTTACCTATTGGGTTATCTTTAAAGGCTCTTTATCACGTCCAGGTTTCTGCAGCTCAGGTGCTAACAAAAATTACCCTGCATCAGCCCATAACTCTCACATCCTCTGTAAATCGCACTTTAAGTCCATGAAGTTCAGAGTGGGATTTAAAACCCTCTAGCTCACATGTAAGACACTGAATGGTCTTGCTCCAGGTTACGTTGAGAAATTCTGCATTGTTATAGATGAGGTCTCAGTCTGAGATCTTTGTACTCAGCTGAAGACAAGGTTCAACACAGTGGGTGACAGAGCAGGACCACATCTGAATAGCTCACGGCCAAATTAAAGATACTTCGACAGCTGAGATTTTAAAATCTCACTTAAAGACTTATCTTTTCACTAAAGCTATTAATGTGTCATTTAGTTTCGCTCTTGGTTTCACAAGGTCACTTTGCTGGGCTTTTATTCCCCTCTACTTTTACATCAGGGGCATATTACTGGGAGCTGTTATACAGTGCTCTGAGCTTCTTGAAAAGCACTGATAAATAAACTCGCGTAATTGGAATATCCATGTGCTTTTTAAGTACTTCATTTTTTGTGCGTTAACAATCATCTCATCCGATTAAAAAACGGATGCATTTTTATCTGTGAAGAAGTAGTGACATGTTCAGTCCTCTGGGAACCGTGTCCTGTGATTTTTAGAAGTACTGCTCTTTTCAAACAAAGACCTAAAAAATAGGTGGTCTGGTTTCTTTTACAAAATGTGTTAAATTAAGTTACTAAGGTCCGAGGTGGGATGAAAAACCAGAGGAGTCTTGTCACCCATCCAGAGTGCAGGATTGTCTGGTGCTCTGTACTTCTGCCTGGAAGGTCCTGGGTTCAAATCCCTTTGAGCACAGATGACATCCAGCTGTATAAATGAGTGTGTATGTTAGTTGCTTTGGATAAAACGTATCCACTTAACTTTAAAGTGTTAGTATTATTAAATTACATCGTTACTTGAAAACATCATTATATGATGCATTAATTACTGCACTTTCAGGTACACTATATACTGTATATATCAATGCGGTATCTCAGGTCCTGGTCAGATCTGCGCTGGTTTATTCCTCTGTTCCACCCAGTCTGTGCAGTGAACACAAGTTCTCTGTGAGGCTGTCCGTGGGTCGTAAAGGCTTAACAAACCATGATTTTCTCATCTGGAGTCTCCTTGCGAACGACTGCCGTGGCAGATAAGTGAAAAATCTGTGTTTCATATTTCGTATGCTAAGTGTTTTTGTACAATCATGGGCTGAGTCATTGTGAGATGCTCCCAAGGTTTCGGGAGGGGAGTCTGTGCTCTGTCGTCCCTATCTCGGAGATGCCCTTGGGGACGAACTGTCAAATTTGGAAAGATGCATGTGTGTGAAACCGATTCACTGGGATCAGGCCGCTGCGCTCTGCTGCTGTGTGAAGATGGAAAGCAAGGCAGGAGAGTTCCCAGTGCGGTTCTTTTCCGTTCCTCTGTCTTTCTCACCGGGCCGCCCCCTCGCCCATCTCCTGTCCACTGCCCCCCTCATACTCACAGTTATCTTACTCTTTTTAATTCTTATTCTTAATCTGTGATAGTCGATTAGGTGCCAGGAAAAATATTAACCAGGAGGTCATATTATTAACACGTATAAAGCAAGAAATAATGATTATACTGTGATGATAAAATATATTTAATAAAACGGGCTATGCAGTCAGCAGATTCTATTTTACAAACCACGACAGACATTACTCTTGTAGTGTTAAGTGGAATAGAATCCTTATTTTTGCCTGTTAGCTACACTCCTGGTGAGCTTGTATATAACATGCTGACGTTACAAGATATTCCCTTGCCTCAAAGTGAATTTCCTTGACATTTGCTCTATTTATTGAAGAAGTTCAAGTGGGGAACTTTATTTATTGTTTTTGCTCTATTTGTTACTTTTAAGACCGCCTATGTCTATACTCTGACTGCGAAATTTTGCTGGCAGTTCTTTTGTCCGGCATGGATATAGGTTGGCATCATGGAACAGTTGCCAAGAGAAAGAAACTCGGAAACTTATCACACAGGAATTGGAATGTTAAGACTGCTGTTCTTAGTCATCTAGACTCTGATGTATTTGATGTATTTAACAATATCTGATGTACAGATGACACAAACAACTGAGCATCCAGCACTCTTATTAGCTGCAGGAGTAGATCACAAGGATTTAGACCAGATCCACTCCTAGACAGGGTGACGGATATCTAAAGTAAATGTAATGTTCTGTAATATCGGTGTGTATTGTAAACACCATTTTGAGCAGTCAGTGACACAGGGAAATCTGTGAGATGGTCCTTGTTTTTTGTACTGATTATTGTGTTGTTAGCGTTGTTATGGTCCTGACAGTGCAAGACGGTAACGTTCGCTCTCTTAAATACACAGAGAAACCAACCAAGGCTGGAACAAAACCAAAATTAGGGCCTCTGAAGTACCAAGCTGATATATCATTAGTAAGAGTCATGAACCATGACCGCTCTGAGTTTCCGTATCTGTGCAGTCTTGTAAAGTATTCTCTGGTATCAGGAGTGGGTTTCTGCTACTCCAGCCCAACAACAGCAGCAGCCAGCCTGGAATTAGACCAGTTAACTTCATGAAACTGTGAAGAGAGTGTAAGAGACCCAAGTGTTTTAATCTCTCTGCGTATTCTTCATTTTAAGATATCAGTATGAAGCAAATAATATTATAGATTCACGTAAAACTGTATTAATTTCAGGATTTGACACAACAACATGCAAGGACAAAGACAGCTCTTTATGTTCAACATCCGCCTGTGTGAAAAGCTGTGCTAGAGAGAAGCTAGTGCAGTAGGGTTTTTTAGTAAATGAGACTAATGGGCTAGCTAGCCAAAAACTGTTTCATAATGACATTGTAAAAACTGGTTTAATGTGTTAATAAACTTATGCTTAGCTTGCTTATGACTCTTTTGTAAGCAAAACAATTCGGCGACTGACCTAGGGCCATAATGTCTCAGGATACCTAAATCATGCTTAAACACAGTTACAACTCGGAGACCTGTATCTTTAAAAATATATTTTGTGAGTCATTTAATTGAAGCCTTGACAAAAGAAGTTTTTGTCAGAGAGAGAGGTAGTTAAAGGGACTATGAAGCCCTAGATGCAGAAATATATATATTACTTCATTGTCATCCCACGGATGTACACAACCCAATCATCCATCCATCCGTTTTCAGTCAAGTCTTTGTTCAAGACGGGGGTGTGGAGAGCTGGGGGGTAACTTGGCAGACAGTAGACACGGCAGGATGAACCAGTCCACTGCAGGGCTGCACACACACACACACACACACACACACACACACACAGGATTTACAAGGGGCACAATTTAGAGATGCCAGTTAACCCCGACTGCATATCTTCGAACTGGGGAAGATTCGGGAGCGGCTGGCACTAGTCCACTTAGCCGGGGAGGGAACTTACCAATGCGACACAGTGGACATCCCAGTCTGGGATTGAACCCTGAACCCAAGAGCTGTGAGGCAGCAGTGCTAACTGCCATGCTACCGTGCTGTCCTGAAACCAGCTAATGGGTGTATGGTCTTTTCTAATGTTTCTAATTCTCTCAGTATTATGGGTGTATTTGTGCACAAAATACCAATGGGTTACATGGTATTGTAGACAACTCACAAATTTTCCATAGATAACTATGTCTGTAAAAAAACTGCAGTGTCAGAAAAGAAATTGGCTCATTTTTTTCTTGAGGACAGAAGGAGTATTTAACTTGTGAGATGGAATTCAGTGCAGTAATTGAATTCTGTCTTCCTGAATTTTCCATTAACACTGGGCTTAGCCTTCTGCTGAATAATTTTTACCCTATTTTTCTTTATATTGTGAATTTCCATGCTCATTAACACTTGAGGAATGGAGAGTTATAACTACCTCCGCTGCTGGCGGTGTTTGTAGTGTGACTTCCGTGCGGAATGTGTTCTCTAATTAAAGAATCTATCCTCCGAGACTAGGTGGCTGTTGTCATCACAGAATTGCTCAGCAGTGGGCTGCTTTATTGTATTAGCAGTTCACTATGCTTGGTGACTTCCTCCTTTCAGATTGAGCAGTAGTGTGTTTAGTAACCCTTCATGTGCCAGTGGCTTCAAGGCCCTCTGAAAGGTTTGGAAATAAACTTCCAAACCTTTATTTTCTTTTAATCACTGAAATCCAAATCGCTACAGACGGGTACGAGCACTGCCGTCTATGAATTTAGTTTGCGATTGATATTTATCCTATTTTAACTCTAGATTCGTCTCAGGCGTCAAGCTTTAGATGTATTAAGAATCTGATGCGTTTCAGATGCAAAGTGTTATTTCGGTGCAGAAGTCTGCTGAACAGGAAGGGGGAAAACTCTTTCAGTTGCTGAATGTTAATGAGCATTGGAGTGGATTTTGTTTAGGAAAACATTTGCACATACTGTAGAATGGTGTCTCACTGCTTACAGATGGCATGGCTGTGAAAGGCATTTTTGTAAAGCAAAGTTAATTGACGCAGAGAATTATTGGAAACAATGATGAGGATGCTGTTTCCCAAAACATACATGTTGGAGGCAAGGTTTTCTTTTCCCTGTGGTGCTTCAGTTTCATGTTCAGCTCCGGGAAGCTCTGACACGGTCATATTGTGACACAAGCACTCATGACGTGCTCTCTACAGCCATGTTTTGCTAAATGGGTTGGGTTTCTAACAATGGCCTTTTCTGGTTGGTGTCATACGTCTGGCCACTCTTTAATCTGATATGCATCTTGTCTCGGCCAAGTGGGAGTCCTTCGGGTTTCCTGGCTGTCATCAGTGCTCAACTGGAGATGCCTGCCGCATGCGCTGGTTACAGCCGTCACCTGTCGTAATAAACACTGTAACAGCTGGAATATTATTTGCTGCTTTTTATTTGTTTGCTTCCAGCCTTTCATGATGGACTCCTGTTTACAACAGCTGGTTTTGCCTTTGCAGGGACTCTGAAAGTAGAAAGCTGTGCAAGAAAATGAAAGTTGACCCCAGTTCAAAGAGGAGTGGAGCTGAAATGATACACTACAAGTAAGTTTGTCATTTAAATCACCGATATGTTATTATGCTCTTAAAGCAAAACACCTCGGTTCCTGTCATTCTGTTCTGTGTGAAAACTAATTCACTGGCTCACTTATCATTCTTACAAAGAAATCCCAATTTTTGTTCTGTCTCGTAAACTAAACAAATTTTATTAAAATAAAAAAATGAATGATAAATTAATAAAAAGCAACCTTAATGTGTTGATTTTTATGTTGAAGGGATGGAACCTTTCATACGGAGTACAACAGACCTGAGACATTTAAGGTAATTTCCCTAGATTTCTAATTATTAACTCATGATTGTGGAGAGATTTTAGGAAGATTCCGTTTCTGTCCTTTCCATATTTTATTGCATTCCTTTCTCTGTGGTTATGTCTAAATTGTTTTTCCAGAACCATTTTGGCATTCAAAATACAGGAGCTCATTGTCTCAGAGATGGATTTATCTGCATCTGAACCATTTTGTTCTTCAGCATCAGTACAGAATCTGTATTGCCTTTCACATTCATCCGTATCCCATGTGATCACACAGAAAAATAACAATACTGAAATTATCAAGTCTGCTTTGCTCCCAGAGTGTCAGCACAGTGCAGGTACATGTATTTTTAGGTACCTTCAAGGTATAATGTGGTTGTGCCAGTGATGCTGTTTGTTTAAAGACCTTTTTTTCTGAAAGCAGATGCTATCTTTAATGGAACTGTTGTGGTAATAAGTTCATTTAATATATTACATGTAATTTTCATTTATTTTGATCAGTCTGTAAACCAACAATTTAATCGGTAGGTAAAAATGTATTAGTCTTTTGTCACTGAAAGTGAATTTGTCTTGTCCTTTTAGAAAATTGTATACTCCCCTCTGTTTGGCTGTTTTTTTTACCACTGTAGTATGTTGCTAAACAGCAGTTGAGCCGAGTTGGATTGAAGTGAGAAAATAACTGTGGATGTCTGTCTCCATTGAACCATTGTGAAGAAGCTAATTAGTGCTTAGATTCTGAGAGGAAACAGTAAGTGGTTTAGAAAATGGCATGTAATGGGTGAATTAATTTGTTTCCCCGTGCCAAACGCTGTATGACAATTAATTATCAATTTGTAGAAGTCAAAATCACTACTGTAAAAATGTGTAAAATTAAGCATATATTTGGCAGTTTATTCCATTTTCTGATATTAAGAAATGGCTTTCTGTGTAAAATTTAATTGACAAAGAGTTGACTGTTAAACTTTAAATTCAAGAGCTGAATTAAAAGTCTGAAATGTAAAGCTATATCCAGAAAATGATTTTATAGTCTGTTATAAACTGTTTTTTATACCTGCCATAACATAAAACACCATCCTCACATTGTCTTCATATGTGAATTATGTTTTATTAAAGCTTTCAGAAAACAAAATATTAGTCTGACAGAGAGAATATATGTAGTATAATTAGTCAAGGCAGGATTGTACTTGAAACTTCTGTTAAGCAGATTGATCATTTAGTTCTTTATTAATATCACATTGCAAACGATGGTGTGAATTTGTAATGAACCATAAATGTCAACCATAGCTAATTGACATGATATGATTAGACTCACCCTAGTAAAGCTACTGTCCTTTTTTTTTTGCCTTTGAAGGCGTTTTAGTGATTTTTAGCTTTTATTTTATAAGGCTTACAGCATAGACCCAGACTCTTTGTCTTCCAAATTTGCAAATAGGGGGAGAAATAGTTCATTTGAAAACATTTACAATGAAATAATCTCAGCCTTTTTTTAGTGACAATAACTGAAGTATTGACTAACGGTTGGAGCCTTTTTTAATCACAGCAGCAGATGGCCTACCTGTTTTATTGTGGACACTCGTGATGTCCCTTTGTGAATGTGCATTTTCCAAGGCAGCGCAACGACACTGAGCCAGCTGTGGCAGAGCGACCCGTTGCTCTGGAGTTTCAAGCTATGAGCTTTCATTTCCTCACTAAAACTAACCTGAGCTGCTTGCCTCACCTGGACATCCTGGTCAAGGGCAGAGGACTCCTGGATCTATGAAGTACTTACACCTTTGTTCCATTCTGCTCACCACGGGTGGTTTTGACATCTCGGCTGCATTCGTGTCCATCTGGATAAGGAGTTTTCCACAGATGCGTTTTGCTAGCTGTCCCTGAGACTAGAAAGCTGAGGCTGGCTCTCATTGTCATAAGGACCAGGCAGCACAGCTGCTGAGATGAATTCTTTCTTGATGGTTGTTCTGCAGCCTTTGGACTCTTTGAAATGACCTTAAAAGATTGCATGATAGGAGCACCGGTGTGTTTTTTAAAGCAAAACAAGCCAGAATGGGCCTACTGCCAGTGTAAATATCTGTGCATTTCTTTAGGCTTTTGTGAAAAGGAATTTAAAAAGGCACTTTAAGGTTTTTTTTGTTTTAGTGTATAAATTAATTAATTTTTTTTTTCCCCTCCTCAAACAGTCCATGGTGGCATTTTTAAGGGACCCCACTGGACCACCTCTTTGGGAAGAGAATCCAGAAGCCAAAGACGTCGTCCACATTGAAAACGAGAAAGTAGGGGTTCAGTTTAACTCGCAGTAAAACGTCCTGCGCTCTCAGGGTGCAATTAGGGTGCAATTTCATCTTGTGTCCTGTGCTTCTAGGACAATAATGGTGCCTTGCATTTATGTGGCATTTTTGTATCACAAAATATCCCAAAACACTTAGAAATAGGAGGGGAATCTACTTGATTCACCAAGTGCCACATAAACCTGGGTAGGCCTCCAGATTGTTACAAGCCTTACCAGGAACAAGCATATCCTGATAACGGTCAGATGGACTTCTCCATAGGGGACAGTATGGAATTCCAGCCTCCGCCATCCAACTGGAGCCTGAATGTAAAAAAAAACAGATATATAGAAATTGATTAATTACGACACCTTCAAGCAAGAACTTACAAAATCTGAGAACAGGAACAACAGAAAATTCTTACTTATCCGTGCATTTTGCTTCTTTCACACATGTTCTGTGCAAGTACTGAAACTCAGTATTGCATAAACAACAGTATGCCCGTAAACAGACTGGCAAATCAGACTGGCTAATGACCCAGGCTAATGCCACTACGGTACGGTTCCGTACTATGGAATAGACACAGAACGGGTGGCATTTCAGTAAAACGCCTCTGGAGTACTGTATGTGCTCCCCAAAACACAAAACCCACAACAGCCTAGAATGTAACTTGATGACCCCTGGATCAGCACTGGCACATTACTGAGCCGTCTGAAAAACAATGCTGAATGTCGGCTTAGGACTCTGCATACATGAGCTACAGGGGAAGGAAGCGACCAGTTCAGTTTTGCGTCGGTGGACCGGTGTTTCGGGTGCATTTTTGTTTTGCTGCAGTCCAGACGCGGTCCAGCGGGAAGCCTGGCTTCCCGTTGTTCCAGCCTTGTGCAGTGAGGTGTTCTGTTACAGCTGTTCAGCTGCATGTGACCCTGTCAAGGACACGCCTGTCTCATTCAGCCTGCATCTGTTCACCTCAGGATTTCAGGAAGCTGCTCAAAAAGGAGGAAAGACCGATCCTAATGATGTTCTACGCTCCTTGTAAGTCTCGTTCGACATTGCTCGCTGTACGGCCCAAACGTTTACCTGTCGTAAACCTAGAACAATTATTCTCAGAGAAAACAAAGCACAATGTGCCTTAAAAATCCCGATTTTGCTAACGGAGCCCAATTAGCAGGACTGCGGGCAAAAGCTGTTTGTTTTTCAGCCAAGACAGGTACAGTGCTGTGGTGGCCTGTCCCCCAGGCACAATTTCGTTACCGCCTTTTATTTAGCAGACTAAGTCCCTGGGCTTATACTTCAGCCAAAGGCTGGACCAGAGCCACTTGGCGCTGTGAGCAGTACTGCAGTCTGGCCAAGTGCTCCAGAGGATTTCATTCATTTCTCACATACTGTATGCATACAGAGAAATATATATATATACACACACACATTCCGTATGTAAAGGACCGAGTGGAGAGCTGTGCAGCTTGTGAGCTGCAAAAGAAACAGTAGAGGTTAATCCCACGCTGAAAAGTGAAAAGGCAGAAAAGTCACCTCTCCATAAACCTCTGGTGAACGTGACAGCTGCAGAGGTATTAAGGATGGACTGATGTGTTGAGTTAATTTCACCCTTTGGAATTAAGACTGTTGAGGAACTCATAGGTATGTGGCTTTTATAGGGAGTCCCTGCCTCTTAAAGTGTTCACTGTAAGATGCATGAAAAGATATTTAAGATAAGTGGGCTGCAGGTGCATTCATGAATATCAAATTGATTTTTTTTTAAACTACACCAGGCTGTATTTTTTCCTTGCTCTTTTTTTTTTAAATTGGACTATATGCGCCAGTAATACTCATAACATACCGATAAAGGAATTGTTATCAGTAGCTTGCTATGACCCATTTGGTCGGAAGAGGAATTATTAGAGGAGCTGAAGAAAGGAGACTCCAGCTGTCTTTATAATCCTGAGGACAAGACGTCTTCAGTGCCTCGACTTCATTAACTAGCGTGTGGCTGGTTTTAGATTAGCTCTCTTAGAGGCAGAGGTTTAATTAAATATTAGTCAGTAATTTCCCAAATTACCTTTTGTTTGGAACGTGCCCAGTTTAATTTGTATCCCAGTCCTTTATTTTCAGGGAGAGATTTTCTGTCTTCTTATACATTAGTGATTTAAGTAATTAAAGTGCTGCGAATTGTTGAACAGGGAGCTTGTGTGAGTGTCTGAAGATGTAATTTCTGCAGAAGACCTCTCTGAGATGATGACTTATTTCCTGCATACAGGGTGTGGAGTTTGCAAGAGGATGATGCCAGCGTTCCAGCAGGCTGCCACAGAGACAAAGGGACGCTACGTGAGTCAGCTCCCTCGTATTCGTAATCGTTCTGTTTTTATTTGTGGGGGGGGCTGAGTGGTTTTTTTCTCTCTCCTCTTGAGATTAATGTGTTCAGGCTCCCAGTTATGAACTTCACGAGCCATTAGGGTGAACTAGTGAAACATTTCACACCTGCAATTGCAGAGATAGCTGGCCGTTCTTCTGCTCATTTTTTTTCCTCTTCTAGAAAAGTTTACACGTCTCTTCTGACTTTGTCATGTCAATTTAATCTCCAGACGGGAAAGTAGAAACGTATTGCTGGCTGCCTTCCTACACTCCTGACATTCTCAGAGAGAATGTTTCATTTCACCCTTTCCTGCCCTTCATGCTGATATGACATTTGGAAAACAAGCGGTGCGTTGTGTGTAAAATAGATTGGAGATAAATGAAAGTCAAAAATCTCCAATTCAGCTGCAAAGGTAGTGTAAAGTGTTTTTTAAAAAGCATGGCTGCACACAAACATTCCCCATGTAGCTAGACCAAGGGTGTCTAATCCTGGTCCTGGAGGGTTTTCATTCCGACTCAGCTCTTAATGAGATAAACCAGATGGTTACTGGCTTAACTAGACCAGTTTCTCCCAGCGCTGGTGCTTTCTGTAGACCAAGAAAACCTGCTGTCACACCGGCCTTTCAGGACCAGGACTGCACACACCTCTGCTCCAGACATTTAGAAAATGCTTGGAACTAAATATTAATCCTTTTTTAAAATATAAATGTCTGTGGGTATTTTCTGCTGTGAAGCATTTTTCTTTCTAGTGGTGCCAACAAGGGATAAAAATTGCCTTAGTTTATTAATGCACATTTACTGGATTTAAGCGCCAGCTGATGAAACTCATGTCCCTGTTGGCAACCACTGTAGCTACAGTACACTGGGAACATGAAAACCCCCACAGTGACGGGTCTAGATAATCTGGTCAGTGAATATGGACGTGTGATGGAAATATTTTGTTATTTTAGATGTTCTGCTTTTGTTGTCACATGTACTTCGCAACAAAGTGGATTAATTCTCTTTGAGGCCCTGGATGTGATCACAGAACATATGGGATTCAGTGTGAAAATGCCTTTTTTTTCTCAACATTATTTCAGAATAACAAGGTTTTTGTCTGATCAGTCAGTTAAAACCCTTTACTTTGAAGATTATCCCTTGCTTACAGTGACTTCTTGGTACAAAAGCAGCCGTATCAATTAGAGGTTTATAGCTGGCATTATAAGAGAAATCTTGAAAGAGGGCTGACTAGAACTGTAAGCTTTGGTGTTCCTCTGTAGTCACTATGCGATCTTGGGAGAAGTGAGGAATGTTAAATGTGCCAAATCTGTATATTTTCTGTTGCCTGGAATGCAAAGTTTTCGTCCCTAGTCCTTACCAGTCCTGTTTCTGCTTAGAATTTTGAAGGAGGCGCTCCCCGGAGAATGATTAACTCTCCTTTAAGAGTGTGTTTTCTGGAACCCGAACAACATCTGAGAAAAACTGCCATATTTCTAATAAACAGACGAGAAGACGCTTCCCAATGTGTGGTTTTCCTTCACCAAGCACGCCTCTCTTTCCTTCACAGTGGCCACATTGATTTCCAGTCCTCCCGCAGTTCTCTCACGTACAGCAACATTTAATACGATCACAGCTTCTGCAAGCAAGCGGCTCTCCCCATATTCACAAGTACTGTATTTACCAAGTGAAGCCTGTATATATGCAGACACCCAAGATCAACACATTTGTTCACCAAAATGTGATAGTGATAGATTTGGTGGGTCAATGCGCACATGCTACGGGCTTATAGGATTAGATTAGACTCTCTTTAATTAGGAACACACTGTTAAGTCGCTTAAAAGGTGGCTGTCTGGTCTTTCTAATCCCACAAATGCTCAGGGCTAACATTGCAAATCTAGATTGAAGTGAAACTGAACACTAATTGTTTGGGAAAGAAATGTGTTAGTTTTTTTTTGCATTTTAATCATGCTCTACTTAGTGTTTACAATCGTGCTTAGAAAAAGTTTATTATCCATTTAAAAAACAGATTCTATCAAACTGAGCTGTCTGCATTTCCTGCTTCCAAAGGCTCTGGATCAATTCCACTGGAGCACCAAGTGTACTTGGGGATGGTGTATTGTGTGACCTTGTTGGCTCTTAGGGTCACTTCTGTGTCAATTTCTGAAAGGTTCCAGGAACACTACAGTTTAGAAACACTACGTACCCAGTGAACAAGGAACTCTGCCTGTTCCTTTCTTTCCTCTTCAGGCAAAGTACCTGTCAAATGCAGATGCGTACACTAGCATGTCACTTCCCTGTGTCTGGAGTTTTCCCTCAAGGCTGTGTTCCTCCTTTTCCAGGTGCTTGCTGGGATGAATGTGCACCCAGCAGAGTTTGACGGATTAAAGCAAGAGTTCGATGTCAAGGGCTACCCTACCTTCTGTTACTTTGAGTAAGTTCCCTTTCTGTTCTGAGTGAGCTTGGCTTTGTGTGCACAGTCTATAGCAGGTGCTTCTTAACGGAAGGCTAATATATTTACACATCTTGTGTGAAAGGGCCATGGGGAAAAATAGACCGTTCTGCCACTGATGTGAGTTAGTCTGTAACCTAATTCTAGGCTTAGCCCTGCCTTCGGTTTTAGACATAGCACTAACCCTAAATGTAAATCTTAGTCAGTGCAGCTGGTTTTTCATTGGCTGGACAATCAGCCAATTAGCAACAATCATGCGTTACTGTATAGCCAATAGAAATAGGCTAATTCTTAGGTTTACGTGATTGAAATTACATTTAGGTTTTGAGTTTAAGGCAAACTTTGGGTTTAAGTAAAGGCTGAAGTTAGTGTCAGTGTTACATTTAAGTTGAGGGTTGGGTGTAAAAGATAATTATATTTAGTAGTTCAGGTGGGTAGCTGCGTCAGTATGCGTAGTCTGCAAAGGAACAAGTAATAGGTTTATTCTATGCTGAAAAGAGAGAAAGAAAACGCAAGGTTTCGGCTGTGAAGCCTTCTTCAGGTGTGAGAAAGACAGGGCAGAGAGCAAGATTAAATAGCACAGAAGAACAAAAGTTTGGGAGAGGGGAGCAGGGGAGGAAGCAGAGAGGCCACTCAGGAAGTGCAAAGTGGAGAGGGGTGAAGAAAGGTGTGAAGTCAAAACCTGCATGAGAAAAGAGAAGATTACACCAGAATAAGTCGGTCATTGAGAGAAGGGGGAAGGTCTGAACCTAGTTTCAGGATGAGTTTCGTTTCTGTTGTCTTTCTGTTATAAGAGTTGAGAAACCCTTCTTTGAGAACAGAGACAGAGAGATCAGTGTGATCAGGGCCTTGATATATGAGGGAAGCATTTCAACCAGAGGTCTCATAAGGCTGTCGAGAAAAGCAGAGATGAGTGTGGTCGGACAATTGCATACTGAGACAATGGGGCTTCCAGGGGTGTTGGGTTTGTGGATTTTGGGAAGGAGATAGATTTGGGATACCTGGGGATGTTTGACGACGAGACAGTTTGCCTCCTGGGGGAGCTCCTGGTTGCTAATAAGAAGAGAGATAGTGGACACCACTTCCTTCTGGTAGTCTGGTAGGATCCTGTTGGAGAGGACGGTAGGCAGCAGTGTCAGTTAATTGTCTGGAGGCTTCCTTAATGTACAGGTCTTTTTGCCACACCGCAACAGCTCCTTTGTCCGCTGGTTTGATGACAATATCATCCCTGTTCCGGAGAGATCAGAGTGCCTGAGCTTCTCCTTGGGTGAGGTTAGACCTGTGTTTCCTGGGAGTGGAAAGGGTCTTGGGAACTTGAATTTTGCATTGGTTAATAAAGTAATCAACTGGTGGGAACCGGCAGGAAGGGGGAGTCCAAGAGCTCTGTTGAGGATTGATATCGTCAATGGCATCAGTGACCGGTGGTTGTTGTCCGCTACCGGTGAGGAGATGTCGTCAGCAAAATGAGCTTTGAGCCGAATCCTGCGGTAAAAACGGTTGAGGTCAACTTGGGTTTGCGGGACGTCCAGCTTCTTAGGGACTGGAACAAATCTGAGGCTTGCTAATAAGAGAACACTCATCCTGTGAAAGGGAAAGGTCAGAGGGTATAGTAACCACAAGGTTAGGATTGATGGCTTTAACTTTAAAGCTAAATATAAAGATTATATTTAGCTTTAAAGTTAAGGATATAACTATGACTTGGGAATCACCTTAAAATAGAAATTAAATGTTCATTGTAACTGATCACCAATCTCAGATATGCCATCTGATAATACTTTAATTCAGCAACCTTACAGTACAGCCTGTACTGTCAGATGTGTTTCCAGCCAAGCACTTTACTTTAATACGTGGTATCATTAGGTGCACATCCTGGGTCACTGGGAGGGAGTCATTTGCCAAAGCTACCAGTAAAAAATAATTCTTTTTCTCAAACAATTGTTTGAATCCCACAGGATTTGTTATGCAAGAGGTGTAGTTTCTGAGCTGAATCGTTAATGTTTCTCCTAATTGGGTCTGACACAAAATTTGATAGAACGTAGCAAGATCTTGTACCTCTGTAAAACCAGACAAGAGTAATAAGGAATGTTGAAGGTCAACAGCACAAAACTTTAGTAATGCTCTTTCGTATGTATTGACGTCACCTTGAACCTATTGCACACCATGATATGATCATGTCAAGCTACTTGCATTACATTCAAAGTTATGTATTTAGGGGCCTCCTGAGTGGCTCAGCCTTTGTGCTCACCCAAACAGTTTAAGCTCTTTGATTGCGGGTCCAAGTCTGCATCGTGTCTCTTCCCAGCTGTCACCGGAATGCCCAGAGCATCATGTTTGTTTCTTAAATGTTTCTTATTTCAGTGGACACAACCATAGATAGAGCTGATGGGTGATGAGACATCTCAATATTCATACAGTCATAGACCCCAAGATCAGCTGTCTAATCTTAACTGCCTCAGTTAAAAAGCCTCAGTCACTCTAATTTAACACAGCTCCCTGCCGTGAGTGACGGGCCTCTCTCCCAATCAGCAGTGCACCTTTGATGCAGTGTTGAGCTGCGATTGATGGGTTAAGAGATAAGTGGCACCAAGATGGGGGGGTGGGTGGGAGTGTGCTCCCACTTCCTCATTCTTCCCCGCGTGCGGTGGCAGGGTTCAGAGCTGCACATGGGGACATGAAAAATGCACGACTGGGGATGCTACAAAGGGCGGATATAACAAAAATAATATATTTTAAATGAACTAAAATGTTCTTTATTTCATACTGGAATGTATTCACCAATGAGCTCATTAAATACCAGTCCATCTGTGGAAATGACTAAGAATACATGAAAAGGCCCCTGAGACATACATGCCTTTTTAACCAGATTAAAGTCACTCCAGCACTAGCTAATACTAAAAGAATTGTATTGGTAATTTATACTTTATAATTTAATCTGTTTTTTTCATTTTTTTTTACGAACATTTACTCTTAGTAAACAGCTATACAAATACAGTCAGTATAATGAATCAAATGCTTTATGCATTAAAACTTGTTAATTCTTTGCAAAGCCTCAGGTTTTGCAGTAGAAGTGAACTAACGCATCTAACTTGGTGTGAACAGTGTACTGATGGCTTCACTGTTGCATTAATTAGAAACCCTAATCCACACCAATAAGCCTATAGGAGTCTGCGGGATTTCAAAAGAACACAGAGCCTCTTAACTGACATGTGTAGTGATCTACGAAAAGTTTAACATTTGATCATATTTCTTTACAATATTATGGCAATGTTCAGACATCCATGCTGATCAGTGACAGCTACAAATTACCTCAATTGCCCATTTTCAGTTGATCCCTTTCCACTTGCATAAGTAACAGACATTAATTTTGACACAAGGTGAGAAAGATCTATTGGTTATATTAGCTATTATCGGTCTGTGCTCAGTTTTTGAAAACCAGACATTTGACTGACATAAATCGTGGACTTCAGAGTACCAGTGTTGAAAATGTGTTTACATGAAAAAGGAGCAGCTTGTCTGTGTTCTGCCTGGCTGTCTGTCAGATGCCTGAGCACTGTGTTCCATGCAGCACACAGAGTCCCCAGTGTATTCTGATTGCCAGTTATTCATAAGAACATAAAGGTTACAAATGAGAGGCCATTAAGCTTGTTTAGCTCATCTGGTAGTTAGTAGCTAATGGATCAAAGGATTTCTCTCATTCAGGCTCCTGTCTCTAAAAAGAAACTAGGGTATCGACTTCAGCAACATGACTGGGTGGCCTGTTCCACACTCCTGCCACCCTTTGGCTAAAGAAGTGCCTCCGGTTTTTTCCATTTTAAATTCACTTCTCTGGAATTTCTGCTTGTGTCCACCGGTTCCTGTTCCGCTGCTCGTTCGAGTTAATAGCTTCCACATGGAGTTTTTTGGTTTTGGTATTTAGCGTTTACAGCCAAAAACCTGGTGTAAATTTATTCTGCCGAGCTCATTTAACATAACTGTGTCCTACAGTGGATGTTTAATGCAGTCATTAGTACTTTATTTAAATATATATAAACAAAATATATATATATAAACTAGACTTTTTGAAACGGGATGAACTTTGTCTGCTGCACCTTAAAATAGAGTTTCAGTTATTATCTTTTTCAGGCTTGTTCAGGCAAATCACTGCTAATGCTGTTGATGTTTAACTATTGTTTGTGCTTTTTTCTTTTGAAAGAAAGGGGAAGTTTCTACATCATTATGAAAATTACGGTGCCACGGCAAAGGACATTGCAGACTGGATGAAAAAGTAAGTGAACTGATGAATAATTCCTTCAGTGATGCTGCGATTAGGATTCTACAGGACACATTTAAATATGCCACATTATAAAGAAACGTGTGTCCAGATTTGCAAAGGAAATCTGCAGGAGTCTCCACAGCTAAGATGATTTTTCTTCTACTTTTCAGCATGGAGTAAGCCTCGACCTGCTCTTTAGCAAAACAGCTAAACAGCTGACACAGTTTCACACTTGAGCCGTGCTATCTGAGAATATTAATAGAATTCATTGTCAAAGTATATGATAATTTGCTGAGCAATTGGTTTCAAACTCTGTGCGTTTCAGAAACTAAAGATTTTGCCCTGAGACAGTTTTACTGTAATAATGATTAAAGGATGGTTGTAGTCATAGGATACACTCACACTTAATATGTTGAAAACCAAATAAAAAAGGCTGCACTGTTTTTGATTTTTTATAATCGTTTCAAGATAGCTTTGCTGTCAGATGTACAATAGCTATCAGAAGTCTTTGCCTCCCGTGGGCTTTTTCACATTTTATTGTCAAAGACATTTGGTGGCACCAGAGCCTATATAAGTATGTCATGGTAAAAGGGGGTTGATACCTTTGCAATCTGTTATTTTCTATTTTATATTTATAATTAATTTAGGAGGATCTGTAGAATTTTGTTTTCACTTTGACACTTTACAAAGTGTTTTCTGCCAATCATTGGCAAAAACTCTCAGATAAATGCATTATGGTTCCATGCTGAAACACCATAAAATGTAAAACGTCCAAGGGGGTAAATAGGTTAAATAGCCATTCGGCTATGTGATTTTGGGCACAAATAGTTATTTCATTTCAACCCCAGATTAGCTCTTACCTGAATACCTCGTAGTTTAACATGGTTTACAGATGCTTATAGGTTTCTGTTGTTATGTTGTGGGCTTTATAGCACTTGGCTTAGTAAGAGGTGTGAAAGTTTGTCAAATTGCCCTTTCCACTTCCTAACAATGAACTATTGCATCTGTGATCTCTAGCAAATTCAGCAGATGCTGATGTAGAATGAGGTCTAGACTGCAGAAGAAGGAAATGTGGATGCTGGTGAAGAATTTGTAATGCAAATCTCTCTAGAAAATGTTTTAAAATCCACAAGGAAAAAAACAAATATATGAACATGCATTTTTGCATTCCTCAGATTTCTCTTATAAAATAATGTAAATTGTTTGGCTTCTGCGTGACCTTACTACTGCACATACCTCCTGTGTGGAGTCTGAGAACCTCAGTTAATCACAGTCACAAGGAAGAGGCTGTAGCAGGGACAAAGATTTAATTTAAATCCTTTATAGTACCAAGCGGTTACAGCCTGCATTTTTAAATTGTGCTCAGTGTCCTGTATTTTGAAAACATCTCCCTGCTAGTGTGAAGTGGTAGTCAGGTTTCTTAACTCTGGACAGAGGGTCATGTGATTAGATCCCTGGTGGGGCTTCTGAGCAAGATACCTCACTCCAGTTGTCCCAGTAAATTCACTACTGTGGAAATGGGCACTCTCCAGGTTGTCATTGGTTATTTAAAGGATTAAAAAAAAAATGTTTTGGACTACGCCAGTTATAGATGATAGCACACTCCAGCAAGTACCTTGTACAGAAAAATTTAGAATCTCCAAGATTAGAAAACTTAAAATCTCTCTTGCCTTCAAATATTATTAAACACTTTGTGCTCAGTTCTGTGTGTCTTGTTCCTCTGTGCATTGTGTCCTGACTTGGCTCAGATGTAGAAACAAGAATCAAGAGGGTGGAGAGAGCATGCACAGATGTTGTTGTGAGTGCGATTCGTTCTGTGCAGACAGATGCAGCTGTTTAGCTTGCTCTGCTGTTTTAAGTAAGGGCTGTTTAGAAGTGTAAAGTTTTTTTTGGCCAGCTGAGATGTGTCCACTGCCTGCATTCTTACCTGTCCGTGGTTCTGTAGCCCTCAGCCTCCACAGCCCAAGACTCCTGAGATTCCCTGGTCAGAGCAGGGCTCTGCTGTCCATCACCTGACTGAAGAAACCTTCGACCACTTTCTGGAAGAGCACCCTTCAGTTCTGGTTATGTTCTATGCCCCATGTGAGTACTAAGCCGCTTATTGTTTGTCTCTTTAAAAGCACAACTGAGCCATTTGTTCAAACTCCCCGTTATCACAGATATTTCCTTTAAAAAACTGTGCTGTAATGCGCGGTTTGAAAATCGTTAGAACGTGCACTTCGGGAAAAGCTGGTGCTGCTCTATGTCCGACCGATTGAGGTATAATGTATAATGTTTCTTTATTAGCCCTATACAATTTCTTGCATTAGGAATGCGTCTTTTCGCATACCCCAGCTTTTCTCCAAGGAGACACAGACACAGAGACAGGGAGAGAAGCCTGGGGTCAGAGCGCAGGGTCAGCCATTTATACAGCGCCCCTGGAGCAGTTAGGGTTAAGGGCCTTGCTCAGGGCCCAAACGGAGTAGGATTCCTCTGCCGGCCGCGGGAGTTGAACTGGCAACCTTCTAGTCACAGGCGCAGATCCTGAGCCACAGAGCCATCGCTCCGCCCCTAGGTAGTTCAGGCCCCTGGTGGGGACGCCCCCTAGGGGCCTCTGTTTGAGCTCTGCCAGGCACATCCCACCGGGCAGAAGCTGCAGGCCAATTGAACAGGCCGGAGCATCTAAATCTCCGGCCTGGCCTGGGAGTTCTGGGGAATCCCCAGGAGGAGCTGGAATATGTCGTGGAGGAAAACGATGTCTGGTGCTGCCGCAGGGACCATTACCAGGAAAAGCAGAATGAAAATGGGTAGATGGGTATACAGTAAAAAGATGAGAAAAAGGAGTTGGTACTCTTTGCTCATATGGATGTCCTGAATCCAGTACAGATGTACACAAGTATAGTGCCGTGAAAATATGCAGAACATCAGAAAATACTTTTTCACAGTACTGTATGCAGAAACAATACTGATTTTAGGGGGTTAGGGCTCTGTATCGCAGGTGGGGCACAGCGGCTGTACCCTTGAGCAAACCGCATTGATTACAGATTGTTTTCCTAATGGAGTTAGGGTCCAGCACACACAGTTGTATGAACTGCCACCAAAATGTGTCTGTAAAACAACAGCTAATTGCAACCTTGGTAAGTTATGAGAGAAAAATAAATGGACATTGATGGAAATTGCTGCCCATTTGCTGCAGTAGCACAACATGGGGTCTTTGCGTGAGTCAACGTGACTATGAGCACGTACATGTGTGCAGTTATACAGACCAAACCTAGGCTGTAGGCTAACAAGATAGAAGTCCATGAGACCAGAATACTGAAGCAATGATTGACATTAACCATCCTTGGCTGTCAGAGCTCTGAATGCTCTCCTGTTATTTAGAACATCTGTTGTATAATGTACCTTTTTAATGCAGGTAAAATTAGCCATGTAAAATGTACTGAATAATTATGGTAGTTGTTTCTAAGCAGGTACATCTAATTTAGTAATGATAAAGTAATGCATTAAACCCCTGTTTGTTAATGAGGATGCTTCAGTGTTTCCATTTGAAACATAGCAGTTAGAATTCCAAAGCAAAATTACATCCCTGGATTCCCCATGTCATTGCTTTAGAATTGCAGTTGTGTTTGCGGCTCGTGCTTTTAAAACAAAATATTTTTTACAGAAACTTCATGTTGTCTGCAGAACCACAGCCCAAGATTACGTAGTGCTTTGAGAGACATTTTGCAGGTTGGAAATATCGAGATCTCGACTTCCCTGTTGTCGGGGGGCAAAGAGGCGTGTTTCAGAGTTTCTCTTGGGTTGAATTCTGTGTTTAGCTCATATCACGATTCAGCTAATCATTCCTTCAATTCAGTAGACGTCGTGGCACATTGTCTTAGCTGAAATTTCCTTGTCTGCAATTTTCACATCATCATCGTTAAGGTAAATTAAAGAGAACAGATAAAGAGCCTTCTTCCAATTTGCCACCCGTGGGATCATGTCGTCAGAAAGCTCCCGCCTGTTGGAAAGACCTAAAAAAAAAGAAAAGCAGAGTATTTAAGGGCCATGTGCTGGAAAAATGCCTGCTGTGCTGTTTCAGGTAGATTTGGTTTATCAGGAACTCTCAATTGACTCGACAATTCCTAGTCAGACTGGCAGTGATTGCACCAGACAGGCCTGCACTTAAGTAAACAAGATCAAGCCTCCCACCTGGCAAATTACAGTGCTTCTCAATTTAGAAGACCATTAGAGAAAGCCAACGGCCTCTTATGATTATTTTTTAAAGCTAATTTTAATACATTTTTCAGCCCAAGAGTGACCCGTGTTTCCAATTAAAATAGAAGCAATGCTCATGATGGGGAGATGTACACTTTTAAAACTGCCAGCTACTGTAGATAACCTACTTAATAACTTTTGTAAGTCCTTGCGTTTACATGGTGCTTTTCATCCAGAAGGGTCCGAAGTGCATAGTCTCTTTCGCCCACCGCTGACAGACAACTCCCAGAAGGGTGAGAGGCAAAAACCCAGCTATGAAACTGATTATTATTCGTCTAGTTGGCTGATGCCTTTATCCAAAGTGACTGACAAATTATCACACATTTGTATAGCTGGGCATCTTCCTGAAGCAATCTGAGTGAAGTACCTTGCTCAAGATAGCAACAGTGTGACTCCGTATCCTTGCCTTCCAGTTCTGACCAGGGTTTTTAGCCTGTTGGGCACCTACCTTGCAGGGGAACGACGTGTCCTTTCTGAGGGTGCGAGACAGGCCAGATTTTTCTAGAAGATAAATCATCACAAACACAAGTTAAGCACAGGGCATACAAGGACAACTGCTTTGTTTCGTCAGATGTTGGTATTTTAAGGTAAACTTAAAAACGCACGTGGAATTTTTCATGTTTTCTGAATTTTACTGTGAAATTAAATAAGTAGAGGAGAGTGAGTCTTAGATACAGTATATTCTTATCAGTTGAAACCCTATTAGAAGAAATCTCTGTTTGCTGCACTTTGTTTACAAGTCCATGTAGGTGGCTGGAAAAGAGCAAGCCTCTGTAAGTCCAGAAAACCCACAGATGTGGGGTATGAGTCTCCTATTCACAGAAAAGCAACATTTACTGAAGGAGGCTGGCAGGTTCATATGACAGGATCTGTCAGGAGCAGGCTGGCCATTATAGACCTAAAGAGCTCTCGGGGTGCAGATGCAGTTTGATTCTGCTGAAAACATTCTTTTGTTCATGAATCCTGTGTTTTTATGTTGATTTCCAGTGTAGTACAGTTGTGGGGGGGAGGGTTGACAGGTGCTATGAAAATGTCAGGTAAAAGAAATGTGTACATTTCTGAAACAAGTCCTAAAATTGTTGCATTCATTTTGGTGTTACTGTAGTTCTTGTTCTGGGGCCACATTTAAAACATGTCAGCAAAACAAGACCCTGAAACTTGTATTACTTAAGTCAATCTGCCCAAAAAATGTACAAAATCTTGGATAATGCCGAAATAATGTGTTGACTTCTGGCCTGTTTGTTTTGTAACACTGTCGATTCCTCTGAGTATTTGGGAATTTCATGGAAGCTGTTACAGGCCTGTGCATGCCGTAGTCGCTGAGGTATTTTGTGCTTGTTGAGCACAGCGACTGCATTCCCAGGGAACGTGCTGGAAGAGCTCTGTTTACACTCTGTACCTGACTTGAACCCTAAAGGGTGACATCAGAGTCACTGAGAGAAGAACTCAATCTGGGTTACACCAGCTGTGGGATTCCTCACAGCACGTTTGTGAAGCACAGTATTCTTTCATGCTTAGTAATACTTGTTTTGATTTTTCCTAAATCTTCTTAACTCTTGAGTGATGGGTAAAATTCTAGCCACCTGGGCTTAAATCGTGGAGTCTTGGGGTAAGACAGGTGGAATTCTAAATCCACAATATTCATTTGGTTGCAATTCATGCAATTTTCTGCAAAGACAGCAGAAGAACAAGAAAAAACTATTTCCACGGTAAACAGGAAAGGGGGGTTATATTTGCAACCTTTTCAGTTTTATGCTGGCAGATTTCTGTTACAATAATCACAGAAGTTATGCAACAGACCATCAGGAAATTTAGTGTAAGTGCTACAGCTTTACCTCAGTGGACATAATGATGTACTTTATTTCTTCCAATGCCAACAGTAGTGGTAGAGCTCAGTTTAGCTGGACTACATTCCAAAAAGAGCTCCTTAGTTTGACTTACTGTAAACTTTATCTTGTAAAAACACTATTTTCAAACATTAGTAAGGGGTCTTCTAGCCATTGGCCAGACAGCTACATACAAATGCATTGAATGTAGAATTTCACGTGTACATTCTTTAACCAACATGAACAACATGAACATGCTTAATCCCACGTCAGTGTTCATGTACCCAAGGCCTGGAGGGTTGGATGAGTTTGTAGTGAGAATGTTATGAGGCTGACTTGTTCCAGGTTTGGGAGACATGAGGGTATATCTGCCTCAGGCTGTTTCCATCATTGTAAGATGCTGTTCCTCCATCCCTGCAGCGCGTCAGTTCAGTCACATTTTCCCCTCTGCCCCTCCTTCCTCGGTCAGCTGCCAGACAGTTGATGGAGCACATTGTTTGCAGCACCAGTGCAACAGGCGTACATCATGCATGAATTACCCCTTTTACACGAGAGGCCCTGGACGTCGGGCATCCTGCACTGGTTACATTGGATTTACTCACCCTCACTGCCGGTAAAGGAAACCTCACAGGTTATGTTGCGTCATTCATTTGCTTTCTTGTGCTTTGCTTGCAGGGTGTGGTCACTGTAAGAAGATGAAGCCAGAATACGATGAAGCTGCAGAAGTCCTCAACAAGGACAAAGATGTGAGTCTCACTCGTCTGGGAGGGATGTGCAGAATCTGCAGCACAAAGACCTCTTCAGTTATAAGAATAGGAACTGGGCTTATACGCACTTCGTGCATTAATGCTTGGCTCTGAAGGGGGGTGTGGGATTTCCTTATTTGAGTTTGATTAGCTGGGTGTGTCCGGGATATGTGGTAATAGCTCATTCTTGAGCCAGAAATAAGCCAATGAAATCAGCCGGGGCCATATGATTGTTACAATTATCTCATTCTGTTGCTGTCCTTGTAGGCTTCAGTTTGGACCTGCTACATGGCCTTCAGCCCAGTTCTCAAGTTCAAAACTACGGTTTTGCATTAGGTAATGGTGGTGCGTGAGTAAGCTCTGACACCCCTATCCCCAGAGTTCTCTGATGTCATTTATTATTCACTTTGTGCGCACACAAACATCTAGTTTTAGGCAGTGGAATTCTGGTCGAACTGGCGGAAGATGGGCTTTGTTCTGCAGACTGACTGCAGTGCAAAACTGATCTATTAGATCTACTTCACTTACTGTTTAGTTCTCCCCCACCACCCCAGCTTTTCCTACCCCTCCAGTCGGATTTAAATACCCTGAATGTGTGTGTGCTATATCCAGTACGTCATTGAATTTTGACCCCTTAAAAAAATAACCAAAAGTTCTACCTGTTGTGCTGCGGATCGTCATTGATTGGCGTGCCTCAGGCGACTGGCATGGAGCACAAAACAGAGCCTGGTCAAAATGTTAATTGCCTGGCTCGCCCTCCAAGCCCTCCTGTGTTCTCTTTGGGACTTTGTGCTGTGCCAGCAGTAGTAGTGCGTGCCACAGTCGACGATGCACAACATGGTATCCAGTGTCCCCTCAGTTCAGGTCCCTCCTGCTTCCTGTACCTGAGTTTCCAGTGCTGTTGGAACTTCACATCCTATCTGTCATGCGTCATGCTTTACAGACATTTCTCCCTCTTCAAAGATTATTGACTCCACCCAGGTCAAGATCTGTGCCCCGAGGGAAAGAATATGTCATTTTTTCCATGTATTTATTGTTCAAGAGTCCAGGGGTCTTGGCAGCAGTGGACGCCACAATCCACAAGACCATCGGAGAGAGATACCACATCTCGGGATTCCCCACCGTCAAGTACTTCGAGAATGGAGAAGAGAAATACACCTTGCCACACCTGCGGAACAAAGACAAGATTATCGAATGGCTTCACAAGTAAAGAGTTTTGTTTTGTTTTTTTCCTAATCCTCAAAGTCTTTAAAGAAAAAAAAGCCTTGCTCTTTTCTGCTCACCTCGGGTGAGCTCCCCAGATGAATGAAAGCGTGTCTGTTGAGCTATAGCCAGCATTTCACATGTGTTTGTTGTCAGGTTTCTTTCGACCACTTGAGACAGAGTCTGCATTAGCGCAGGCCCTGAAGTCAGCAGTGGCTTAGTGTTGCAGGATCTTACACATTTAAAGTGCCGCTCCCCTTCCCTAACTAAAACCATTGCATTAAAAATACCACTGGACTACTTGTATTAAAACAGTATAAAGGTTTCAGTTATTAATGTTTTTTTCCATACACTTTATTTTTGCATTTGTGATTTGTAACTTACCGTCTTTTTTCTAAAAGAAGCGTAACCCCAAAAGAAAATCACTCGAATTGTATTTTTTTTTCACCCCAACCGCCAGAATGAAAACATTGATATCCGTAGTGGGGAAAGCACGTCGGCTTTCCAGATCTCCGCTTTGCCATGAAATTGCATCGGCCGGGTTCGTTAGCAAGATCCCTTTAGCGCACGTCCCCGTTCGGCACGCTGGTGTGGCCTGGACGTTTTCAGCCCTAGCTGACCTCTCGTTCCAGCTTGCCAGCCTTGTTTGGACCCTCCGTTGGCTCTAGGGGATGCATCTGTAAAAGCCCATCAGAGCAAGTTACATCTCTGCAGCGCACATTGCAACTCCAGCAACCTTGGGCTGTGGTTTAAAAGGCAAAGGGCTGGGAGACCTCGGCTACAAATGAAAACAACCTTGCTTTGATCCTGCTTAAGGTCAAATGTTCCCAATGAATTACATGCTCTGTAATTCAGCATGATAGTAATGTCTTTGTGTGCCTGTGCTCTGAATAATGACCTTGTAATATCGTTTGGCCTTTAAATGAACTGTGTAAGCGATTACAGTTTGCGAGATGCCAAAAGCACAGATGAGTGACCAGGAGAATATTTAATGTTGTGAATTAAAGATGAACAGAGGGTGGAACTTGTAAAGCATTACCGTTTCTGTTCCGTGAGGGAGAGGGGATCTATCTGACATTGCCCTCAAACAGAAGTGACAGACTGACGGCTTTTAAAACGTCTATAAAAGAAATGGAACAATATAACACATTGTGACAATTTTCAGATTGCTGAATAAGACAAGTGCTACTCCATGAGCCACCCTGCTACCAGGAGTTCAGGCTTCTGTACCTGCTGCTGCTTTTATTATTTTCTGTTCCACTTTTTTATTATTTGATCTGCTTGACTGAAGAGTTAGGTTTCTGACTCAGTGATTCGTGAATAACATAGTGCTTCCTGTGTAATTGTGCCTCCCGGATGCCTCATTAAGGCTAGTTCTTGACTTGGTGATGGAAAAGACCTCAGATTTTATAGTAAGTACTGTAGCACAGCTCTTTTATGAATCGTGTTCTCCGAGTTAATTTATTTTTTTACGTTGCTTAAAAATTTAAAATGATTCAGCTATAACGTGCTCTGGCCTGTTTTAAAGCCTTTCTGCAGGCCATGTTTTTCAGTGGAATTCTGTTTTACGCAGGGCCTAATTACAGTGAGGGGTGTGGCCCCCTTCTCCCCAATTTCCTGTAGCCCACAGGCTCCACCTCCGCCAGAGCAGTCGTGGGAGGAGAAGCCATCTAGTGTGAGCCACATGGGCACCGAGGACTTCAGAGAGGCGCTCAAGAAGAAGAAGCACGCTCTTGTCATGTTTTACGCCCCATGTAAGCAGTCCTGGCTTTTTAACACATCTTCCAAGTATGAATGTGTAAATACATGCATTTGTATTATTATGCAAAGGAACAAGTAATAGGTTTATTCCATGCTGAAAAAAGAAGAAAGAGAACACAACGTTTCGGCCGTGGAGCCTTCTTCAGGTGTGTGAAGAAGGCTCCACACCATTGTGGAGGTTTGTATTATTATTGAATGTAAGGGAGGTCACAAACGAGAGGAGTATAATAGGTTGCCATCAAGCCAGTTTGGTTCTTAACAGCCAGTTGATCCAAGGAGCTCACCTGCCCACGTCTTGAGAGGAGCCAGGTAAGTCAGCCATCCCCGGTTGCTTGGAACGCAATGAGATTGCAAAGTGCCTGCCGGCTTTTTACAGCCGGGCTCTGCCTGACCTGAAGGCGGGTTTGTTTTGTTTTTTTTTCCCCCCGTTGTGGATTGAACGCCTCCGGCCAAGAACTAGCGAGGCAGGGACAACCAAGGACCAGCGAAACAACCAGCAGTGTAGTTTGTATTGACGGTTTTCCGATGTAAAGGCAGGCGTCTGCATCCCTGTTGTCTCTGTTGAACGGAGTCTCCAGGGGCTGTTCCAATCTGTTCTCTTCCTGTTCTGTGCTCTTTGTTTTTCTCACTAGGAACTGCTGGGGCTACACTTGTTTTTGATATTTTAATATTCTCGCTGGGAATTAAGAAATATTGTATAGATAAGATTTTATTGTCCCCCTGAGGGATTTTTTTTATGGACACCCAGCACTCCTGTACATTTACATAGAATGCAAACAAAAAAAAGAAGAAAAAAAACATTGCACATTATTCTATTACAAAAAATAGGAAAAACATTGCACATCAGTATAAAGTTACAGTATAACACATAACAACATGTAACATTTATATTTATATATATATAACATATACTGTATATGGTGTTGATTAGCTTACAGCAGAAAACTGTCACACTTTATGTAATTAAATAACCAGAAGATATGTAACATTTGTCTCTTATATGATTGGCATTCATTTATTTTCTTCTGATGTGTCATCATTAACTCAGTAGGATTATTCCCTTTATAGTTTGGAATATTTTAAAGCATAATTGTGTTTTTGCTAGATAAATATGCATTGCAGTGTTAACTGCTGATCATTGGCGTTTATACCACAAATAGCATCTAGTTGAAAGCCCACTGAGATGAACCCCAGTTGTTTCACAATTGCTCAGACATTTCCCCAGTATAAAGACAGAAGCTTGGAGTTAAGGTCAAGCAAATGCTCAGATAGAAGGGGAACATTTTTTTCCCATTTTGAGTACTACTTCTCATTTTTTGCCTCTTAAACTAAAGAGTGCAGTGAAAATTGCAGATTTTTCATTAATATGAAGAAGCAGAAATGATGAAGTAACGGTAAAATGAAGACATTTTCCTTGAGTCAACATATTTACAAAGGAGAGTATTTCAGATGCTGTATTGGATTGTAAAGGCAAATATATACAAATGCTGGAGAGTATATAGACTTTTGAGTCTTAAGGCATAACACATTTTAAATATAAACAGACTGTTAGGTTTTTATATAAAAAAGTACAGTCATTCGTAAATCTCACTTTTTAAAGTATGAAACCATATGTGGTTTCACAATTTAAATGTTCATGCAAGATTGTTATATAATTCTACAGTACATCCATGATCTGTATTTATTAGTTTGTAGCTTTTAGTTATATGTTGCTTCCTAGTAAAGTCTCCTGTTTACCACACAAGTGAGCAGGTAAAAAGTGACTAGTGCTTTCAATATGCATTTCTTTGAATAAAAAGCAGTGATGCTTTATGAAGAAATGCATTTGTGCAAGTTTCATATTTAAAAAATAAAAGTAGTTTGAACGTTTGAAACATTCAGTTTCTTTTTCTGTTCTTTTTTGTGTTCTAAAATGACATAAATGACACTGGAGAATCTGCCAAGTTAATTATACAAAGAGCTTAAAGGATTCGTCTTCAGATCACGTAGGTCTTTCAGCAGTCTTTCTGCTTGTGTTAATGGAAATACTTATTGGACACTCAGACCTAAAACCACAGTCCTGCCACAATGGAGGATACAAGCATTCATTTTGAATACAACATCTGGAGGAAGATGCAATTGGGGATTCTTGTTTAACTCATGTATATCAGCGTTTGGCCGTTTCATTACGATAATCTTTTCAGGTGTTAGAGTTGTCATTGTCTTCAAATAGCAACTGGCTGTTCACAGAAATGAGCTCTGCATGCACTGCTGTGTAAGGCAATCTAATCATGATGATTTGGGTTTTTTCTCATCTTCTGAAAGCATTTTCAAATTAGTTTTAGGACTGTGTAGTGCAAAAATAAGCATTTAGTGAGTGCCTAAGCAATTTTAGTAAAGCCGGAACTTAAGGTTGAGTTCTGGGTAATGAGGCAAGTCCAGATTGACCTGACATACTGCTGGAAAGCTGCCTGGTATTAAAAAATAATAATAATAGAAAAAAAGCTATGCATTCAATTATTCATAATAACGCTCATGGTCCACAAATTATGAACTGTACTAGGTCACGTAGTCAAGCTTTGTTCGAACGGTAAAGTCAGATGTTCAGAAACCTCTGATGAAATGCCTATTAGTCCTGCAGTGATGGAATTAGCATTCAGTGGTAATTTTTGCTTGATAAATTTAATCGCTTGGCACGGACCGTCAGTTTGGTGCCACAACGATTTTATTATTTGGGCATCATTCTTATGTTCTTTCAGATGCTTATGGAGTTTCTATTAATCAGAGTATTTGAAATGCAGGAAGAAGCACCATATTGAAATTGTAGTAATGCAGGGGAGAAGACAGGAAGCCAATTAAGACCTCCCAAAAAATCTTATGATAAGTAATTTGTTCTGTGTACTCAGTATTGATGGTCGATAATGAATATTTAGTACCTTAGTGCTTGGCTTGGTTTCAGAAATGTAGTCTAAAGAAGTGTAGGTAATTCATCAGCTTCGCCGAGTCTTTAAACCAAAGGGGGGTTAGTGGAAGACTGATGGGAATGATGTAGCAGATTTTTGAATGCGAATTGCACTCGGTAGCAAAACCTACACTGTTTGTTCAATGGCCCAAGTACAGCACTGAAGGGTAGATTGTACAGATATGTGCAATGTCAGTTCTAAAAGTAATACATCCCTCAAGCCAAAGCACAGATCTGAGCTACGCCTGATCAGTTGCTATATGTAACAATTCAGGAGTCTCTGGTACCCAGTTCTGTGATTCTAGAATGTACAGGGAGTTCCATTTATGAAGGCAAAAAGAAAATTGTGTTGGAGGAGGTGAAACAAAAAGAGCAGGTATTAATAATTATTTAATTTATTAAAAGGGCATTTATTAATGCTCCGTGACTCCAGGAGAAGGATGAGCACAGGTGGTAGGGCTCCACCATTCCTCCTTCACAGCCCAGGTCTGCCTCTCACGACTTCCTGCAGGAAGCAGGACAGCTGTAAGGACCGTGGCCTCAGCCTTTCCCTGGCATCACACTGAGCTGTGTGTGGAGGCGCCATGCAGACTGGTCCTTCTACCGAGGCTCTCTGAGCCCCTCATCCCTGTTGGCAAGCCTGGCATGGGCTTGGTGCACCCTGGTGTGCTTGTGACAGTGACCGACTGGGGTCGTGAAGGGCAGTAGTAAACTGCGATGCCTGTAGGGGCCTCCTTGTCTGTGTCTGACACTAAGTCCTCTGCTTTTAAGTATTACTTAAAATTGTCAGCTGAGGCATTTAAGAAAGTCCATGTAATTGGCTATAGGCTCTTGGTCACTTGTCAGATTGTTTTTCTTGTGTCTGTTACTGAGTGGCATTTTCCATGACCAATATTCCTTTTACAGTATCCAAGTTTTTTTCTTGATTAAATTCCACTGCTCATGACCTTGATGATTACAGACCTTTACCACGAAAGACCTGTTTATGAAGGTTTGGCTCTAGAAACTGACAGATAATCGAGTTTGGTGAAGTGGAAACTTAACTTCAAAGGTACTCTCAGCAGTTCGTTTTCTTTATCCAGTTTTTTTGTCATCTAATATACTCGCACACAGGAAGATGAGAGAGGGATTCATGTTTCCAATTTCTATGTTTTTTCTTTATAGCCAATTTCCACACGTCCCCATGGGCAGTGTTCTCCGTGTGCAGAAACTATTGTCCACAAATAATAATAACTGGTTCACTGTTAATGTAAATTGGATTGGTAATAAATCTGCAAATATACACATATCTTCATTCACGCTTCTGTCTTTCAGGGTGTCCACACTGCAAGAGTGCTGTCCCTCACTTCACTGCAGCAGCTGAGGTCTTCAAAGAAGACCGGAAGGTGATGATCTCTCCAATTAATGGTTCTTTCTTAAATGCAGTGACCCTAATTATTAAACATTGGACTTTTTTACACTAATGTGTTACCATGACATAAATATAATCATTTCTGATTTAATTTTCAAATGTGTGTGTGTATATATATATAAGGTATAAGGTGCATTCATGGGTATAAATCTATTCATCTTGATTGCTGTTGAATATCTTTTGCGATTGTGTTTAGTTAGTATTTGTATTATAGTGAAGGTTTTTTGATTCAGGCCATTATTCTCACATGGAAGCCTGATTAATTAGGCAATGTGTTACAGCATCCTAACACTTCAGACTCATGGAGATTACCTTGTTTGTAAATGTGAGGACCGTAAGGAGTCTTATTGTTTTCTTAAGAGAAATGGTCTTCTAGGACCTTAGGATTCCTCTTATCTTGCCACAACACACATAAGAAAATTCAGTGAGCTTGCCTGCTGCTTAGATATATTTAAGGAACAGAAGATTGTCCTCCTGGAAATGTGTGGAACTGAACTTGCCTGAACTCCATAGTCCCTCTGCCCATTGAAAAAGAATGTCAGGTTTTAAGGTCTTTTTAAGTGCATTTGGGAGTGATTCAAAGTGTTCTTCAAGCTCTTAAAAGCACCACCTGCTGGATCCGTGTGATTAATTCACGGCATGCAAGGAAGGGCTGTTCTTTGCAAAGATTATTTATCATGGCTATGAAACACGTTCGTCCTTAAGTTTTGAATTTTAAAATGAAGAAAGCGCATATCCACATCTGGTGAGCGTCACGTATGAGTGCATCATTTTTTGAGGTTAGCACAATATATTGGAGAGTGGATGAGAACAGTGATTTATTTTGTATGAAACGTTTTCAAAAATGTGAGTTGGAAGTTGACCAAAACAATCCAACTGGGCTGAACACTGCAGCTGTTGCCAGAACTAATGTATCGTGGTACACAACAAGACACTGAGATGATCAGCCATGTAGCTGGACAGACTGAAAGATAAAATGGAAATATATTTTTGATTAATTTTGGATTTACATCAGTATAGTAAAAACCGTGAAACTTAATATTTAGAAGATTTAGAAGTTGTGCACTTCAACTTTTAAGGACTTTAGTACTTAATATAATCCACTTCATCCTTTACTTTGACCTCTGTTCTTAGCCTGGTCTGTGATGCTTGTCTGCAATCCCCACTGCTCCAAGGTGAAAGCTGCTGTTCATATTAACCCCTGTTGTGAACTGAGCTGTAGTCTATTGGCAGACACTGAGCTGAGAGACCTAAGATACAGTACATAAGCTACAGATATTATAGTGGGAAATCAAAGTCACCATGATAAAATTGCTCTGTTCTTAAAATTTCTAGCTTGAAGTACTATTATAGGTTTTTTTAAGGATGGTGGTTAGGTTATGGATTGAAAAATGGACTAATGATAATGTAGAGTGATTGATTTAAAGTTATGTTACGTCTGTATTTTATTGAGAAATTGCTTTGGAGTGAATGCAGATTTCTTATTTGCTGCACTTAAATATGCATTCAATAGTGGTAGACTTAAACCTTTAAAGATTTGTTACTTTAAAAGTCAGTTCTGTAATTACTTTTGTGTCCTGAATGAACATTGTCCAAAAATGTAGATCATTTTTCCCTTTTCACCTGAGACTGGTAGATCCACGTCTTTTAACCCGTTTTCTCCTTAAAGCAAAGTTTACCCCCATTTCTCCTTGAGCTGGCAAACAAAACAGCAATAATGGAACAGTGAGTCGCCTGCTTTAAAAATAGCCACTTTTAAATAGACACCCAACCATTATATTTTTAGATGTGTTGTGGTATCGAGCTCATTGTCCTTTTTCTATTGCAATCCTAGATCTCCTAAGATGAGCAGTCTCGTGAATTGTTGTAGTATTATTTCTATGCTGATTAGAATCTATTCCTATTAGAATAAGAGAGTGGCATGCACTGAAATTGGAACCCATTACATAATATATGGATAGTTGCAGCAGATCCTAAATTAAAAAAAATATTGACTTGTGTGCATTATTAGCTTTTGCAGTCATTAATTCCCAATGCATTACCCCCTTTGCATTCCTCATGAAAACTGCTGCAAAGAACTCCACTCGACCCCATCTAGAATCTGTGGTGTGATTGTTTCATTTTCAGTTCGTCTGATTGGCAAAACAACGGTCAGTCGAGGTTCTGTTAAGAACTGTCTGGAACTCTGTGAATAATAACAAGTCTCCTGCTTTATTACTGTCATATACTTCAGTTTGAGTGGATCTTTAAAGATGGAGTAATAGATCATACTTCACAGCAGAGCATTTGGTAAGAACCACAGCTTTAACAGATATTTACCTTTAATTTCACACATTTTGCCTGTTAAAATAGTACAGTTCTGCACATAATGAAGGGGTATTTTGTAGACTTTGAGACCATGACATGCCGGTGCTTCATTCACTATGTTTTGCTTGTCCTTTGAATCAATATTTTGACACTTATGTGACACTTTTATACGTCTCTACTCATTATACGTCTCACAGAAGATATGTGCCAGTTAAAGTGCATGGTCAGTGGTCATGACAGCACAGTGAGGTTTTGAAATCAAACCCCTTTTAAGGGTGAACAAAAGGTTGCTAAGACTGAAAGGCCTTGAAGGTCTTAGGTTTTCGGTAGCTCGTTAGTTTGTTATATTTCTGGGAAATGGTTTGGTGAGAGAGGTAAAACAGAAATCTATCAGGTGGTTGTTCTTTAGCTTGCAGTAAATGTACTGCTTTATTATGGTTCCCTTGAGCCAGACTGATGGACTACATTATACAACTATAAACAGAATTATAAGTGGGGTTTAAGTAGTGCATTGCATAATTTTAACATCAGTTTCTTTTATTTTAAGTGTTCCTTATAAGCAAATATCCTAGCATTTTTTTTTGTTTTTTTTATTGTTTTATACATTGGAACAGTTCTAAGATGAGTCAATGTAAATGGCTAAGCCCCATTCATAGGTTGTTTCTTCTAGGTCAGGGTCATCTATCTGATGTGAACAGAGGACATTGTTTTAAATCTGTCATGTCTTACACTGCATTTACCTACCTTAAATTTCTTTAGCCTGGTATTTTCCCAGACTATAATATTGGAAGAATCGTTTTGTGCTTCCTTTGACATTCCCAAATTGCTTTTCTGTTTGCATTAACCATGCAAGTAAAGATCATATGTAGTTATGAAGTGTATTAGGTACCAAACACCCTAATACAGTTCCATCTGGTATTCCACACTTCAATTAGTACAGTAGCACTCCAATTCATCTTCTCTCCCCTTATCACTACTGTTTCCTATGCATTACATGGTTTGTGATCCATTAACAAGCCTTGCCTTTGATTAAGAATCGGCACATATGAAACTTCATCAATTTTTGTTTTATAAGTCTGAATTTACAATAAGTCCTACCTGCATGCACAGAACTACTGTTATATGTTCAAAGGAGATTGAAAACGTTAAACAGGATCTGCCTTTCTAAACTCATGTTGCCCATTCCTAATGAGATTACTTTAATACCACATCAAATTCTTCTAGATTCAGTCTAACTCCTTCTACAACGGTACACATCACAGAAATAGTTTATAGTTGACTTTTTTGCCCCTCTTTCTGTGGGTAGTTCCCCCATCATAGGGTACAGCTCAAGGACTGGGTGACTCTTACAGCATGCTAACCTAAGGTTAAGGAATAACATCCCTAATTTTTTGAAAATATAACAGCTGGCATGTTTCAGTTTCTGTCACATTGACATTGCTGAAACTGAACACTTTCCTGGGGGGATGTTAAAAGTAATTTCAGTCCTTGTGTTGTGTCTTTTCAGTTTTATTTTCATGGCAATAGACAGATCCGTTTCATGTTGCATGACCTGGGGTGTCATTTATTGCTCTGCTAATGTGGGTGTGTCTCCTCTCCTGAATGCTGTTCCTTGTTTTTTGGTTCCCAAACGCTGCTTTTCAGAATTTGGAGTAGTGAAAACCAGTCCTGGAGCAGTGAAAACCTGTTTAATGTTGTGTTAAGCAGTGACAGTGTTAAATTAGGAATCTGTCTCTGGTCAGTTGGCAGGCATGCTATTACTGTATATTGTAAAGGAACAAGTGATAGTTTATTCCATGCTGAAAAGAGAAGAAAGAAAAGATGTTTTATTTCTATTACCTATTACTTGTTCCTTTGCAGCCTACACGTGCTGACACAGCTACCCACCTGAACTACTTTTATATTGTATATTCCACTTTGCAACAAAACAACAATTTTAAGAGATTAAAGATTACGAGTACAGTGTGTGGTGAATTTGTCACAAATACAAATTCCATCATGAAAATTACATTGTAAAACAAAACCCTAAAGGATTTTGTAGTGTTATGCAGATAACGCTGCCTGGGCCACAGACAAGAAATGCATTTCACAGAAAAAAAAAAATAAAACATTAGCGCAAGATGTACTACCTACTGTATATACTGTATATACTATACTGTACCATAAATGTGTTTCCCCCCAAAGATAAGTAAAGCTTTTTTGGAGTGGGTTTTGTTAAATACTGAGGGTCCTGCATTCAATTTATGGAAAAGGAGCGGGCCTTTTGGAGTTGCTGCTAGAGTCCACCAACAGCTTGCTTTTTGTAAGGGAACCTATAGTTCAGACCTGTTCCTTCCACTGTGTGTCAGGTTGCCTATGCAGCAGTGGACTGCACGAAAGGACAGAACCATGATCTCTGCAAGCAAGAAGGAGTGGAAGGCTACCCAACCTTCAACTATTACAACTACGGCAAATATGCTGAAAAGTACACCGGCGAGAGAGGGGTGAGTTCAGCATCGCGTTCCAAAATGTCTCATCCACCTGGAAAGACGTTCTTCTGCAGAGCTGGAATGAAATATCTAGTTATAATGGAAGAACCATTGCTATTATGTTGTGTGCGAATGACAGTCATATACGGCAGAAACGTTGACCATTCCCGTGGAGTGGTTTCTCTGTTCAGGAAATCGTGTGGCAGTGTAGAGAGAATGACAGGCTTCAGAGCATTCTAATTTGGCAGCAGCACTTCACAGAGTAGAGATGGGGTGAAGATGTTGTTAAATAATAAATACCCAATATTTACACAAAATGGTTTTCCAGTGCATGCCATGGAATGCAATCAAGAATAGTTATCGCCGCTGACCTGGAAGCAAAGACTTGAGAATAAGAGTCCCAGGGACTTAATCAACATGAGAATAATCCAGTTAGTTAGGCACAGTCGCCCAGGGCACATTGCTGCATTGGAATCAAGGAGGTCACAGGGGTGGATTACAAATGTGCCTTGAAGCAAAACTGTTGGAAGTGATTATGCTGTGCTCCTGCTATTCAAACTTGAGGTGCACCGTGAGCATGGTGTTGCATTTCTGTCTGCTACCCAGTAAATTCTCTTTTCGACGTAAGATTTTCAGTTTCAGTTTCTTATTAATGGAGAAGCCGGATTTGTACGCTGCAGCTCAAAACATAAGAAAGGATAAAAATGAGAGCAGTTCCTTCATCTTATCCTGCGTATTTGATTGCTAGTAGCATGTTCTGAGCACAGGGCACCTTGGGCAGCTAAAATATGGTTAATTAGCTGGTAGTAAATAAGCATGGTTAATTTAGTGTTTAATTATAATTCTCAATAATAACTCTTCATAACTTAAAGAAACCAGGTTCACTTGTTTTCCCCTCCACTCTTCATCAGGAGGAAGGTTTTGTACGCTTCATGAAGACCCTTCGAGGCAAGGACCAGGAAAAGGTGGGAAAGAGGAAAGACGAGCTTTAACATCATGGTACTGGGAGGAGGGACCCTGCCTTTGCACTGGGAGATAGGCAGAGCCCGTCCTTCACCACTGGAGCCAGAGACTTCACACCTCGCCAAGACACATGTTTTATACAAATGAGCAGTTTGTGAAATATTTCTAAGACTATCCGACCACTTGAGATTCTTTTTTTACAAAAATGATTTTTTGTCAGAAAACATGCCATTTCCCCCGAAACACCGTGAATGACTGCAGTTCTGGAATTCTACACTTTACCTATGCAATACTTATTGTGCCCTTGCAGTCACTAACTTTTAACCCATTTAGAGGAGGTATTCTGTGAATGAAGACTCGGTCTTCATCGTTGGTGTGTACCCTGCGCAAAGCCATTTCCTTTCACGTCCGTCTGAAGAGCTCTTCGATTTCTAAGAGGAACAACAAATGCAAGTTACACATTCAGAAGATATTTTTGTATCTTGACCTAAAAAAATGTACATACACATCAAGACTCAAAATAATTGTGGCCTTAAGTTTTAAAGTCTGGAGGTATCCCAAACATTTGGTATGGTTGCATAAATAGCAGTGAATCAAGAAAAGGTCTTTTAACTGTGAGAAAAAAACAGTCATCTGCACTGGTTTTATTCAAAACTGGGTGTTTAATTTTCTTTCCCCGTGTTTCATAATCTGTTGTGAAAATGATGACAAACGCTTAAAAGTCAAGTGGCGTCACATAGACAAAGGTTGAATATTTTGCAGTAGGGTCTTCCAGATCATAGGGGGAACTATGCAGGCACACCTCCACCTTTCTCACACGAGCCCCTGAAAACCCTGTTTCTTCTTTGCAAGTTTTGGTGAGGGGAAATTGAAAGAGCTGCTTTTTTCTCGAGCGACTCACGCTTAATGCTGGTCTTGAGAAGAGAGATTAAATTGAGCTCTGCCAGACCATCTTTTAGCCCAGATTGGCCCACAGCATGTGTGTTAAACGCACCTTCTCTTTAGGAGTCTATTCCACTGAGGAAGGGGGAGAAGGCATGTTAATTCCCTGTAGCAGGGCCACCAAAACTATGCCCCAAATTGCCTGTAACTTCTTCCTTCCTCTGCTTCTCTCAGGCAACTGTGTTCTGTTTAACTCAGATTTCTTTTGTCTTTTACTTGGCTATTTAAACTCTAAATGGATGCGCACTTAAAGTTACTGCAAATTTCAGTACTTAGTTAAGGGAATTAGAAAATGATTTGGTAATTATATATAGACAGTTTATGCCCTTCCACAGAGTTCAGACAGTTTTTTTTTTTACAGTGAAGTTAGCAGGTTTGACACTGCAGTGGAAAAAATCTCAGTAATTCAAAGTCGGCATAAAATTAGCAGCTGGTAATATTCATGTGTCCTGCATCCAGTCTTAATTCTGTAGAAACTGGACACACCTGTTTTATAGGGAGCCAAGACAAATTCACTAACAAAACACTGTTGTTAATGAAATGTGCCAGTTTGCTCTCTGACGTTTTGTACTGGAAAAATGTCCCTCACAAGCATGGCAACCTTATCGGCAGCACGTGCTTTGGAATGGAGAGTAAAAAATCCAGGTTTTCCAAAGTATTTTTCAAAGTTGTCCAGCAGTGATCAGAGCAGAGATCCTGCAGATGCAAAGTCTAAAAGCCTAAAAGCCAAAAGCCTTTTTAGTATTTTCCAAAGAGCTTCTTTAAGTAAGTCAGGGCTAGTGTTTTTTTTTCACTCTACCATTTCCTCTGTCCTGTTCAGGGCATTATGGTCCCCTGGGATGCATATTTCCAATAGCAAATATTGCAGTCAGCACCAGAGTTTTTGTGGAGATGGTGGAAGTCCCTAGTCCTACAGCACAGTTGTAAGATGAGAGGGATTTTAATAATTGAGCCATTATTATCTCTGTGGTAACTTTAACACTGTGTTTGCATCTCCCAGCTAAACCATTATAAATATCTAATGTACTTTCTGTAACAGCATTTGTCTTTTATTATTCAAGAGTTTGGTTTCACTCATTAAATAAAGTTCTCAGGGACACTGAGAGGTGATTAAAGGGAACTAGTGTGGTGTGATTTGCATTCCACTTGGATGTACTCGATCCAAGTTGAAGAATTAAGAATTGTTTACACTTGTATGTGAAATGTGATATAAAAATAAGAGGTGTGGGAGTTGTTTTCCTGTGCCAAATCAGGGCTCTACATGTAATAACCCAGTGATATCACATCTCTTGTGTATCTTTAAAGAAATGTGTGAACAAATCCTTGTGCTGTGATTATGTAGGTGATTTACACACTCAGTTCACATTCTGTCCTAAATGTACTTACAGTAGCTTTTCTCTGTTGAGATCTGTTGTCAGTAATGATTTGTTTCTGTATTAAACAGTTTCCACGAAATTCGGTGGAAGAATTCTGAAATGAAAAAAAAACAGGGTGTTTTTTAGAAAGAAAATGCTGTTGTATTCCAAAGTTTTCAGAACACTAGGAACTTGTCACACTAGTACCAAGAAGTCAGTTTTGCCTATTTTGGCTTTAACTGTTTAGCCATATGTACAGTTTGTGCCCAATCACCGAAGTCCCCCCAAAATAAAAGATACAAATTTAAACTAACTGTGTTTGTGTTTTTTATCAACTGAAAGACTCCTGTTACTGAAGAATATAAACATTTTATTGAAACATGTCACCTCAACATTATAAAAAATGTATAGCATGTTAACACTCAGATTAACAGATTATTTATTTTTTATATAAAACGTAAAAAAGAAACCAGTATTCAATTCTGATTTTGAAGTTTAGCTTGATTTTCAGCCTTCCTCCTGGCTGCTTTGAATGGAATTGGTGAGGCGTGATTTACACTGTGAAATGGCTCCTGTATACTGTAACTGTGTCCTGAAATCTCAAACTCGGCAGTTTTTTTTTGAAGGGGATGTAAAGCATAATGCGAGTCCCAGGGTCCAAGAAGGCGCCGATGCGCTGTGTTGTCATTTACAGCGGTTGTGTTGCCAGGTTTGCTGCAGTGGGTCTGCTTTCACTCACAGCTGTGACAGAGCTGTGAGCTGTGTGGCCAGGACTGGGGAGACCACAGAGGGTCAGGAAGCTCATCGGGTCCAGTTCCATAGGGTTGGCTCTTCTTGCACTTTCTGGGCCTTGATGAGGCGGGAGCCCCCACAAGCACCGCTGCAGGCGCTGGGCTTCTCGGAGACAAGATGCTGTGCAAGAGGACTCTTCTGTCAGGAGGGGGGCAGGACTGGCTGGTTCTTCGATTTCCCAGCACTGGAACAGAGGGCGAGTTTTGATGTGGTTATTTTCACTGCGTTGTCATGCACTGGAGACTGTGACGGCCTGTGTATGATGACTGTAATTTTGGAATTGAGGCTGTCCAGTGACAACAGGAAAAGCAAGAGATGGTTTCAATGGCCTATTTTTGTAGAAAAAAAGAGAACAAATAATGGACCTCTTGACCAGCATGTTTCTTGTTCTTCAAAAGGGCTTTTCATAGATACAAACATGCAAGGATTGCCTGCAGATTGAGATCTGTGCTGTTTTTTTCATTAAGCTTGCTAAAGAACTAGTGTTGTTTAGGCCAAGTATTTAATATAAGTTATATCCACGTAATGTCAACATGCAAAAAAAATTGAAGTGTGGAAAACACTAATTTCACTGCTGATCCTGTTAGAGTCCATAACACCAGAAAACATCAGAGAGATTGCCAAATATTCTTTGGTGCATAGGCTTTATCAAGAACACATTTACTGTAGATGCGATACATTTATTACCATGCTTCTGAGTGTGTAGTCACCAGTATGTTTTCTTTTCAAATAGATGCTCAATAATGACTTCATATTCTAATTAATAAATGTCATGTCTAAAATTTTCCGGAATCTCTGAATCATGTTTCTTTTTTGGTCATTTAAGGACGTCTTCAGATGAAGTCGATGGATAAAATGGAGAACTATTTCATGAGCAATGTGGATATTTAGTATGATATAGATACCTTGCTGGGTGTAAGTCATTCATCTCAAGCTCTGTCGGACATTCCGAACTCCTGTTTAACACATTGTATGCAGTGTTCAGCTACGGTAGTTATTTGATTAATGGCGCAGAATGTGAATATAAATATACAATCAATCACAATTAGATTGAAGGAGATATTGCAGGACCCAGCCATTTTCCACAGCAATTTCTACTGCTCCAACACCTCAGAAGAACACACAGGGCAGGGGCCAAGCACAAATCTCCTAGAAGAAATAAAGCCATTCTAATATTAAGCTTTTTCCAAAGAAAGGATGATTTCTTACGTGAACACCTTATCTAGACAATAATTATTGCTCTTTGATCATTATGTTCTGTCCACCCACTTCGAAACACAACCCTCAGTGTCTTTCAGATTTCATTACAATACACTTGTTTCACCTAAAATACCCGTGAGATATTTTTCCCAGAATTACTGGGATTTATCAGTAGCTGAACTTAGTCTGCAGGCATAAAAGTAGTGTAACAAAGTTTTCTTACCACCATTGCACTGAATCGGTCCTTGTGATCACCCATCAGGACGGAAAGGGTTAAGTCATTGCAAATTGCTTGAGAAAGGCATCCACAGGCATTGTTCCCTGAGTGAGCACTGCACAGAAGTGGGCGAACTAATCACTCTAGATACGATACTGGGCAGACCTCCAGGAAAAGCTCTTAATGCCCTCCATCAAAATCTGCAGCATCTTATCTGAACAATTTCAAAAGTTAAATGTGTAACAGTTTGTCTGACCCTTCCCTGTGGCATGAACTGGTATAATGTGTGAGGCAATTCATCCGATCAGATCTGTGCACATCCGAGAGTTGTCAAGAAACCCACTTCTTACATCCATCTCATATTTAACCTCCTAGAAAGCCATTCACATGTGCATGCAGTACAGCAGATATTTACAGTGTTAATATTGTAAGGTATTGTTTTTGAAATCTGCTCAAATGTATCCTGGAATTGCTTGCTACCTAACAACACTCAGTGTTTGTAGATCTGGCAATTAGACAGTGGTATTTTCTGCAGGATAATGATTACTGAGCAAAGACAAGAGAGAGAGATTTTAACATTAATTGATCACTCTAACCTGCAGCGTGATTCTGGGGTCAGTTGCGCTTGTACTTTAAATTCCAATGTGCTGCGTAAAACTCTCAAATGAACTGTGACACCTATACCGATAAAAATGATTAATTTAACTTACCAATCTGCACATCAACAAATAAATGGGTTTTGTTTACCCTCACAGTCACTCTGCTTGATCAAATTGTCTACGTTTCTGTTAAGAAAAATTGGGCGATTGCTTTGGTTGTTTCTGTTAGTGCTCAGAGTGTTGCTAAAAAGGAGATGGTTATCACTGTGGTATAACAGTGTTTAGAGCAGAATACTAAAGCTTGTGCAATATGCATGTTTAGTGAATCTACTATGCTCAGTTTTCTTGCAATCTGAGTAAGGGAATTCAATCAAATAAAATGAAAAAATAAATGTTTTGTGAAACAGTTTTTATTTTTTTTAAATAAGAATAAACAGTATAATTGAAAAACAGAAACCACCTCACAAAAACAATTTGCCAATGTAACAAGTCAAATAAAAAAAATTCTGGCCTTTATAGAGGTTATCAAACAAAAATTAAAACATTTTCTCTTATGTTTCTCAAGATCATTACTAAATTACTGGATATCCATTGCAGAAAGATTCATATAAAGTTTTATTTCTATAGAGCACGACACTTTCAGGCTGTCATTTAAAGTCATTATTTCTGGTACAACCTGGAAAATATAGTTCTGCACAATATCAGACTTAAATGGTTCTTTGACCCGGCCCAACAGTTTTTCCAAGAAATGAAATATTCAGGGGTTCATAAGATTTCAGCTCCTTCCGTAGAGACAGAAGAGTGATCTGTTGCATTAAAATGCCTTTTGTACTTCTTGTCTCTAAGTAATGTCAGGCATAGATATTGACCTTTACCAAACTGCATCAGCTTATTTTGAAAAGTTTAGGCAGCAGGGAAAATACATTTTATCTACTATATGACTGCAGTTTGCTTGCCACCTTTCCAAGTAAGGATTTATGATGACTTGAATGGCACGCCTGGTTAATTCCCAGAGTATGGTGCATTTGCGTGGTTCAGAAATATTTTTGGTTCAAGAGCCTCAAGGTTACCCTCATAATTCCAGACTGTTTTATGGAGCGTGTCCTGGGAGATGACAGCAATTTCTTTAAAAAAAAACACGACCTTTCCTGACAGATTTTATGGTGCATCAGAAACACTTCAGGAAGACTTTTTTTAACATTTACGATCAAATCGCAGTTCATCTTGAACTACTAAAATTATAATAGTCGTCATGGGAATAAACAAGAGGTAAATGCGTATGCAGAAATAATGAATATGAATACAGTAAAGATTCAATCCAGTTAGTGACTGAATATAGTTAGTAACAAGATAAGGACACAATGAATGATAATATAGCATCGGCTTAACTTGACAGAATTTCATCAAGAACATTTCCTTGATTCATAGTTATTTTGTCAGAACACCACAGAGAAACATTAACTGTTATCACCACCAGCATGCAAAGCACCTCATTATCTGAGGAAGGAGATCTCCAGGAACTCATTAGTACCATTCTGGGACAGGAAATTCTAAGATTAACCAAATATAGAATAAAAGTGATCTTCTGTAAAACTTCAGTGTAAGTCTAGATCTTCAATATTTTATACTAAAAGTCACCCAAAGAGACTCTTTCAAATACAAGGCTTTGAAAAAGACCCATTTGTCTTGTTTCCTCTTGATGAAGTTCAGACCAACTGAATTTGATATCCAATTGCCAGAGTAAATAACACCCTTTAGACGGGTTAATTCAAGTTCAGTAAAGGAGAACCAGGAGATGAGAGAAACCCCTTACAGCCTGTGCTGTTGGATGCCTCCAGTAACTCTCTCAGAAATGTTCACGCATCTTGTCCCTTACAGTCATAATATTTTCTTATGCTTCATTGGTTGTGTACATTGCAGTTTCTTTTTAAAAAGGCTCATCTGCATCGATCATACTACTTACTCCAACCAGAATCCTATTGAAAAGGAATATTGAAAAATGCAAATCATTGTGTGAAAATGATTTAGCAAGTGAAATAGAGGCTGCAGGATTCAGTTCATCCAGAGATAACTAGTAAATTGGAAACTGAGTTTCACAAGACCCCTATCAAAGCATTATTTCATCATTAAAAATCAGTCATCTCATTAATAATTAAGTTGCTCCTGAAGGGGAAACCAAAAATATATACAGTCTTTTAGTACGCCTCTAATAATGAGAGCAGAATTTAACTTTTGCCTCTGGGTTCACAAGGGTTCTGTACTTTGGTATAATTAATATTTTTCAGCTGGATTGTCTACTTTTAGTAGCAAAACATATTCATAATTTGTTTTCATAAACAAAGTTTAAAATTGTATGATGTGCTCTAAACTTGTTTGAGGCCTTCTCTAAACTTCAGAATGGTAAGAAATCACTTGCACTAATTAAAATGAATCTGGAACTGCACATTCTGGAAGCCAGTTTCTGCTTTCTATGCACTAAGGTCGCCTGCTTGCCTGAGGGTGAGAAATTCAAGTGGTTAATGAGATAATGTAATAGTTTATTGCCAACTTTCTTATTCTTTCTTTTCAATAGTGGTTACCCATTGCATTCTCACGTTACTCGTTACTACTACTCTATAGCAGTCTAAAACTTTATTGAAAACCGCCTGCAGCTCTAGAGTATTAACACATACTCTGCTAGGTTCTGTTTAAGGCACTTCCTTTGATCAATATGCAGCTCAGCTACTATTACATATGGTTAGATTGTAGTTTCCCCTGACTTCACAATTTATTTTTATAAAGAGAGAAGGTAATACCCTACCTTGACTTTCTTTTGTGTCACACCTGGTGGTAAAACAGTAATGACTGTTCCATGCTGCTCCTATTAACAAAGTCACCATCTTCTGTCAGTCACTGACCCTGTAGCTCATTGTGATATTCCAGTGCCCACTGCCCTATGAAGGAAGACCATGTTATTCCCTTCTTGAGAGTGAAATGACAAGTACTGTATCTTGGCTTATAATGAAAATACCTTTGCAGTCTCCCTGCGACAGAAGCCACATCCTCAATGGTCGGTCAAGTGTGTCATACTCAACTCCTGGACTTCAGATCTCAATTATGGGTTTGGGTTGGTGTGCTTAAACATTTTAAAACATGACCAGATACATTGCTTAAAGGTGTGAAAGAGTTGTTTGTAGAATGGTGAATTGTATTCCAGTTAATCAAAATATTGGACTGAACAAACAGGGTTGTGGAATGGACTGGAAGTCTGAAGAGGAGTCTGACAGCCTGTAGTTAATAAAGCTCAGTGTTTTTGTAACAGACAAGCAGGTCACAAACCTACGTCCTGCTGGGAGACTGTACCCTAGGGCACATCAAACTAGCACTGGGGTCAGTACTCAGAAAGGACCTAGAACAGGCTCAGGGTTATTCTTTCCACTTCATCCTGTAGCTCTGCCTTCTTCCTGTCTCTTGCAGCCTTTCTTATTTATGGCTGCCTTCACCCTGCCTCATGTCAGAATAACGGGCTCTGCGTCTCCGATATATGCAGTTATCACTGCTGCTCCCAAGAAGAATATCTCTCTGTTAGCATCATTTCCTTTTTCTCTCAATCCGTCCACGTGGGGAACCGTCTTTAGGCCTTTGGACTTGTAACTGTAGGGCCGTGGGTTCAAATCCCAGCTGGAACCCTGCTGCTGTGGCCTCCGACCTCAGACTGCTCCAGTAAAACACCCAGCTGTATAAATGGGCATCCATGAAAGCTGCTTTCAATAAAGTTGTTAGCCAAATACGTCAGTGACTGTATCTTGCCCATGATCCCCTCTGTGTCCCCTGTGAATCTCAAATAACCTGCAGGAATGATCACTGGGATATTTTTTTCTGAGAGGTGACTGCAAGGCTGCACAGCAATCCTTTAAGACACTCTTGGGAGAAAAAAAATCACTAGTAAACTGCAACCAACCCTTCAGCTCCCGTGTAATAATAGCAGCTTAGCTACACATTCCTGTACAAAGGAACGATGTCCAGGACATTGAGTTAAATTATTTGTTAAACCGATTCATCTCGGGTTTGTAGACTTTGTTAGTGTTTTTTTATGCTCTATTACTTGATTTCAGTTGATGCAAATATTTAATATTTATCACTTAGGCCTACTTACTCATCTAAAAAAAAAAAAAAAAAAACGAGCAAACATCAGTAGCGCTGATTTTACTAACCTGTGCAGGTGAAGCACACAGGCGCGAGGCGCAGCGTGAGCCGCGGCCGGGCACCCACAATGCAACGCGAAGGGGCCACGTAAACATATTCGCCCCGCCGTTGAATGAGGAAGGCGAACATGGATGAAATGTGACTCGGGGAGAAAAAAAAAAAAGAATTTCGCGAAAAGGCTTTTCATCAGCAGCCGTTTAACGCATGGTCCGTTTCAGGTCAGCATACTGATGAAATTCACTCACGCTTTTGCACGGTTTGTCGCTCGTGGGCCTGCTTCTTTGCGCGGAGTTTAATAAACCCGGCGGCGAGAAAAGCCTCTTGATTTTAGAGATCTCTTTCCGAGCGCTGTGTTTCTGCCAGGGAACTGAAAAAAATAACATTTAAGGTCTATCTCTTTTTCATCAGATGGCCGTTCCCAGGAATGACTGCACTGCAGTAAGTGGGTATAGAGGGAGGCGGGTTCGGGGATTGAGGGAGACGAGTGCATTTGATCTGTTAATGTTACGCTCGTTACTGAAGCTATTACAGAAATGCATTCATGTTTTTTTTTTAATTTATGGAATTCGGTTCCCTTATGTCTTGCTGCCGAGAGTCGATTTTATTTTAGAAAGGCGATACCGTTACAGCTGCAGGCTACGTCCAGTCCAGCTGTTTGTCAGCGGGGATCTGAGGTTTGTCCTGTGACTCGGTATGCCTGTCGACTGCCTTCGTCAGGTAAACCTGCGTATCGTAAGGCGTTGCTGTGGCGAATTATGCCCATGATGCAAAATTATAAATGTCGGTAAAAGAGGACGATGGGTGTAAAAACGGATTTGTTACAGTAAATTAATCTTCTTGCAACTCAGCCATCCAGGCGTCGCCCCTAATGATCGCCTTCACATCAATAACGCGGAGAAGTGGTTTTGTGTTAGTTCATGCTGTCCCTATGGTAAGCGTTACAAGCAGTCTTGAGTTTTCAGAAATGAAATGTTAAGGTGTTAAGGCCATTTTTTTTCACACCCCCAACCACAGCTTCCGTGAGCATTAGATGAAACCCTTATTTCCCCGTTTTCATTTCGCCTGTAAAGGCGTGCGGAGTGCCCGGCGATGTCCGCGCCTGCCCTGCCTGTCGAGAGCTGTGGTCGCGCACACTCGTTCTGCAGACGTTGGCACGGCTGTTTGATGAGCCCTTTCACGACGCACCGCTGAAGAGCTCCCCACAAAACTCAGCCTTGCGGTTTTATTTCATCCGTGCCTGGCGTGGCGGTTCCGCGGGCTCCACGGCCGCCGGCTCACGGTGGTGTGTTCTCGGTGTGGCCGTGCCCGCCCAGGCACCGCGGTGAGGCGGGCTAGGACGGTACCTGCAGGGCGCCGGGACTCTTTCAGAAGCTCTCCAGGGTTACAGATTTTCCCAGGGCCCGATCAGACTAACGATCCGCAGCGAAGACATCTTCTTGATGAAGTGCAGTATTCCATCAGGATAATTGCGGAAATAAGCAATACATTGAACAGACTGCTATATTGCCGGGGTCATCATTCCTTGATGTCCTACCCTGAAAGTATTTGTGTCTTACAGTCATTTTACAGTCAGTCCTGGTTTCTCAACCAAGCGTATTGATTGTGGAGAACAGCTTGACAAGCAGGCCGGTAATGTCCATAGGACATAGGAAATGAGATGCAAGAAAAGTGGGTAGGCATTTACTTACAGTACTGTCTTATCCTGTCTGTGCCACACAGGTTTTCTTTTATTCTTAGGTTGCAGCGTGATTGGCAGGCATTTAAGGAATGCTTTATTCTCATTCCCGCCAGGCACTTTGTGATCCCTTTTTTCCCCGATGCTTGCAGTTTTGTGTTTGGCAAGTGCTCCCGGGAGGACGAGTTAACCTCTGTTCATCCTCGCGGTGCTTGGAGATATTTGTTTTGAAGGGGAAGCTTGGATTCAGTTGCCTTTTGACTGGAGTGGGATTGTCTTAAATGTCTTCTTAATTCGTTGTCAGGTGCTTTCCATTCTGCAATCAGAAATCAAGTGGCAATAGCTTTTAATTAACAGATGTGTTGGAGCCAACGTCCTGCGTGTGTGGGGTTGTATTACTGTTAGTGGGAGGGCAAACCTTGAGAAAAAGTCTCATGGCTGTTATCTGTTTGTCAGGGGTTCGATTATTTCCAGAAGGTCGCCACAATATGAATGACCCTTTTTTAGCAACAAAATATATTTTTTTATGAATGGCATGTGGATTAATTATAATCCACCTTTCATTATGTAAAACAAATCAAAATAAATTCCTGCACGTACAAGAATAAAAACAGACATACACGTGTGCAGATAATGGTGTATTTGTTGGACTGTATCTGAAGGAGCGAGGAGTTCCTGAGAAGAGGGCTGGAGAGCAGGTGTTTTATACCTGCTGGTATCAAAACGGTTTGTTTCGTGTCTGCCTTCACCCCGCGACGAGTTTCATTCTGGGGGGTTATAGACTGGGAAACAAAAATGGACTTTAAGAGTCAATGGGAAGACCACAAGGGTGCAGAAATCCAAGCGTGAATGTGTAAAACTCTTTCTTCCCTCGGCAGGTCGGGTTTCTTTTAATGTCATCCCACAGGGTGGTGGTTAGTCTAATGGGTTCGGGCTCCTCCAGCTGCCCTGCATTTTACAGGGTTGTTCAGCTCAGAAGGTGCTGTTCCAACCCCCTCTCCAAGCTCTGACTTGTAATAATGTCACAGGCTCTCGTTTCTTTTTTTTTTTTTGCAAAACGGTATTCTAGGTTCGGTGCAGACTCTTAGAATGAAAAATAACCGCTGGCGTTTGTATATCACTTTTCTTCCCGAAAGATATTTTGTGCTTGTGCGTTGTACTTTAATCTTGTAATGTGAATGTTCATGTATTGCTAGGCTTGATTGAATCTGCTTCATTGAAATGTACTTTCTTGGCTAGTCGGGAGACAGTTATTCTTATTATATTGGAAGTGTGTCTTCAAATCCATTTAGCCTACAGTTAGGTTAACGGCAGCAAAGGTTATTGCAGCCTTCTTGATATTGAATAAAGTGTATAGCCTGTGCTTTTACTTCAGTCCGTCGTTTTCTCTTTTTCTTACGTAAAGGCAAATCATGTTTGAACCTAAAAAACAGGATGAAGAAATAAAATGTTTGCTAATGCTAATGATTGTCTACGTTAGTGTCAAGTAGAAAGAGCTACTTGATTAAACTGTTTTTTTAAATTGATTTAATTGTAGTATAATCGCTTTCTGCATTGAGATTAAAGGCCTAATAGATTTACCAACACTTCTCACCGTTGACTTTCGCAGGTTTCCAGCAAGCGCATTTTAAGATGTCCATGGTTCTGTTTGCGTCCGTGGTCCGGGTGAGAGATGGGCTCCCCCTGTCTGCTTCCACAGATTATGAGCAGGACAAAGGAGTTCAGGAAAGTAAGAAATACCTTAAGAGCCTCTCCAAAAAATTAAGTCAATTTCCTGACAGGTGTACATTGAAAACTGGACAATACAACATAAAGTAAGTGTCCGACCCAACATTTTCCCTTTCCCGAGTGTACAAGCATATTTAGGTGATATATCTTTCATGTTTTTTTATACCAGTAGCTTTGAAATCATCAGTATCTTTTTGTCTCACATTTCACTTCTCCCAGGGCAAACATTGTATTAAAAGATGTTTGAGTTGAGGTGAACAGTAAACCATCAAAAAGAGTTTTCAAGTTATCTGTTAATCTCCAGAAGGTTTAGGTGCATCTCTTTTGAGGATTTTTAACTCAGATGCATGTTACCTCTGGGACCACTTTGGTGTTTCGCTTCTTAAGTTCTGACATTTGCTGTTCCATCATCACTTGACCTTTATAAAAGGAATAAAAGAACAAACCCCTCTCTTCCTTATGCTGTGAATGAGTTATGGATCTGTTACATTCCTCCAAGTTGACATTACAGCGCTTCCACAAATAGTTTTTTTCATCTTTCCTGTCACCGCCATGGAGGAGTAATATTACGAAGCTCGTTATTTTTTATAAATAATGGTGTTTAACAAATTCAGTAAAACACCGTACTGTACATGCAGTGCCCTCCAGAATTATTCTAACGTTCTTCATACATACGGCTGTTTTAATAGCATTGCACATTTGCAGAGTTAAATTGTCAAACTTAACCGAAAACATGAAGGTCACAGTCATTCACACCCGTGCAGTATTTTTTTTTTCTAAATCCTCCTCTGGCAGGGATTACACTGACAGGATAGTTTGCTGTGAGGTTTTGAACAGGGATATTTCTACCATTCCTCCAGGTGGAATTGCTCTATGGTCTTCTAGCACTTTGACTTCCATTTGTGGCTATCTTGAGTTTAAACCATGAATGTTTTAATCGGATTGGCGTCTGACGATTGGAATTTGCAGTCAAGACCATTTCTTTTTTGTGTGCAGTTAACCATATCTTTGGTGATTTTGACATGCGCGTCGGATCATTATTTTACTGGACTGTACAGTTTTTGATTTCTTTTATTTTAACCAAGGCTTCAGAATGTATATATGCATAATAGAACCAACACCATATTTTACAACAAACATGCATTTTTTCATCATTAGCTTAATCTTTTTTTTTTGCCAAACAAAATGCTGATGAGCATGTCCAGAAAGATCATTTCTTGACAACTAGACAGAGTTTCAATTATTATTCAGATGTAGTTTGGCAAATTTGAATTGCCTCTTTTTGTGGTTTATGCTCAGAAGAGGTTTCTTCCTTCCAGCACATTCACGCAGGCAATGTCGAATGGTGGTTTAAGTATCCTGAGAACGGAGAGCTCTTTGACCTTAGCCATGATGATGCAGGCAAATAGGAGGTTTCCAGTGAATTTCCAAAGAGTGGAATTCTGTTGTAGGCTTGCTTTTTGTTTTTTAGGAATTTGTTTAAAGGGTACTTAGAGGTGTGATTAAATGTGACCCTCATGTTTTCTGTTATTTGGTTCATTATGTATGACAAATATGACTATGCTCTGCTATCTGCTATTACAGATTTAGTATACCATTGTTAAAATTTTTCAAGCAAGGCAATATGATGTTTTTTGGTACTATTTCAAGAATAAATCTGTAAGACGCTGTATGTAGATAAGAGCATTGCACTGATCTCCTATTCCCTAGTCTAAAGTGTTTGTGTTCCTCCTCCTTTTTTTTCGGATGTTATTGAAAGCCTCCCAGATAATTTGCCTTCTTTTCCTAATAGAACCTGTTTTCCTAATAGAATCCATTGCCTTTCAAAATGACTTGAATGTAATTTTAAACAAACAGAAAATGGGTTGTAGCGTGACATCTAATTGAGGTGGTTATGTTGAATGACTTGTTTATCTGGATTTTTTTTCCCAGTGTACTTTGTTTCTCTTTTTTAAAATCTTTAAGAATCGAAAACCTTAACGTTCTATCTAGTGATAGGGAATTGACTCCCACATTGCTCAATTTGCAAGCTGAAGTCTTGTGAACAGCCTTGAATTGAATATGTTGAAGTTACAAAAAATCCTATTTTTACAGTTTTTGGGCAGCATTGCCTTTAACATGTCTTACTGGAATATCCCTGCCTTGTTACTTACTGCAACAGTAATCCCAGTGCTCTAAATGAGACTTACTGTCAAGATTTATGGATAAGCATCTAGGGTTGGTTTTATTTTGTCTCAAGAAAGCTTCCCACAATTCTCTGATGCTTTTATCTGTGTGGAATTTGTATTGGTATCAAATTAATACAGAACTGCTGCCTCACAGTGACAGGATAAACCCCTGAAAATATGACGAGAGCCCAGATTTCTCATTATCACAGTTCTCATGCCCTCCAGTGCTTTTAAGTGTATTATTTCCCTTTGTCTTTCTTTGTGCTGTAGCTTTACGAGCTCTTTAGGAGTTGGGTATATGATGGTATGCACGGAGAATTACCCCAATGTCCTGGCATTCTGCTTCCTGGATGAGCTACAAAGGGAGTTTATTGTTTCTTATGATACAAAGCGAATAAACAGCGCCGTTCGCCCATATTCCTTCATCGAATTTGGTGAGTGCCCTACATGTAAACGGTAGTTCTTGTGTTTCTTATATTTATGATTGAAACAGCAGATCCAGGACAGTTTCGATCAATTCATTCAAATTAAGGTACAAATGCTTCATGAAGGCTGGACAGCCAAAGTGCCGTTTCTCCGTTCAGTTTTTCAGCACGGACTGTCCTTGACATGTTCCTTTGCAGGCAGCCCACGCTGATGCAGCTCCCCTCTCGAACCTCTACAAGCATGTCTGTTTTTCTGCTTTGTCTCACTCCTAGTTTTGAGAAATGGCTAGCAAACCCAAACACCGGACAAACTGTGCTAATTTTCCGTGTTTTTGTTTTTCGAAAATATCTGATGCTTCTTCTTTCCCACAAAAGATAATTTCATACAGAAGACCAAACAGCGGTATAACAGCCCTCGATCTTTGTCGACAAAGATGAACCTTGCTGACATGCAAACGGAAATCAAGCTCCGACCACCTTACCAGCTCTCAGCTGCTGATGTGGGAACAGTGAATGGCTTTTCACACCCCTCCTCTTCCATATACAAGGGCATAGGTAAGAGCTTATTTTAAAAAAGCTTCACGGCTGTTTCTAATTAGTTTAATATTGTAACTAGATCTGACTTTTCCCCATCAGTGAAGAAGCAGGTTTCTAACGGTACTAAATGTGAAAAATAATTGAGTCTTTGTTGTCTGGAATAAGCAACCAGTGATCAATGAGAACTCCTGCATCTAGAAAAATAATCGGAGAGAGAGCATAAAGATCACAAACCAGAGGAGGGCATTCATTGCTCTCGCTTTTTTGGTTGCTAGTAGATAATTGATCCAAAGACTTCATCCAGCTATTTATTTAAGGAAGCCAGGTCAGTTGTTATGGCATAGCTGGGCAGCTTGTTCAAGATTCTCTCAACCCTCTTCTTTTGAAAGTACCCCCTGTTCTCTATTTTAAATGCACTCTACATTAATGGTCACTTGTGTCCTGTGGCTTGTGTTTCCCTGCTGATCCTGAGGTAGTCCATTTGGTTGACTTTCTCGTTGGTTTTAAGAATTCTGAGTACTATAATTGGATCCCCTCGTATTCTTCTCTGTACAAGCCTTTGGTTCTTTTATCCTGTCAGAGTAGGATATTCCTTTTAACCTGAAAATGTATCTGGCCTCTCTTCTCTGGACAGATTCCAGAGCACTTATATATTTTTTTGTAATGAGGTGACCTAAATTGTACACGCTATTCTTAATTAGGCCTTGCTAGTGCTTTGTGGAACCTCAACTTAAAAAAAGCATACAGAAATGTTATATCTTCCCCACAGTGTTTAGAACAGGGCTATTAAACTCAGTTTCAACATCGTTGGTTTAATTATTTAATTCACTGCACAGTTATGATACTTCTAACAAGGCTCCAAGGTTAATTTATAGGTTATTAGTTTTAATTAAGTGAATGTCTTTTAAAATTAAAATTCTTTATAGGAAATCCTTTTTGTGTCTAATTTAGAAAATAATTAGGTTAATTGTTTAATTGACTACTCAGGTTGGAACAAAAACCAGAAGAGACAAGATCCTGGGTTTCATACCCCTGGTCTGGATGATGTAAATGATGTATAAAAAAATATCTTTGAAAATTTCTTTAAAGATAAACATCTCTGACATTATTTTTCATAAATAGCTTCTTCAAGTTTGGTGTTTCCCATCTTATAGTTTGCTTTTGCTACCTGCATGCCACACTTTGCTCTTACCTGGTGTTTGCGGCTAATACTCCTACTTTTATATCATCTATGGAATAAAGTAAGCTGTATTCCTAATACAGATTCCTGTGGTACTCCGCTAATTACATCACTGTCATTTTAGCATTCAGGCTATCTTTACTCTGTTTTCTGTCCATTAATCAGTTCTCAATCCAAAGAAACATTTCCATGAATGCTTACTTTCTGCAAATTGAAAATAAATCATAATGAGGAACTTAATTGAAAGCATTCGGAGGATTCTAAATATACAGTGTCATTTACTGAACTTCATATTCATTAATACTATTGCTTGATTGAAGAACTTTCAAGTTAAACAAGACTTTTCTTAATGTTGTCTATTCCCTCAAATTCTGTTAGCATACAGTTGGTCTGTTTCAGTTGTGTTTACCAACAAACACATCTTTATCAATAATTAAGTGGTTTAATGTTGTTCTAATGTTTTGGGATACCGTTGGCACTGCATTATTAATGTTCTGTATAAAGTGTCTGGAGTAAGTGCTGGAGAGTTTAACAGTCTATGAACAGCATCTCTTCTCTCTTCAAGCACAGTTGGTAGAATACCATCAGGTCCTCCAGATTTGTTTGTGTTTCGAATACCAACAACACTCCTACCTCTTTTTTGCTACTACTTTTTAATGTAGTACTTTGGCTTTGCTCAGCTGAGGCATGTGTTTGATTTCTTCCTTGATAACACCTGTGTGAAATATTAACCATATCCTATAATTTTTTTTAGACTCCATTGTGATATTTAATCTTTTTTGTTATGGCCTACTGTTTGCAATTCATTGTACTCTCTTTAACTGTGGACCCTGTCCTTTTTAAAAAAGGTTTCTCTCTCCTTGTATTTTTCTTAATTGATCTATTAAAGCATTTTAGATACTGCATTCTCACAGCTGATTTTGTTACTCATAGTATAAATATGTTCTTTGCTTAAAGGAGAATATCTTTAAACGAATCAGTTTTCTACCAATTTTATCTAATTTCAATCTACTTCTTTTATGTCCTATCATCATCAGATGCATTGCTAAAGTTGTAAACATATGTTTTGCACTACACCTGTATTGTTTCCAAATACACTTCACAGCATATCATTTTATGATCGCACTTGCCTAATGAGTCTCTCGCCACTTTTTCACTCTGTCTTGATTGTATGAAAACAGTCAATACTAGCAATCCCTCTAGTATGCGTTTAGATAATTTGAGTAAGAAAGTAATTGTTAGCCATGTTTACTATTTCTGTTTCTGCTGTGATATCCCTGGTGTTTTTCATGATCTGTGTGAGGAAAAGCAAAATCTCCCGTACAGATACCTTCCTATTGATTATTTTTATTACAGAAAACCACATTAGAATTTATATCTGAATTATGTTGTCTATCGTATATGCCTAACACTATGCTTTCTGCAGTCTTTGCATAGATTCTGAGACCTTTGATTCATATATGTTCCATTTCTGTGCCTGAATACTTTTTTATTAATAATGCCGCTTATTCCCCTCTGTCATCTTTCCTGTCTCTTCTGTGTGCTTTGTCTCCACTAATGTTGTAATGGTCATCATCTCTTTCCATTAACCACTTTTCATGGAGTTCAAACACATCATGATCATATTCTAATGCAATTATTTGTATTTCTTGTATTTTCTTAATAATTATCTTGGCATTTAGGTGTAAGTACTTACACATAGGATTTGTGCCATTTTGTTCTTGTTGCTGAATGCTCTGTAAATGCCAAGGTGTTTGCTAAATGAAACATGACCATAATAGTATATCTTTTTCAACCAAAATGGTGAAAGTTTAAACTTGGCATATATCTGCAAAAAGGCACACCTTCTACAGCTTAGCCCTACATATGTTTCTGTGATTAAGTATTTTGTCAGGATGGCAGCGGTGAAATATCATAACGCAGGCACAAGATTCAATTGATTCTGTTCATGATCTGATTAACTAGTTAGAAACATTTATTTATTATAATTCTGGCATGAATACAATTAAATTATTCCCTCATAAATCATGAGCTTTTTGACTATTTTCAGTCACCATTCATTCAGTTTAAAATGTTCAAACCTAGTATTCCTTTGTACAAAATGCAGTGCAGTCTGCAATGCAACTGATAAAAGCTTTATGTAAACTGCTGCTGGAACACTGGCAAGCCAGTTAATTCTAAATATTGTAGATATAAGTGCTTGGGCAAAGCATATGTATAAGTGGCATTTCTTCCTTTTTCATCTTCTGTGATTACAACATATGGTTCTGTGTAACATTGATTACTATAAGCACAGGCATTTTCATGTGTCTGTACTAGTTTGTACTGCCCCTGTGTGGTTAAATAGAAACATAGCATCTTTTGAAAAAGAGTTTTCTCCTTCTCTACTTTAGAAACATATCTTTGTATACACGCCTATCACAAAACTATTTATTGCTTTAGCAGCATTCTGACTTATTTATTTTCAGCTCTGGCTAATATTTGTGTAATTAGGTAGTGCTATTATACACCAATTCAGCACAGTAGTTTTATTTCTGCAAATGCCCAGTCAGGTTCCTTGGTTAGAAGCAGATACATCTTTCTCACTAAAATGTCATTTAAGTTCTGAGGCTAAAGGAAATTTGGCTGGATGTACAAATAATCAAAGCTTTATTATGCTAAAGATATCAATTGTTTTTTTACAATGAACATCCATTCCATAGAACTCCAGTTCAATGTTTTATTACAAGACTGTTAACAGTGGCATTTGTTTGTGTGTCGTGGTTTCATATAGTGAAGATACTTTAGACTCTTTCTTAATTCTAACTGTGGTTCTTTTCATATCCTGCCATATTGTTTTACTGTAGTGCTAAATAACAAGGTAAATTGATTTGAGACCATCAAAACCTCTTGCAGTTTTAACTTTTTTCTTTAAAAAACGATTCTTTACAAACCGACAAGTACGTCTTTGCATGTATTTCTCATTGCCTTGCGTACCCCTAGTTTGAGTTGGTGCGCCCCACTCTGCATTGACTTTCTGCTTCATTGACTTCAGTGTTAGCCCCTTCCTTCACACTCCACTGACCCAGGCAGAATGATTTAAATAGTGTGCTGGAGCCTTTGTCCCCACATGTGGTGCAGACCGGAGCAAACTTTCTTTTCACACTTTGTCACACACCTCTCTCGGCTGCAGACAGAACTGGGCCGTGTCAGAGGGGAACTGTGAGCACTTTGTCCTTTACACGCAATAAGTGCATTAGCACTAGATAGCGTTGAATAAAGGCGTTTTTTTCTTTACATTGAGGGTCTATAGACTTTTAGTCCTTTCTTTGAAAGCGTGCATTGTCTTGATTTTAGTGAAGCGGGTTTTTAAAAATGTAAGCAGTTTTCTGACTTGAGCAGTAGGCAGATGGTTTGAAAATGGCCAATATGAGTTCCAGTATGTTTTGAGGAAGAACCTAGGTTCATTTCGAGGACAGTATCCTCTTTATGACTGGCCTGTGAAAAATAGCTGATCGCTGCCCCACTTAATATATTTCTCTGGCTATATTTTGCCCATGGTTATATTTAAAAGTAGTAGATGTCTAAATGTACATACTCTGTAGTTCAGAATTGCAAGTATCTGAAATGATAAACTAATTTTTACAATTTGTTTCTGTTGTAGCTCCCAACCAAATGCTTGAGCCTGTGACGTTGGCTGGAATTGTCTCTTGTTTACTAAGCCTTCTCTGTGGGGGTCTAAATTTAATCCGCGGAGTTCATGCCATAGAAAGTATATTGCAGGTATTGTGCATTGATGATGGGTCCATCACATTCAATTTAAGTAAAGCAGTATGAATGAAAATAAATGATTCTAATGTAATCTTTACCTCCCTATTTTCTGTTATACAAATGTGCATGTTGAACCACAGACAGAGCAATTAAAGGTTTATTTTCACTTTTAAAATTCTGAAATGTAATGACTTAATTTCCAGGCTACTGAGACGAAAGTTAAAAATCAGATTAAATGTTTTCATTTTTAGTGTAGGTCAACAGAATCTATCCCGGCAAAGAAAACTGGAGCAGATTAGTTTGAGGATATTGGTTCTGTTATGTTCTTCAACCTTGATAAGAGCATCTGCTAAGCAAATATTAGCCAGGTGCTTGAGACAAAAAGTATGTGTTGGTATCAATTTTATGATTTTACTTTTTACTTATTTTACTTAAAATCAAGAGTGTCCATGTGTAATAACTATAAGATTAATCAAATTCCAAAACCTTTAACAAAGATTATAACTGAATGACTGGACCTCTGAACATGGTACAGATCACTTAAAGCTTTGGTGTGAATTGTTTTCTTTAAATATTAACCCTCTTATAAGATTTTAATTATTACATTTTTAAAGAGCAAAGTTTTTTTAAAATACTGCAATTTTATGATGGTAGTTTATGACTTTTAATATAAATTGAATACAAATCTTTAAGAAAGTCATATAATACTTAAAATGGTGGCTAATCATTTTTTTCATGTGAAATATTAAGTGTTCTGTTTTTTTCTAATTTACAGAATGAGGATGAAGACTTTAATTATGTTGTTGCCTTTTTCCTTGGAAGTACTGCCTGTTTATATCAGGTTAGTAAAGGCTGCCAAAAGTATTGAAAATAAAGTATTGACAGGAGAATAACTCACATATTGCACTTAAATCTTAAGTATTGCAATTTCTCCTTACTCTTTCTCCATCTGGCTTGAATCCCAGTTTTATGTATGTTTTGGGATTAAAGGCAGAATTTATTTTCCTTTTTTTTACGTCTGATGTAGTTCAGAATTATACAACATCCCTTAGCTAGGAAGTAAGAAAATCCTCCATACCTCTCTGATAAATTGTAAGAATCGTGGAAATCATGGACAGGATGAGCAGTCTTCAGAATTGCAATACGTAAAGACACAAGTTGGATTAAACAGGCTGTAATTTCAGAATCATGTATTTGCATTTATGGTTTAAAAATGGTTGCAGGCCATTTCAACACCATGATACAGTTTGTGATATTTGAGAACAGTCATTACTCTGGCTATAAAGTGCTAATTAATTTACTCTCTTTTCAGTGTTACCTCTTTGCCTACTGCACTGTATGGAGGAACATCAAATCTTTCCTGGCCTTTGCTTTAATCTGCCTGTGCAACATGTACTTGTATGAACTGCGAAACATGTGGCAGATCTTATTTCATGTGACAGTGGGAGCTTTCACAACGCTGCAGATAAGACTGAGGCAGCCTCAAGGAAAAGCTCCCGACTACAATGTGTAAGACGAAAGCTGCTTGAAACACCTGGGACGCTGAAGTGGCTGGAGAAAACTGATACCTCTCAGGAACAAAATAAAGGTTCTGCCAAATACCGCATCATCTTCATGCTCAGATAGTGACTTCCTAAGGAGCCTTGGAACAACTTGAAAGGAGAAATTGGTGACTTAAATGTTATGGAAATGTATGTTCCATAGTAGGAGTCTCCACAGTTCGTAATGAGAGTTACAGTATATGCATTGGAAATCTTACTTTTGCTTAGAACCACAACAAATGATGTACATTTTCAGGGCAGAGCCCTGACCAGACCTGGTCTAAAGTCTGCCCATAACAAAGGAGTTTTTTTCTTTTGTTTATGACTGAATTTATTTAATCCGGGAAATTAAACCATGGAGCTATTTATTTAACTTTACTGAAAGTGGCAATTGATAAATCATATCAAACTGTTTGTCTACAATACCTGAAGGTTTTTCATGCCAGATAGGCCTTGGCATATGCTGTGAGTTCTAATTAAACCATTCTAATAAAATATGCAAGAAATACGCAGAAGGTATCATGGATATGTCTTAAGTCGTAACCTGAGCTCCGTTGGAAGGTTTATCTCTGAAATGCGAAAAAGCAATTTTCTTTCGTACAAAATACAAAAATTGAACAAAACTGGAAAATTAAAAAGACGCTGTATACTATTGACCTCATAAAATCCCATTTTTTATTTCATGTAATTTACTGCACTTCAAACTCGCGATAATAGTCCTCATCCTGCCCCCTTGAAAAAGTCTCTTGTTGAGAATGTTTTGATGTCAGCAGCACAGTGTTGTGGAGATTAGATCTGCTGCCTCACTGCTCTTGGGTGCTGGGCCCAGTTTTGGACTGGGTTTTTGGATGTTCCAGTTCCTGCTCACCCTCAGAAGACATACTGTCTTGGTCAGCTGGTCCCTGAGCTGTCAGTGTGTGCACAAGTGACCTGTGATCGACTGGCCTCCTGTCCAGAGTGCAGCTTCACCTGTTGGCCTGTGCTTCCAGGATCAGTGCCACATAGCTGTGGAAGACAAGGGGAAACGAGTACGTTTAGGACCAAAAACAGTGTCCCTTCCTTACGTAAAGGATAGAGGGAGTCTGGAACAAGCAGCCCAGCCATGTTGTTGAAGCCACTACCCTGGCATCTTTCAGGAGCCAACTGGATGAGATCCTCGGATCTGATCCTTGGATTAGCTGCTAAATATCAACAGGGCTAGATGGGCCGAATGGCCTCTGATTTGTTCAGACTTTGCTCTGTTCTGTAGCTCTGGTGAAACTCATGTCTACGCTGCAGCTAGTCCTGGCCCTAGGAGCTGCATGATTGTTGCAAGTTTCAATGTGGGCTTTGAAGTCCTCATGACTCCTCACGTTTTCCCCTATAAGCTTTCCTGTTTTGTTAAACCCTGCACTGAATCTCAGATGCGGGTTGGGAATTTAAATTTGACCTAAAATGTTACACCCTGCTCCTTAATCTTGAAATGGAATAATGGATAGAAAACTTCACTGGAGGCAATTGTTTAGTTAAATTGAGCGGTGTAAAAATGTTTTTTTATTTCTAAAAGTACAGTTATCACTTTTGCATTTTGAAAGATCATAAAAGTGTGCAATTTCTAGATGCATATCCTCCTTCCTACTGCATAAAAATACTTGTCCTTCAAGTATATTCAACATTTTACCCTTAATTTGAAGTAAGTGATTAATGTTAAAAATGCTGTAGTAATTGAGTAATTTCTCTGTAATTATTAGATATGTCTCTAATTCAATAAACCATAGCCATCAGATTATATTAAGAGAGCAAACTCCTCAAGCTGGCTGCTTGTAAATGGGAGCATTGGTCCAATCATTTTCAATGGTTTTTGATAGAAAAAGAATTAATAATGGGGTTAAAATGATTTAAAAAAAATTCTGAAGAGCATTTCATTTGTAAATTGAAACATAAAGGCTGGCTTTTGATGTATCTGAGCAGTATGTTTGTATTGATCAGTGTGATGCAAAATTCCAAAAGCTTTTTCTTTTGTCAATGATGGTGGTTTTCCCATCATTGGATTCACTTCTGTCTCCACGGGTTGTAATTCCCAATGGCTGGCAACTGGAGGAAGATGAAAGGGAATCCACTCATGAGTTTGGAGTGGACGCATCATGATGGTGAGCTCAGTTTTTTGTTCTCGAAATTAAACATCAACAGCACATCTTTTTATTTTAATATGTGTCAATATGTAATCTTCACAAGCTGAGCTTTATAATATGTGGTTCAGAATGACTTCTGGGACTGAATGTTTACAGAATGTCATTTTCCTCCTATTTTTAGTCAAGAGGAAAATGTCAAACTAAATTTACCTGTTGGTAAAGCAATGATTACTGCTATCATGAAGATGTGCATAGCTGTGAAATAGGTGTCTGGGTAAATTTAATTTATTCCTCAATTATTGCAATGTGGTTGCATAGTTGTGGTGTAGCCAAAGTTAATTTTTAAAATGGTTTTCACTTAAATTATAATAGGTTTCAGAAGTTCCTTTATTAGCAAAATAAGTTTGGGATTCTATTGTCCCTGACTCAGTCGTTGTGTATCAACGTTTCCTGCTACAGTGGCACTGCAGAGATTTAGTATTATTAGTAATAAAAATGTCTTGCGAGTTTATAGTTTTCCTTCAGTGCTGCGATGTTGGTACAGTACATGCAGGTCCTAATATTTTGGGTTGTTCCTTTGTGTTTGATCTCTTGCTTTCTCACAATAGGGTATATTATCCTGAATTATGAACAACTGAGTACAGAATATTTGCAATATAAAAGTCAACCTCACCTGGACAGTGTTCTTTATGATTGTAGAATTTGTGTGTAGATGTATTCTGTTGTTAAGACATGGCAGAATCATGTAGGAACAAGCTAGCATTTAATGTGTAGTTTCGACTGATGCCTGTTTTACACAGCTTGTGGAACTAGAATGACTGCATGTCATTTCTGTCACTGGACATTTTAATCAATAAACTACAGGAGCAAAATATTTTATATCTATCGTGTCTAATGATTGTGAGGCTGCCTTTGTGTTGAACAGAAAAATGTGTACTTACTGATTTATTCATTTAAACCTGATGGTGACTCCACTGCGTCAGGTAAGGTTTATCCTGTTCCACTTTATCAGGCTAAGAACACAGGAGTCATTTCAAAGTTCAGTATTTGCATCCAACAATAGAGATTTCAGGTTCTGAAATAGAATTATAACAAAACGTGAGAAGTGTGGACAAGTTCTGCAACAGGGAATGAGCAGGCTCATAGACTAACCATCTTGACATTTGACATTTCCCTGCAAGATTGGGACAGTTTAGCTTTGTTGACTAGAGCTCCATTGACATTGTGAGCTGAAGAAAACATCATGCTAATGTCAGGTAGGAACTTTAATGTGACCAAGCGCAATCAGACAATATTCTAAAGGGAGATTTGGTCATTTTTATAGTATAGTTTAAAATTCAAATCATGTGTTCCAGTATAGAAACTTCTTCAGTACAGCCCGGTCCAGCAAGAACACTCTCTTCTAGTTCCGTCTCTTCTAGTGTCAGCTGAGGTTTTAACCCCAGGTTGATTTTGATTTTTGTTTTTGTTTTTGTTCAATGTTAATATTAAATTGGCTTTCAGTTATTGAAACATAATGGCATTTGCAATTGTTATCAACCCTGTACCACTTTCTGCGCATCAGAACTCACTCAGGTGTGTTGCCTGAAATGTAACCAGCTGGAAATCTGCAAAAGAGAATCATTGTGGGAGTGTTTGATGTAGTGTCACTGTCATCAGCGCCAGTACATTGGAATTGATCACCTATTAGTAGCTGTTACTGAGTAAACAGTGGGAAGCCAGTTGAAAAGATACGGCCTAAAGTTCTGTATACTGAATTTGTTGGAATATACTTGAAACTTGGTAAAAGTCCTGAGCAACTATTCCCGAGTGAAACGGTGGAAAAATGACAGTGCAGAACCAAGTGACCAAGTAAACCAAAAGTCTGAACAAGATCAATGACAGGCATTAATTAGAACTGAGAATTCAGAACTTATCTGGAATAAAAACCAGCAGATACTGAGGTCCCCTCGGACCAGGGTGTGTTAACCACTGCATTGGACCATGTTTGATAGCCATACTGACCTTTTCTCGTCTGTTAAAAGATCTCGCACAATTCACATTTCCACATCGGTGTTAAAAAACAACAGAAAACCCCATACTGAGTCTTAGTTGTAAGTTAATTAACCAACCGCACACAAGCCCTCCCTCCCTAATAAGAACTTTCAACAGAGAACAAGTGGACTCTATAATCAGAAAGGTAAAGTCCCTGCCCATCTGCCTTTACATTTTTAAAGAAACGAAGATGTACCAAAGTCTAGTAATTTACCTGGTAAGTAACAGATGCTGCCCGGCTCATTTTCCGCCCCAGCGCAGATGCTTGTACTGTGGTATCGAAGGTCGATAACTGCAGGATCACTTGAGCCATGTGAGCAGCGGAACATGTCTGTGCACAGTGTGCAGACAGGCATGGCTGGACCCATTAAGAGCAGCCTGAGTGTGGCTTGGTGTTAGAGGTAGTTGTTCCCAACTTGCTGACCCATCTACCAGTGGAAAGGACTGCTTCAGTTCCGCTTGTAGAACTGTGATGAACTTGAGGAACTGATTTCTCAAGAAAGTTCGCTACCTCCCTCTGCTGGAGATCTGTCATGTTGAAATCAGTTGTCTGGATCCTTCTCTTTCCTATTCATCCATTTTCTATCTGTTTATTCCAGGGCTGGTTGCAGTATCTCTTGTGTAATTGTGTGGTTTTACAATGATTGAATCTAATATTTTATGTTTGCTTATTCTAACTTTGTACAGAAAGTTAAATGTAAGTATAATGTTCTTCACTTAGCAGATACACTTATCCAGGGTGAAAGAAATACATTACGAAAAACATTTATTTTAAATATTTATGGGCATTAAATATTTTGCACACTTTTTGTATTAATGGAACAGCAGTTGAAATTAAGGGCTGTACAATGAAAATTGTTTAGATTGTAACTTTTTAAAATATTGTAATATCTGTTGCTTGACTTCACAATGGCTAATGTCTTCCTGTGAGTCAGAATACTTAAGGCATTGAAGTTCAGCAAAGCTAATATTTGAGGATTTTTTTTTTGAAACACCGGAATATAAACGCACTGTACCAAAACACTTATATCCGTGTTTTTAATTATATATTTTGTAATAACATTTTTCTGACAATGTGAGTGTAAATCAAATATTTTAATACAGTTAGCTGTCCAGATCAGGTTTTCCATACTTCAATAATGTCTATCTGTAGGATTGTGTAAGACTAGTGGTTCAGACCTGAAGATACAGTACTCAAGAAAGATTAGCTCAGCACAATTAACATCACAGTGTAGGAGTTTATTGATGTAAAAAAACAGCATAGTGTTTAAACTGTGATGGAGTTTTAAGACAACTCTAGACAGAAGAATGTTTTTGTTAAATCCTCATTTTGAAATTCTCCTTTGGGATACATCTCCCAGTATCCTCTTCAGGAGTCTCAAACACTGATGCTGGAAAGCTCCAAACCAATTATTCTTAAAGGTCACCCTATGTCACCTGTTATTTTAAAGATTTAATCAAGCAAATAATGTTTTTTGTTTTTTTTTCAGGGGTTTACTGATGCTTGAGGGCTGAAGGATATTCTGAATTTGGTTCCAAATGATCTCTGAATTACTTTATTGATTGCACCACCTATTTAATTGATCATAGCTAAATTAGATCCAGGCTTGTAGAAATTGATGAATAACAGGCTACCTCTAAAGCCAGGTGGATAGGGGGCTCTCCAGGACCAAGATTCAAAACCCCTGCTTTAGAACCTAGCAGATCTCTGCTGGATATAAGATTAACGTGCATCACAGGTCAAATTTGAATTTCATTAATAAAGTGCTTCCTTACATTGGTGTCTTGTCTATTAAAGAATGAGAGATGCTGGCAATACGTACCTATGTTTCACTCCCCAAAGCACATCAATCACCTAACATTTATGTATCTTTAGCATTCAAATTTTAAAAAGCAAAGAAAAAAAATGGTATACTTATATGGGAAAATAAAACAAAACCATAGTACAGTAGCCCGCATTATAAACATCTTTCACATACTAAGACATTTCAAGAACATCAGAAGTTTAAACAAAAACAACCAAAAAGAAGCTGCTATATCATTTTGAAAAGCACAGAAGAACTGGAGTGATTTTGGAAGCACATCAGGCCACCATTAATTTATTTTAGCTAGGTGTTTTTTTTATTCCAAACTGCCTGCACAAAACTGGAATTCCTTTTCTATTGCATGAAGTACCTCGTAGTGAAACCATGTAGATACATGCCCTTCGTGATCTGCAGGAGAGTTCTACCACTACAGAATGGCCATTTAAAAGAAATAGTCAGGGGCGATCCTATTTTTAAGAAACTGAGGGCTGTGATAATATGATAAATATGTACTGCAGATCTACAGCAGGGTCCTCATTGTACATTAAACACCTCACTAATTTCGGTCAGCCTACTTAACATGTTTAACTTTGACATTCTTGCAGAATAATAAAATAATGACGAAAAAGGCCACATTCTCCCAGATCTCAAACTGGCGGTCAGGCAACATTTATTCTACACCAAAATCTGAGCGTTTTAAATTAGAGTAACAAAAAAGGCAGCATACAGGACAAATTTAACATTCACAGGGTCGTCATTATCATAAACTCTACCCTGGGTTGACCAAGGCAGCTGCAGACACATCACAGAAGATCCAGCTTGCCCATTATTCACCAGGCAAGTAGTAAAGCTGTAACAGGCTGCTGAATTACTGCTTCTCCTGAAACTGGAAAGAAAACAAAGATAAATTAAATAAAAAGAACGTTGACTTCTGGAACCCGAGCTGTTATGAAAAAGGGTACTGGCACAAGACCCGCTCAGACTTCTGTTGAAGACTTAACTCCTCTTATGCCATTTTTTGGGGGGATTCTTGTATTGAGCTCTCCACTCCCTTGCACAGACGTAAGTGAAGACAGGCACGCCTCTGGCATGCAGGAATTTGCTGCCTTTGGAGACTGGCAGTTCCCAAGATCATACCATGGAGCATTTGTGTCAGCATCGGGTTATACTGTTCTTGTATTTTTCAGTATGGATTTTATATGACCCTCACAACAGGGGTCAAAGCCTGGGTTTTGCATTTCAACCGTTATTGCCCACCCACCCACCCCCCCTGACATGAGAAAAAAATAGTGTATGATTCCAATACTTTTGTCACCTATATACATTCAAATACACACAGGTGCTCCTTCCCATATATTAATGTACAAAATATAGAATCTCAAATATTTGCTAGAATTTGTTTTTTTTGGAGTCGAAATACAAAATGGCAAAAATACAAAAGAAGCTTTTCTCGGGCTTCCTCTCTTATTGTCTTTTAAAGTGTCTGCAGTTTACACATCAGGAGAAAAATGTAAACTCGTCAATCTATAAACACAAAGATCAACTGAGGACTCATGAAGTTTTGCAGTGCCGTGGTTCTTTGCTTCACGGCTACAGACTCTGTCTTAGCATTGTGCTGAAGACAATACCACTTCATGATATAGACAGAGGAAGGCACAGCCTCATCTGTTTATATATTTGTGTATATATATATAGATGAAAACTGAAAGTCAGTTTTAGTCAACAACCAGCATCTTCATGCAGATTTCTGTTGAGCGGTTTGGATCCTTCATCACAGAAAGTGGGAGAAACACTGATGCCACTTATCTGCACCCCACCCTTTCACAATGGTCCTTCCATATGATCCCAGCAGGCCGAGGGGTATTGATTTCTTCTCTGTTTGCAACATTTAATAAGCAAATGCGCTGAGAGCATTTTTTTTTTCAATTGGCGTTTTCTGGGTCTCTTTGCGGCAGGTCTGTCAGAATTCTTTGGTCTCTGCAGGTCGCCTGCCTCTCCAGGAGAGGGTGAGGCAGACCTCGTCCTGGCCTCCCTAGGGTGGTATGAAAACGCGCAGGGTGCTCAGCGGGGCTGCGTCCTTCATGTGGGTCTTCATCAGGATTCCAGCTCGCCAGAGGTCCCCATCGCAAGGCCTCCTTCGTGCCTGCAACTTAACAGTCTTCCCACGCAACATTAACACCACGCACACTTCTGGGACTCCTGAAGCTGTTAACTGCTCGGTGGTCCTCCATTCAAGAAATAGGTCATCATCTCTCCCTTGCCCTTGACCTTCACCACCCCTCGGCACTCCAGCGAGTACTTGTGAGCGGTCAGGACCTGGTACATGTCTGTGGTCACCTGTCGGGAGAGACGCAATGCTGGAGTGAATCGGTCGACGCCGGGCAGTGACGCGGAACGGAAAGGTTTTGAGCGGCACAGTGACAGCTTGCTTTCCAGAGGGAACAGAAAGCAAATGCCTATCACAAATCATACTTGTCATTTGCATGCAAACGAAAAAGACGCTAACATGCGAGGCGTACCTGTTGCAGGCCTGTTTAAAAGTGAAAGTAAATGTGCCAAGAAAACTCTGTTGACCAAACTATGAAAAGATTTCTTGAAGTGTTTGTAGCAATCAACACCAATAGTACCGTACATCTTGGTAAAGTAAACCACAAAAACCTATGGGGTAGTTTCTGTATTTGCTGCTTGGAATAACAAGGTCACTTACCTGTATTCTTTCAGGGACCCCAGTGCTATCCATTCGACTGGCTACATTCACCGTATTTCCCCAGATGTCGTACTGGGGCTTTCGAGCTCCAATAACACCAGCCACAACTGGGCCGATATTCAGACCTGAAACACGAGGAACATTACAGCGATGATGTTGCGAAGTCTACGGGTGCCGGCCATGTGGTCAAGGTGCAGGCTTGTGACCTTCTCCGTGCCTGGTCTAGAACAGATTCTGCTGATGTCATGAACTTGAAGTTGAACAGCTCGAGCACTGAGGTCTCTCCAGAGTGTAACAAGAAATTAAACAGATTATTTCTTCCGTCCTCTTAAGGGAAGAGAGGAGGGTCACTTAGTGCCCATTGATCCTCAGTCTCCTGCGCGAATTCTACTTACTTTCTGGGAAGTGCAGAGAATTGGAATCCTTGCTTCATCAAGGACAGGAGAAGTGCACAAATGTATTTACAGTAACACCCATCCCACAAAATAGAGTGGAGAGAAGAAACTCCAGGATAATAAACTCAGGATTAAGGGAAAGGAAAGTGCCAAGAAGCATATGACAGAATGAAGTTCCATTACTTTCTCAGTCCCACTACCAACCGTTTCACAGTCTATATAGTGTATCTTGTAAGCAGATGACTGATTGAGCAGTGTCCAGTTGTTGCTTGCTCATCGGGAAACCACACAATTAAATTACATTTAATATAATGCTGGGAATCACCATCCATTCATTTTCTAACTTCTTCTTCCAATTCAGGGGAGCCAGAGCCTAACCTGGCAAGTAACAGGCACGAGGCAGGATACGCCCTGGATGGTACACCAGTCCATTGCAGGGCAGATACAGACACAAACACAGACATGCATGCACTCACACCAGGGCCAGTTTTTTTGCTGGGAACATATTGCTGTCTAAAAGAAAAATCTCAGTTATGGGATTTCTTACAAGAAAATGGGTTAGTAGAATTAAAGTAGAACGGTTTAAAGGGTCAGTAATTCTGGTAATGACAGGTGTTGTGTTTCAGTTAATAAACAACCAACACAGCTTCCCACCTGCCCCCAGCAGCTCAGGCAGAAACATCTTAATTCAGCAACATGTGCCTGGCAAAAACTGCATTTGAAATAAGATTCATTAAAGGACAATGTGAAATTGGGAAAAAGACAGTGGTCAGCCCTCTTACCAATCTTCATTTGGAAGTTGTTGAAGGAATGCTCGTTAATGTACTTCATCTGGTCCATTAGCCTCATGGCATAGTCTGCCAGCGCTTTGATGTGTGTCTTCCCGGCTTTGTCGTAGGTGGAGTCGTTGAGGCCTGAAGCAGCCATGTATGTGCTGCCAATAGTCTTAATTTTCTCCAGTTGGCGGAACTGGTCCTCACTGATAATCTGACAGGAAGACAGAAGAAGAGCACTTCAGCACTTTCCCTGAGGAGTGGGCAGCATGACCTGCCTAAAGGTGAGAAACGGGAGCAACTGGCAGTTTTCTTACAGACTACATGACTTCAATTAGTAGGAACTGGAGGGCCTGGTTGTGTGTAGAGAGGGGTTTGCAAAGATAAATTCTTGATCAAAACTAAAGGATGCTCTCGGGAGCCTCATAAGGCTAACAGGATGAAGCACATGTTTTGTCTTGATCTAGATACATCTTGAAAACTGAAACAGCTACTAAGTAGTTAATTAATTCTAACCGACAGTTTGTCGGTATGTATTCTTCGGGTGTATCCTCACAAGCCCAGCAGTAGACAAGTAGAAGAAACAGCCGTTCGAAGGCCTCTTTGTCTGTAATGTTTGAGAGCTCGGAGGGCGCAGAGGCAGTGGGCCAGTCAGGGACTCTCTTGCCTCGTCAAAGTCGGCGATGATCTCGTTCAGCAGTCGCAGGCACTCCACGCCCTCGTTGTTGGCCTCCAGCTCCACGTAGAACTCGGAGAAGTTGCTGATGGAGGCGAACATGACGGCCACGCACTCGCAGGACTGGTAGTACAGCTCGTCGTTGCGCCTCTCCCGGGCCAGGAAGTGGGCGGCCACGTCTTTGGGCAGGATGTTGTGCAGCAGCCTCCGGTTGTAGGCCTGCAGCTCCTCCATCTCCTCCTTCTCCTCTGTGGCCTGGGAGGAAAGGGTTAACCCTGATTCAGCAGCCAGAATGCACCCTCAATCCAACAGCTCTACACTGTAGCGTTCTGTGTTCAGAACATTTTTTTTTTCATTTTTAATACAGCATTATATACAGTACTTGATTAAAAAAACTCAATTTTGTCTTCCTGCTAGATTTTTATTTTGTTTTCACGAACATGAGCTTTCTTTTTTATTCTTTCACTTAAACGACAAAGAAAAAAGAAGGGGGTTTTAATATGAGCCCTGCAAGCAACAACTGTATTACTACACAGACTTTCTCGCTACACAGCTGTAGTCATCACAGGGATTTACTCCTCAGCTCTCTACCTGTCATGATTCACAGTACCTGCAACTTCCAGAGGAAGTCGAGTCGCGCTGTGGACTCCACCTGCTGGGCATGGAGGTACAGTGCAAGGACAAACACTGTGATCACCACAGGAGTCATTATTTTCAGTGGCACCTTAGAGTCAATCATGGAACTGCAACAAAGAAACACCTTCCTTTAACAAACTCAAGGACACCAGAAACACGAGGAGAACTGAAATATTCTCTATCCTTCTGACTCTTACCATGTTCCATTGGTGTCACTCCTGAAAGAAAAACAGAAACCAATGAGACTTTCATGCATCTTCCAAAAGAAACCCAATGGTTAAATCTTAGCTTCAGATTGTAACCTTATGGTATTTACTTTGCTAAATATCATCCAATTATCCTTATTAAAATAAAAGAAAAATCTTTTACCAGGCACATCTTGCCAAGAAACCAGCCATCCATGGAAAGAAAATGCATCTGTTACAATGTCAATGAATTAAAAAGTTGCATAATTACACTCAACATCTTTGCATACCACTGGGTAGAACGTGCTCTTCCCATGTGACTGAAATTGTGAGCCAAACTATTCTCCCTCCCCCATCTGACTGCCAATTAAAAGAGGCCGCACACAACAAAGTCAAGGAGTACAATTCTCCCACAGTACTTGCACAGCTATGTAATAAGCGTATACTTTTACACACCCTTCCTTTGAAAGAACCTGTACCCTGTTGCTGTCCAGCATTACCAATACAGATGTGTGTGTGTGTGCGTGAGATCAAGCTTGGGCTTGTTGCTGTGTTTCAGTCAAATCTTACAATGTTCCTACATCAATGAATTACAGTACCTCAGGTTAATCCAAACCATTTAAGGTTTTCATATAATTCTTTTGACCTGAGCTGAGGACACTGTTCCCATGATTGTGACTGCCTGCATGCTGAGGACAGGACTTACAAGGCATTCGCTGTCACCAGTAAGTCCACATTGTCAAAGAGGTTCACCTCAGGGACCTCAACGATGATTACATACAGCAACTCGATAAAGACCATGAGGATGAGTTTGCCAATACTACTGATCTGCAGGAACACAGAGCAGGCCAGAAGGCTCAGCAACACGCAGGCTGTAAAATACTGCAGAAGAAAGAGTGAGAGGGGGCAGGTTAGACCAATACACACACAGTGTACAACACAGTTGATTCATTGTTTAAGTCTGACTTTTCCTGATTCCTTTTAGCTTAAGCTTACTACTGTCTTGGTATAAAATCACATCCATATCACCTACTACAGCACAGAGGACTTTATCACCACCCTAGGGCATGAGTTTGGAAATTCTGATACAGACGAAAGAGCGCCACCTACTGGTCCACCAACACCACTTACAGCAACAGCCTAGTTAAGTTTAGAGGTCTCCCACCCCAGTACTAACCTGGCCCTGCCTCACTTAGCTTCTGACATCCGAGCAGACCAGGCTACAACGTAATGACATTGAAGGTTTATTAGCTTATCACTCATCTGTTTTCTAATATCTTCATCAGATTCAGGTTTGCTGGGGAAGCTGCAGCCTAATTCCACCAGAAATGGGCGCAAGTCAGGATTCACCCTGAACGGGACACCTGTCCATTGCAGGGCAGACAGGCACAAATACGAACACGCTCACATCAGGCGCAATTTTCCCAGAAGCCAATTAACCTGCCAGTATGTATTTGGACTTTTTGGAGGACAACCATGCAAACATGGGGAGAACATACAAACTCCACGCAGACAGCACCCCAAGAGCTGAACCCAGAGCCCCAGCACTGCAAGGCAGCAGTGCTGATTGCTACACCACTGCGCCACCCAGCTTTTATCATAATCTCCTAAAACTGTTTTGCTTGCAACCAGGACAAATTGTAAAACATTGACACATTCAATGGCCCCTTTCAATGGCATGAACCTGTAAGACTGACGTCTACTTAAGGAGGGGCACAGAAAGACATACCTCTGGGAAACTACAGTTAGGCGACACACTCCCACAGAAGCCCTCGACAGTGTAAAGGGTGTAGTTGAAGCTGGAGCTGTAGACATGACATGCATTCACACTGCTGGGCTCAATGTTAAACTCCCTCCCCACACATGCCTGGATGTCCTTAGTGCTGCAGGTGAACTGAAAGACAAAAAAAGGAGCATGGGGAGGCAGCACAGGACAGGGCATCAGGTAAGAGCTACTGCAGCCTTCGTCAAAATAAATACTGTTGACTGAAGCACAGGCCGGGCTGTTTTGGTATGTGGATGTGGCATGTGTTTGTGGATACTGCATTTTTAAATAGATGTGCAGTCATGTCAAAAAACTTTCAGACCTTGTGCAAATCATGTGGGTTTCTTATTTAATGAAGTTGAATTTGTGTGTCTCAGAGTTTCTGATTTTTGTTTTTGCAAGGAGGTTGAAAACTTTATTTCCACCATACGAGAAAGACTGAACAAATAAAACACCTGTGCCTGAGTGGCACATGGTCAACACAGAAGAGTCTGCAAAACGATAATCATACAGAATCAGCTAACACAGTGTATTCATTGTTTAAGCTTGAGACTCTTTCTGATTACCATTCAAGCTTAAATCTACTGCACAACCTTGGTTTCACATCACATCCATCACAACTTCAATAGCACAGAGGACTCTGTCACCAGATTGGGGTGGCGGGTTGGAAATTCCAATCCAGAGGGAAGAGCATCACCTTCTGGTCCACTAATACTACAGATACAGTACATACAACTTTTGAGATCTCCCAACCCACTACTGAACAGAACCAGCCTGGCTTAGCTTCTGCGATCTGACAAAAACAGGCTATGAAGTAGTAATACTCTTGTCAAAAGTATGACTAGCCATCAAAATCAATTTCCTAACTTTCCTAAGGTGCTTCTAGAGTAGAGTAGTAGCACAACAGACCAGTAGCATCCTGCTGTAATGTATAGTTTTGTGACAAAAATTCAAACAAAATCCCTTGTATTGGAGACATCACATTCAAACTTCTGCAAACCATTTAGGTCCCAACACGTATCCTGTAAGTGTGGAGGTGTGTGGGAAAAAAACAACAACTTAGGGATTCAAGTAAGCAACCCACTATGTTGATAAAGGCTGAGAGAAAGACCAGGATGATTGTGAAAACTCCAACAAGCGTGCTGTTGATTCTGGACTGAACAATCTTCTTGGAGAGAGTTTGCAAAGGCACTGGAAACAGCTGTGGACACAAACAGAGCAATGTTAGAATAGTGTCTGCCTTTACTGGCAGTCACCAGATCCCCAGAAATTTCACAGACAGATCTTGAACTACAGTGCTGGGAAAGAATCAGTCTTTTTGCACCTTGTTTTATATACACAGTAATCTCATTTATCCAGTTGTGACTGTTATCCAGTATAATTATTACCTGTCAATGTTGACTTAAGAAAAAATGGGCCTGATCAGAAAATCTCTCATCACTTCTCCCTACTGCAGGATTTAGTTTTCATTGCGAAAGACATACACATCATTCAGGCTGTGTCGATTATTTTTTATGTGAATAGCTCACACAGTACCACGCCCTCTTACTCAATTATTTGAAATAATATTGTCTAACCATATAAATGCAACATCAATACTGTTTTTCCCTACAGTAAAAAAAAGGTTACAGTTTGTTAGGCAGGTGAAGCAGTGAACAGAACACAAATCACTTAACACTTTCAGATATAGCCAGCAGAGCTGGTTTGTGCTGCATGGTCACTACAAGAGAAGATTTATGGACACCTTTCTGTCACTGAGACCATGAGTTTGTTTGATGATATAGCTAAAACACAGAGAAAAAAGACAGATGCCCTCTAAAGGTGCCCTTTCCTCCTGATACAATCCAAGTTCATTAATATCGAGTGCTGAACTGTGGCTAAGCACTCCTTAGCTGATCTGTAATACTCCACACTCTTTTGGTCTGCAGAAGTGATTTCTGCTCAGGGCGAAAGTCACCAAAACAGATTTGTTATAATCAGCCTCATGTATAGCTGATAGAGAGCTGACCAAGAGCATGAGACCGAAGTGAAAGGAATGAATTAGACACGCAAGTGGAATTGACAGCATTGCATCATGGACTTGTGGGGTTATGAATCAAGGATAAACTGTAAATGAGCCATTTAAAAAAGCCCAGTACAGTATTAGACAGGAAGAGAGTTGAAAGACGATGGATGCACGATGAGGAAAACAGAGCAGTGAAGAGGCAATTAAAACCTGAGGCATGTGACATCTGAAGAAAATCAAACTGTCTGGACAACAGCAAATTAAAAAAACAGCATCACTCACAGGATAATTTGACTCGCTGTTCTCCTGTTGGTTAGCCCAAAGCAAAAATGAGTAAAAAGCAGTAGTAATAATGCTCTCATTTAACACTGGGTTGCAGCTAAACTGCAGGCTTGGCCAATGATGGAAATCAAGCTGAAATGAATGTGCTGTCAGGAAACTACAGAAGAGTAAATTAGGAAGCTAAGTGGCACCTGCTGGCGAAAGAGCAACATCTCAAGCCCTAGTACAGCTCTGCTCCTGTCATCCTGTGTGAACTTTCAACCCCTGGGTCTTGAAGATATAACATTAGGGTCTACACAGCTCCTCAGCTCGACACATGCTTAATTAAAGCCTCCTGAAACAGAACCAGACACCTGGCTTATCAAGTATGAAAATGTTTCTGTCATTGTCTTTTCACTTAAGTCAGAGTACCAAAATGAGTTGTAAAACCAATTAAGTAGAAATAAAATGTTTAGGTCATAGAAGATGGTGTGACTTCTCTGGCTTTTTGCCAACATTCAATAATCAGATCAGACACTGCTTTTCCAGGTTCACACTGATTTATTGACTTGGAAAATTATATAGTATTAAATAATTACCAGTCAATCGATGATATGCAACAAAAGTAGCTGCCTTTTTTCTCCCTCTACAGATTGCATTAAATTAAAAATGTGTTTTTTATATTATTGAGTGGGATTCACCCTTGGTTCTTGCCTGAATTTGAGCAAACTAGCATAGAAGAAAAGTCTAAAATCCAGGTTTAATTCTCCAGCGTTAATGACTCATTTTTCAACTTAGAAAGACAGAACAGTCTGGAAGCAGAGCAGCAGAGCAGCAGAGCAGCAGGACTTTCTGGGATGCCACGTGTAATGTCTGGCTCTACAGTCTCCACCAGGAGTCACAGACACAAGAACACACAGGACTGGCAGGGCAGTGGACTTTTCCACTTTCCCACTTCCAGTTCAGCACACTAGGCTGCCCTTTGAAGTAGTTTCACTTCCACCCAGCTCCTCTGCATGCAGGCTGAGAAAGGAAAACAACAGAAATGCCAAAACACATGAAGCCATGCACTCAACAGCGCGCCATGATTAAACACCTGGACAGGGATGAAATGGCATTGGTTTCCGACTCCTTTGTTTTTTAGCTCAGTCACTTGGCCTGCAAGTTGCTAGAAGATGCGGTGGAGTAGGGGCATGATCACGGAACCGGGAGGGAAATCACAACCACATCCAGCCCGGTCCCTAGAGGGTCTTTCGAACTTGAAAAACACTCAAAACGTGTTGTACTGCACCTGCCTTTGTGACTCACATGGGCGTCCCTTGATCAGCACGCTGCTAACGCTGTCACACTGCTCCTTGGACAAAACTGAATCAAAAGGCAGCCTTGGCCCAAACACAGCGGAGTATCTCTCCATGTTGTTTTCACGTTGCAGAGCTGCAGAGACAGCCTGTAACTAGCTCACGTTCTGCCATTAGGATAATTTAAAAAACTGAGACGAATACCTCCGGATATTGATCTGTACAACTGAAATGAATCCCCCTGTATCTGGCCTCCCCGCTGATCTGTGGAGCAGGGAATGATGCTGGGCTTACAGATAACCTACCCCAAAGCAGGAGTACACCGCCGACACAAACATCACTGCCAGGAGGAGCAGCAGGCAGGTCACATAAAAGCCGATCATCAGCGACGAGCTGAGGGGTGGACAGATGAAAATGGTGAGAGGAGAGGGCTGGTATTCTTGAGGCAACTGAAATACCATTAGGGTCGCAGCATGAGCCAGCCAACAATTAAATCATAGGATATTCCACTGCTCTTATTAATTAGTGTGTTAATAAACATCTAATCAATCATGAGCTTGTTTCAGGCAGCATTATTTGACCTACGAGAGATCACATGCATCTTGATTCCAGACTGCTGCTGTTGACTTTTCTGTGACAACAACAACAAAATTAGCTTTGCCCCATCTAACGACCCACTGGGTTTCATACAGTTTTGAACCAACCACAACGCAGACCCAGCCACAGACTAAGTTCAGCAGCTGAGCCGCCTGCAAAGCTGTGAATTGAATGGATGGGTTGCCAGAACTTTTCTTAAACGGGCAGCAGGAGAACCGATATACAAGCCATGGATTGACGCTTGTATCTCCCGCTGCATTCATTTTTGTCTGCTTTTAAAATTTAAACAGTACCATCTATGAATGGTATATAATAGCTGTATTATCAGGTACTCTTCAGAGTCTGCAATGAAAACATAACTTGTGAGACCGTTAAGGCGCATTGCAGAGAAAAAACACTAATCCAGCCCAGATGGGATGAATGTAAAAGACCTAAGAACTATTTGGTACACCTCTTAAATCGGGAATTACTCGTTAAAATGGAGAAAAAAAAAGAATTCTGACATGTTGGCTATGTGGTGGTGTACAGTACGTTCCACTTTTCCCTTTCTTTTGTTGTTAAGACAAAATAAAGAACAGCTTGAATATGCGAGTGATTTTCAGAAGCAGGGCTCCACTCACCGCGGCACAATAACGATCTGTATGAAGCAGATGAAAAGGAAGACGAGAGAAACACAAGCCACATATGCCCCAAATCTGTCATCCACCTGCTTGGAATACTGCCAAAGGAAAGGAAACAGAGAGGAGAGCATGCCAGTGTTATTGCAAACTCATTCCGCACTTGACACAAGATAGAACTATATGAGCATTTAAGGGGCTCCTTAATGTTCATTGTGAATTATTCCAGACCTCACAACTGCTGACAGTACCATCCATCCAGCCAGAGATTTTTCTGACAGTTTTATCAGAGCTTGAATGCTTATGGATTTCACATTATTAACAGGGACTAAGTAAGCTCTTAAGACTCTCTAGTTTGGTAACAATGACCTTCATGTCCTCAAAGTGAAGAAAAAATCCATCTGCTGTGAAAAGGAAGAGCATTTCTAAAACCTGAGGTACAACACATGCAGCAGCTCACCCAAAAAAAACTGATACCAGAGATTAATAAATAATTGTTTTCTTATAATGAGAGGTTTTAAGTCAATGGATGAAAAACACTTCAGAACTCACCCCTATGCTATCTTGTAAAGGTTCTCCCACTGTTATTATGCTTGAAAAGCTGAATTGTGCTCATACAGTACATGACCAGATGCCATAAATGCCTGTTAGTAAACAGTGCAGCGTTTCCCAGTCTGAAGAGCTCATTGGCTACTTGCTGTGCCCATTTTATGGGAGAAGGTCAAACCCTCTCGTACCCTTCTACATAGGCCTTCATAGGAATATCTTGACGTCGGAGCACCCACTCACACATCTTCTCTTCCATCCCTGTCTCACTGGTGAGTAACGCCAATGACACAATTAATCTAATCCAATCATTTACTGTGCATCTCTTAGCATTTGGCCAAACTACTGAAGTACCCTTAGCGAATATTTGCAAAAGAATTTGAAAATACAATCATTTTGGTAGGCTATTAACATGCTCTTTACGGTGTAAGTACCAGTTTGTTCAAGACAGTGTGTAGTGCATATAGATAGATACTTTATTGATCCCGTGAGGGAAATTGCAGAAATTAGGATTATGAAAATATGAATTCAGAAATTAGGGTTTACTGTAAATACATAATAAATCCAGACACCAAAACCCACAAGATTTGAAACAGCACAACTAAAGGTGTTTTAAAAGATAACCCGACTTCAAAGGTGAAAAAGTTAGTCTTGTTTTCGAAAAGGCAGAGCACAGGTCTGCGTAGAACAATGTCCTGCCTCTTGGCCAGTATCACTGTAATTGAAGTTTACAGCCTTGACGATGACGATGCGAGTTCTGGATCCTTTTGTTTGGGAATGACAAAAACCACATGAATCAGACCTGGCAACACTGACTACCTGAGGTTCACAACAGCCCTTAAGGCTGCTTCTACCTTTTTCTCCAGATCTGGCTCCCGGAAGGTCAACAGGAACTTCTTCACATGCTCCGAGCGCAGTCGGTCAATACTCCTCGCATCAATGGCACGGCCCAGGAACTCGTCCACCTCATCTTCTGGATTCATGTTTTCCTGGGTATTTCTGAAAATGAAATGCCTAGATAACACAAGACGTGACGTTTTTTTTAAACCAATGTGGTAACTCTCAGTCGATTCAGGCTGTGTCTTTATTCAATCAGGTGCTTCACCAATTGTTGTGTGCCACTGTCATCGACAAACACTGACAGGTTTATGTCTGATTTTATGTATCAGCCAGGGAAATGATTCACTACGACAGCCAAGCAGAATTAGTCTGATGCTACCTTTTTTGAAAATGAGGAATTCTCAAGGACTGGATTAGGAGTGCGAACAAAGGTTTGTGCTATTCTTAGAGAGCAATCAGTGTGCATATTTGCTTCCTTTTGAAAAAAAAAAGAATGGTGAGCACAGTCTGCTTTTAGTTTTTGCAGATATTAATTTTATCAAAATTATCCTGAGCTGAAAGCACGATTGCTCACCAATACTGAATGTTCTCGTTATTTACAAAAGGAACACAGACATGAGTCCATGGCTACATGACACATAGAAATGCGTTTAAATTCAAATTGACGAATTACAGCTAAGATGTAAAATCGCAGCTGTGACTGACTGATACACGCTCAGAAAATAACCCCAAAATACATGAAGACAGTAGGGTCTCGACATGACATTGGCCAACTCGCTCATTCACAATCCGGGCTGGCCGACAGGGTTCTGCACAGGAGTAGGGTGGGGTGACACTGAGCCAAAGGCTGTAAACCGCAGTTTCCACATGAACTGGGCCACAGCTAGTGAGAGCCTCCCCCTGCCCCTGCGCACGTACCGACTACCCCGCAGCTCGGCCTGGTCCCGTTGGTAAACTGGAACTAGCAGTGCCGGGCCGGTGCTGGCTGCGAGGACAATGACATCCCGGAGACGACCTGACAGGCTCACCTGCGGTTTCATTGCCCCCTTTCACTCCAGTAGAGTACTAGTCACAGAGGCGGGGGGAGAAAATGCAGACACTCACTGGACCCGGAGGATGGATTCAAGCTGTTTATTTTAGCTGATTAATATACGTTTGTGATCACTGTTGTTTTTTGTTTCGTTGATCAATGTTATTTTCACTTCATCTTAAAACCAATGCATTAATGCTTTAATGATCACATAAAGGAGGGTTACTCATACTATATGCAGTAGTACGTCACGCGACAGCATGGGGGTGGGCTTCGTTGTATGCGAATCAGGCTATTTGCGACAGCTCTTTGCAGTGAACCCTCACAAATGTCGAGACCCTACTGCAGTTGGTTAAGGAGGTTATAGTCCACTTTACAGATGAAAGAGGACTATGTAAGGTACCTCTGGTCAACCATTCTTTAATAATTGCATAGCAATGTAATTATTTTAATAAACAATTATTAATGGATACAATGATTGGTGAATCATGCAAATTTCCATATTGACATTTGGGCTTCCTGATGTTCCTGATGAGCCTTTTGATTTAAAACAGTAATCATTTACAATCAAATGACTGATCTCATAAATGGTTTAGTAAGCGTTTTATTAACACTAAAATATTTTTTTTTCTACTTCATTTGAAGATTATTTTTTAAAAAGCACACATGCTTAAACATGCACTTTTTCAGCAGGATTTGGCAATGTTGTATCAGTATCCAGCTTTACAAATCTAAAAGCTTATATATGGAGACATTGTATCTTATTCTCTGCACATTTCTGGCCTTTGTGGTTAGATTTTTAATTCTACGATCTAACACTATAAAATCCTTTGCAAAAGCAACAAGGGAAATCTTAGTTACTGCTTTTTAAGTAAGACTACTTTAAACCAAGGGGTTGAACAATGCTGGTTTTTCCCTGCAGGATAGTATAGCTGCACAGCTATTGTATTTGTATTTCTTTGATCAGATCTCACTAGAAATGGCCCAGAGGTTTTGCTTGGAGGTAGCAGTCCAAGTTTCAATCGCATTCAGGGGAGCAAAGATCTTCAATTTCCCACGTACCAAACTGAATACCAAGACATCTAAGAACTCGTCTCGTATTTACAGAAATCAGGTCGTAAAAGCAGATAGCAAAAGCAAAGATTGCACATTTGTTTTTGTGTGTTTCAAATGCTCTTTTTTATATTTTTCCTTTTTATTAGATTTTTATTTTTTTTTCTGTTCACATTCATAAGGCCAGAAACCCTTCTGATGCCAAACATCTATACTGGCTATATACTTATTTTTAAACATGCTAAAGCTAAAAAGTGCATCGATTGACACAATCTCATGCAGCCCTCATCCAATCTCATGCAGCCCAAATTCCAAACAAGCAGCCTCATACTACTACTACTACACTATTGCTACACTAGAAAGATACCATCACTCCAGCCACATTTCAATTTCACCCGATGGAGGAAGGACTGTAACTGTGAGATTAGCCGTTTTCTTATACACCATGTGCATATTGCTGGCCACGATACACAGCACATTTGGCAATTCAGTTAATGTGCATAATCTCCACAGACCTTTTTCAGCCCATATAGGGGATGACAAGTTCTAATTGATTAGCAGCCATTAGCCTTCAGCATAATTCACATGTGAAACGGAGTGTATTTTACTCACTTGTCCTTGGGATCCTCAAAGCCCTGCAAACAGAGAGAACAAATGCAATCAGTGGTGAAGAGAGAGGGACCTTGACTCCCTCAACCAAAAGACAAAGCACCATGTATGGGATTTTAGTATCTCTATTCACAGTTCAGTTATGTAGTCTTGGCATGAAACAGAAGTCACCTGCTCTGCTTATCATAAATCACTTAAAAGCATCTATTAAGTCTTCCCAAAATCAATGAAGGAAAAAAAGGGACGGAGCGGTGGCTCTGTTGCTCAGGATCTGTGCCTGTGGCTGGAAGGTTGCCGGTTCAAATCCCGCAGCCAGCAGAGGAATCCTACTCCGTTGGGCCCCTGAGCAAGGCTTCAGGGGTGCTGTACAATGGCGGACCCTAGGCTCTGACTCCAGGCTCTCTCCCTGTCTGTGTGTCTCATGGAGAGCAGGCTGGGGTATGTGAAAAGATAATTTCTAATGCAAGAAATTGTAAAGGGTTAATAAAGTGATGATGTTGTTGGTTGTTGTTAAAGGGAGTTGATCAGAATACACGCAAGAAAAACACTTGCAAATCTGTACATATCTTTACAAAAACTATATTTTTCGTTTTACTATGTGTCTAGAACAAACTGCCCTCCTTCGAATATGAACTGTTGATCAGCCCACTTTGAACTTTTGTTCTGATGTTCTGTGCATAAGGGTCTCGGAAACTGCCAGTCGTGGATGAAACGACACACAGCGTTCGTTAAAACTGATTGACTACTGATGCAATACTGCCACCTTCTGGAGCAAAGCAACAGCTGCTAGAGAAATGTCTGCTACAACACTATGCTCAGAAAAGTAAATGAAGACACGAGACCTAACAGTATTTCCTTAAAAGAATAAATAAAAAAGTAAATGAAGCCTATATAATACCAATACATATTTCTATGGTTTGTTTCATTCTGTAGAACAGATTTTTAGAATCTGAAAACACAATCTACTCAGTGCTCAGCATTTTAAAACATTAACCCTCTTCAAATGCAAATACCATATAGTGTAGAACTTTATTCAAGTCCCAAAGATGATTAAATGAAGAAATAGTTCTATAGGACCTAATCTGTCTTCTAATGCAGATAACTGTTATCTGTTCTGAAAGCCCTGTAAATAAACATACTGCATACAGTACAAAACGGTAAAACGCTTTGTGTATATATATATAATTGAAATATCTTTCCACAAAAGCTATGTCCCAAAAACATTTAAATATTCAATACACCATAAGATGAGCTGTTCATGTACCGTAACAACTTCATAGGATCCACAAGTGCTTTGGATTTATACAAAAGGGAAGCTTTAATTCTGTCTGATGAAACAATGCCTATACAGTAACACTAAGCATTTGGTTCATTTATGCAATCTTCTAAACTAGTCTTCTTGGAAATACTCTGTATTTTCACAAAACAACATCAGTGTAATCGGTATGAGAGCACAGCACGTAGGGATGGGCATCTTGCTTCACTGGAGACTGAGAACGACACGCTATCTGTCAACCCAATGGGGTCAAACTGCCTTTTCTGCTGTCTACTCTAGGCGCCTACACAGAAGATCAAACAAGGGCTTGGCTCTGCTGTTTTATTCAGCATAAAGAACACAATGTTTTTATTAAATATTTCCATTCAAAGAGGAAAATAAAAATGTAGAAATGACAACATTAGTGTACATTATGCTGACATGAGCAAGACAGTTTTTGAAAATACTTAGTACTAGTGTATAAAACATGATGGACCTTAACTGTGGTAAACCTGCTGAGAAAACAATGGCATGGAGTTTCCATCCAGTAAGAAATGAAGAATTGTTCTTTTTTTGGAAGACGTTATTAAAAAGGCATGAAAAATCCTCATTTATACTCATACATTGCCAGTTGATCCTCCTCACACAGGATCATGCTGTGTGAGATTGAAAAGATGGAAGAGAAGACAGATCTCAATTACTGTACTGCTACTTGGTGTTTGCAACACAGAAGGTCACATTTGAAGTCCATGTGAGTGCATAACTGCAGCATTTATAGAGATAAACAGAATTGGGTGACTCATCATGTGATTGATTTAAATCAGAAGGAGATGTTTGAGAAAAAAACTCACTCTGCAGCACCTATTTTTGTTTTAGTTCGCCGGAGAATTTTAATGATGTTTTTGCATAATTTTACTTCATTTTATTTGCTGCAGCTTGAATTTACTTATTTTTGTGACCTACACAGATTATGTAAGCGTTCCCACCAACGTGTAGGATCATATCCTCTAGTAAACAAATACTGGACTGAACCGGGAGTCAAACATTTATGATAATTCGCCTTCATTAAAACTCCAAAAATCGAATGATGGGGGGGGAGATTTTAAAAGTGTGCCATCACACAAAATTTTGTTTCAGAGAAAAGGACCTTATTCTGATATTAAAATTTAAACTTGTAAAAGTTCTGCTTTAATAAAGAATATCAATTTCCCTCAATACCTCCTCCGCCTCAAGCACCAACAGTTTGACACCCACGTAAGCTGATCCAGATGTACTCTTCTCCCACACCCTGTGTAAACTCATTAATACCCTTCACTGTGAATGGAAAAGATGTGCAAACGCCAGCCTGAAAGACTATCAGGAAATCGGGTAACTACTGTAAGAGAAGAACAACCATTTTTGTAATGAAATTGTCTGTGTACTCGCCATAATTGACTACTCCTGCTGAGAAAAATACCAAACCCACCAAGTCAAAACAAGGGCTAATTACAGCTTTCAAGGTTGCTGATTAAACCCCAAATGACACCATGCAACATATTCCTGCATTATGTAATCATCCTGTTCTCCGTGGAACTGCAGAGTAAATGGAAAAATAGTCAGATTGAAATCAACCGGAATCGTACCAGTAAGGAGTCGTGTCATAGGGTGTAACTCTTTGCAGCTTCAAAAGACTCTGCGCTGTACGATAAAAGTCATTTTAAAGAACGGGGCTGAAAGTCAGGCCCGGTGCATTTTATAACCACTTTATCCAGTTCAGGGTTGTGGGGGGAGCCGGAGCCTATCCTGGCCAGCAATGGGTACAAGGCAGGGTACACCCTGGATGGGACACCAGTCCATCACAGGGCAACACACAGACACACACACTCACACCAGGGCCAGTTTTCCCAGAAGCCAGCTAACCTATCTGTATGTCTGTGGACTCCAGGAGGAAACTGGAGCACCAAGAGGAAACCCACGCGAACACAGGGAGAACATACAAGCTCCACACAGACAGCACCCCAGGGATTGAACCCAGAGATCCAGCACTGCAATTCAGCAATCCTAACCCACCACCATGGTGCCACCATGACAAAATATGGACAGCCCCACAAAGTGTCTTTCTTTTCACAGTCCTCATTCGGTGAGAGACAGAAATGTGATGATTGATTTCCTTTCTCTGTTGCCATGAGTCTAAGCCTCTCTCTTATTCAGTTCGCACTGCTGTAGGTGGAGAGAACTACTAGTCACGCAAGCATGGGAGGAGGTTATACTGCAGCACAGGACAGACCCTGTTTCTTTCAGAATCATGACTCAGAAAAGGTAAACCAGCAAAAAAAACTACAGCATAGAGAGAAAAACGATTTCCCAAATTTTAGGAATCAATTAATCATCGTATTTATACAGGGCTTTTCATTCCAAGGACCAGAAAGCTATTTACAAATTAGGAGGCTCAATGTAAATACACCATATACAGTACCCCCTGCCCCACTGAAGAGCAGCCCCCCTTGGGTGATACTCGGCAGCCCCACTGCACAGCAGATCAGGGGGAGGAGATTGAAACTGCTCCTCCAGCTGAATTAAGGAGGAACTTTAGGGAGGTCGGGTTGTACAAGCCCAGAGTGGAATTCAGCCAGGAAACCAGGGTGAACTTAATAGACCAAGTCAGGACCTCAGTTAAACATATGGGGGTAAAAGAGCTGCATACCGTATGTTGCTACATGCCAGCAGCCATATCACCCTGCAGCTCACAACTGGCAGCCTACCAAAGGTCAGCAGGTGTGAGCCTGGTCAGTACCTGGAGGGGAGACCTCCTGGGAAAAACTAAGGCCGCTGCTGGAAGAGGTGTTAGTGGGGCCAGCAGGGGGCATTCACCCTGCAGTCTGTGTGGGTCCTAATGCTCCAGTATAATGATGGGGACACTATACTGTAAAAAGGCGCCGTCCTTCAGATGAGATGTAAAACTGAGTTCCTGACTTCCTGTGGACATTAAAAACCACGGTGTTTCTTGAAAAAAAGTCCTGGCCAAATTTCCCCCTGGACTTTACCAATCATGGCCTCCTAATAATCCCCATCTCTTAACTGGCTTCATCACTCTGTTCTCCTCCACACTGAGAGCTGGTGTGTGAGGAGTGTACTGGTGCACTATGGCTGCCGTCACATCATCCAGGTGGGGCTGCACACTGGTGGTGGTGGAGGAGAGTCCCCATTACTTGTAAAGCGCTTTGAGTGGAGTGTCCAGAATAGCGCTACAACAGTGTAAGCAATTATTATTGCTACATATGAATAATTCTGACACTATTGCAGTATTTGGTGTAGTGAATAATAAATACAGCGTTGTTTGTCTTCAACAAAGAAAAAAAATAAAACTGATGAAACTGGTGGCTTTCTGGAGGATTCCTCCTGACTGGATGCTGGTGCAGCAGGTCCTTACCATTCTCTTCATCTCCTTGGAGACCTGGTTAGTGCTCAGGTGGTTGTAGAAGGGTCTGTCTGAGCACCAGTGGGCTGTGTTGTGGCTGACGGAGTTGGTGCGCTGCCTGTTTATCTTCGCGATCATGGCCTTCTCCTCTTTCTGCGACAGAAAACACACTGTTCAAACTGCCAAAGCGAGGACAAAGCTTGAGACCTGATTTTGTATGAGAGTATGGGTGTCAGCCAAATGAAAAAGGTTAGCATTCATCTTGGAAAACATGACCATTTACTCTTTTTAGACTAAGTCACATCACATGCAGCCATTATAGACTCCTAGGCACAAGCGTAAAATCACGAACAAAGACAGTAAAGAACTTGTGCTATTGTAGGTCTTTATGGTTAATTACCATACAATAATGAAGGCAGTCTGCCTTATTCCAAGTGTGTACAAAAGTTGCATGAAAAAACAAAATAAGAGCTCTCCTAATAAATCTTAGTGGATTTGCATTTCGAAATCTATTCCAAAGGTAAGAATGACTGTAGTTCCAGACACATAAAGCAAGATTTTGATTTTGAGTGATACTGAACAGCCAGGTGCTTTGTAATATTGATATCAATTTATCTTTAAGGCTTCTCAACAGATGTCAGTGTAACAGCTTCCAATTGGCTATTATGATCAAGCCAGTCACCGACTAACAAAGTAAAATACCATCCGTGACAGTTATGACATTTGGGGAATGGTCACATCTGTTTTGCTTAACAATGACAGACTCCCTGAAACTGAAGAAACCATTGTTTAAGTCAGTCATAAAGAGGCCACCTTTCTTAAAGTAGAAGAATGAGTAATCACAGTGGCAACCTTCCTTGACTGTGTTTGACTTTCTCATAAACCACTGTTTCAGTGTAAACTGGACCTACACTGAAGCAATTGGAAAAATGACCCTATCACCATGGTTTAGAATGATGCAATTCAGTCCTGAGCAGACGGTAAATGAGCAGTTGTGTTGCACACAAAAGTACACTAGGCAAGATGAGCTAATACCGAGACAAAAACCAAAGACTCTGTTTCACTCATGTTAGGGGTCATAAATCTTTAATTATCAAAACTGCAACTTATGAATTTGAATCATGAGGCAAAATTTGTGATGCGTGGAATGTGTCGATTGGATTAGCCAAGTTCCAGCCAGAGAAAAGACCCCTGCTCTTTCCTGAGTCGTAATTCCTAAAAACAAACAGAAGATCACTGCACATTGTGACAAGAGACCACATTCCCCTCATGAGATTTCAATACAAATCAACAACTCTGAAGAGCGTGAAACAATGACTTCATTCTGGAAATACCCACTCGCTTTTGACTGCACCCAACAATGAGGTAGGTTTCGATGTTGTGTTTCTTCAAGTAGGCATTCCTCTCTCCTCCGAAACCTGGCTCTACGTCATAGTCGCCATTAAGGTAGTTCAGGGTGGCCTTTGTTATATGGATACGCCTAAAATGACAGAAACACAAATGCATTTGCTAAAATACACAATTCATAATGACAGGCCCTAATGAGATTTACATTTTATAGACATGAACAATTAGCCCCGTGTAAATCTAGAGGCTCAAGATGAGGCAGAGGCTTGGCAACAAGCAAAGTGGATCAATGTTATTTAGTCACTTTTTCATGATGCTTTAAAAAACATTAAACGATTTTAGCAGTGTTTTCATGGAGTGTGGTACAGAAATATACAAAATAAAAATTAATGAATAATCTAAAATTAGAGTGCTATCATTTATAATGCGACCTTTAGACTCCTGAAACTGGAGGAGCTTGAGTCCTATAGTGCAGATTTATCATATGATCATAGCTTGAAGCGTGGAATGGCAAATAATTCCATTTTGCTTGGCAACAGCTGATCCTAATGAACTCAGGAATGACTGCAGCTGGGGGAGCCCAGAGGGTTCGACTGTCATCGCTGCCCCCGGCATTTCCTCAGCGTGCTGCTCGTCGACGGCGGACGTGGACAGGGAGGAAGGAACCCACCCGGCTCGGCCTCCTGCCTCCATCTGGTTGGCCAGGGTGACGTCATTGGACCAGACGTCAAACTGCCACTTGCGCAGTCCCAGCACCCCGCAGTGCACGCGCCCGCTGTGGATCCCCACTCGCATGTTCACGTTGACCCCGGTGACCTCCCGCACCAGCCTGCACACAGCACACACGGCAGACAGACAGACAGACAAGGAACTAATGGATCTTCGTTTCGTTGCCATAGAGTCAATAATGCACACACACACACGCTGGATGGACAGCATGCTGAATAGTGAAGGTTTCTTGTTCTTCACACCGCAATTTCTAAGCTACACATACAAACACACACACTTACACACATACGCACACACTCAAGCATACACATCTCTATACACATACGCACACACTCAAGCACACACATACACAAGCCCACACATACAATCACACTCACTTACACACACTCAAGCACACACATACACACACTCAAACACACACAAACACATACATACACAAAATAGACTAACCTAAATGACATAACCTAGTCTTACAATAAAGGCAGTCTTGTGGAGCCACCTACCTAGATAAGAAAGATCAGAATGTTCTGTCTCCCACTACTAACACGCTGATAAATGACAAAAAAAAGTTCAATAGTATCAACATTCACTATCTGACTTCTCTTTTATCCTCTCAGTATGAATAAGCGAAAGGCTGCCATTGACCATCATAAAGAACACTCAGTCCTGCTACTGTTCTGATTCTAAAGCCAATCTGTGAAAGGAGCTCTTCGTAAGGACAGTCTGAACTTTTCATTCCCCCATTTCATAACTGAGAAAGAATCTAAAACTAAAAGGGCATATCAATATGCTCATTTTTTTCTTACTTAACCCTCTTTGAATGCCAAACACAAATAACCCTTAAAAAGTGCCAATTACATTTACGTGGCCTAAACTTTTAATGTATTCCCCGCCACAGGCAATGCTTATGCTTTTAATTAAAACTCTGTAGCTACCAATTTACAAATGGTCTCCAAACTTCCAAACAATTAATATTACTAAAGAAAAGATCATGTTCAGACATTATTATATGTGATCTATAGAGATTGTCTTCATTTCTAACGTCACAAAATTGAACTTGATGTTTTCTCTGGACGTGTTTCACTGTGCAAGATCCAATTAACAGACCCTCGGCTTGCAGAAATAAATGTTCTGAGATTGCTGACTGAAATCAGAGCATGTTTGCTTGTCAGCGTTGCATAGTTAGGAGTGGGCTTAAGTAGCAGGGAGACAGGAGTACAATAAATGTTATACTGGAGACCAGTGATGTTCTCTGGCACCAGGAATGCAGAAGTCCAGGACTGGAAAGCTGCAGCATTGGCACGGTTTCATCCGTGAACTGAGGTCTTAACTGCCTAATAGAACTTGAGCTAGTTTAACTCCTTCCCCGGGTAATTTCCAATCAATATGTAAAGAACTATGGAACCCCTTCTGGACTCTGGCCCTTCACAACTGGAGAACTGCCCCCATCAGGCTCAGCAGAACTCCAGTCAACTTTCTGTCCAGTTAAGTACAACTTCTTGTAGGTTTTCTGTCACTTTCTTAATTTCTATAGAGCTGAAGAGTTTAAGAAGAGTGACAAGTAGTGAACTGCCTTTGTGTCAGCAGAAAACACTGACAACATGTTTGGAAAAACAAGGTGAGAGCAAAAACTGGTAAAACCCTGTGTGCTTCAACCTTCCTGTGAATATGCACGAGCAAGCAATTGCATTGGCCATCAGATCTGATCTGGGGTGGAAGCAGAAATCATGCCTGTATGGTAATCATGAGAGGAAACAGGTCCTCCAGCATTTAATTTGCCAGCGTTTTTTTTTTTTGCTGCAGTTGAATCAATACGACTCATTTTTTTTCAATGCCTCATAGCAGTCAGCACTGTAAATGCGCAAGAACACAGTGGACTATCCCCACGGTTCTAAATAGACTTGTCCCAATCCCGTATCTCTGCACGCTTCCCCATGGTTTGGATCGTCTTTCGCCATTTCCCTGTGCTTCATCCTGCTTTGCTACAATTTATTCTGCTTTTGCCATGGCACGTCACCCAGGCGGGGGAGCACCTGAACAAGCATACTGATTTCTCTGCGCGCCAGCCACACCCCACACACACTCACGAGATGGCCTCGATCATGTCCACGCCCATCTCCACGCAGCAGTGGGCGTGGTCGGCTCGGGCCTCGGGCAGCCCGGACACGCAGTAGTAGCAGTCGCCCAGGATTTTGATACGTAAGCAGTGGTTCTCCTGATGGCAGAGAAAGGGGGGAGAGAAGAGGAGGAATGAGAAATGTAAACGTAACCTCATGCCGCAGAGCCATGAGAAAATGATTAACCCAGACTAAAATAGTGGCTGGCACTACCATCTCTTCAAGGAGATTCATTCATACAGGAGCACCTTCTGCGCATGAGCCTGTCTTAACTTTACACAGTCATTTCAGGAATCGAATATGGTTTTACAGTGACCATATCCTGCATTTACTTTGCCATGGCTTTCCATAAACTTCTTCTTACTTCACCATATGTCTCTAAACTACTTACTATTTACTGCTCTTACCATGACTTCTCTGTCTCTGCTGACACCACGGTACAACACACAAGTTTTATAAAGGCACCTTTATGAAGGGAATGTACTGTAGCTCGGGTACATACCATTCCCAACATGATCAGCCCCCAGTCTAGCAGACTTGAGAGCTCACCTTTAAATCAACAATTTGCCCACTCGAGTTGTGATCAATTTAGCGAGTTATTATGCTCAATTTCATCAGCGATGGCCACCTGTGGTCACTGGAAGCAACAGGGTATTGGCATTTTCATTCCAGTGATCTGTAAACTGCTTAGCTGAACAATTACCTGCATCATTGGTCAAAACTATATTGCAGCAAGTGTCTAGAAATTGATGATTTAATGGTGACACATAGAACCTGCTGGACTATTGCTGTCTTGGATTCCCTTGCTGTCACTAATCTTATCCAGATGAGCTTCAGATAAGGCATTTAATTTAGAGAGGCAGACTACTAAAAAAGAAACAACCAGGGAATGCTACAGATAGGGTTTCATCAACCCTGATATGGTACAGATGTATTTTCTGCTCTGTTTTGAATCAAACTCTGTTTCAGATATAACGCAGAGGCCAGTAACAGACATTATCGAGAAACTGGTTGTTGGCAGATTCAGGCAAGTATGTTTAAGGCTCTTTTCAACTCAAAAAGCAATGTACGGACAGAACAAGTCCTGAGGCATTCTGGGAATGCCAAGAGATTGGGATCTCTTAGATCAATGAGAAAGCCAGGCAGCCAAGAATAAAAGTTCTTGTCCAAAAGGGTCTGAATTTATTATAAATAGTGCAATAGACTTATTGTTCCCACTCATTATAAGCAGAAATCAATTTAAAAATACAATTAATCTGTAACAGTATTACTGAAATACTATTCCACAAATATTCAATAAAGATTCAGTCCTACTGTAGGTCCTAGTGTTAAAATTATTTCAGGCACTAATTTCCAGCAGTTTAGAGGACAAATATTACATTCGATAGACTTGGAATTAATCTTGCTGGGTCAATGTGTCACACAGAAAGTAACTTTCCATCTACTCAGAATAGTTTTATGCTCTTTGGTTTGTACAAAGAGAGAGATGTTTCTGCCTTGTGTACACTGTATTTTATAATATAGAACATTTTTGCCAAAACGAGCAAACCACCAGATGACTGTATCTGAAGCTGGGCTGAGAATTCTCTAACGCTGTGCTCAATGTCAGATCCATTAATTGGAAGGTTGTTGTCTACAAGGATTGCTTTTTTTCCCAAGGCCAACACAAGAACAAGGCTGGTCTCATGGTTGTCTCCTGAATGTTATATTGCCACAGGCCTCGTCTTGAGAACGAGCCCCTCACAATCGTTGCTGTGAAGCGCTGGATTGAACGGAAATTAAGATCAGCTCACATGAGAGAGTGTAGAGACATCGGCCAGGTGGTGAAATACCAGCATCAGAAACAATGGATATTTATACCCTTTACCACACCAAAAGAGCTGGTAAGAAGCTACGATAACTCATCAGGGAATTGGGAAATAATGAGACAGAGGAAATACATGAGAAGATCTTTGTCTTGTGATAATGAGATAAATAAGCTCAGGAGTTCAAAGACGGAATCTGATGTCTCATTATTAAAAAAACACATCCTGGTACAGTATTTCCGCCTCAGAAATTAATTAACAGGAACACTGGCCATACAGTAATAAACATGCTACTCTGCACTGGGAAAATGATACCAGCTCTTTAAGGAATAGTTTCCATCATTTGCAATGTCCCTGGTAGAATGAAATTCTTGTGAGTTTCACATCACACAGCATTTTGTTCAATTAACCCATCTTCTTTTACCTTCAGCGTCTCATCTGTCACCTTCACAGCCAATTCCAGTAAAATCACCTTCGGACCATCCAAATCACCTTCTGACAGTATCCATCAGGGAAAATACAGGTTGATATACCCGAAAACCCATTATAACTCTTTACTGCACTGTTTTTAAAGGTATAAAGCACTGACTACAATGTTAAAATATTAAACTCTATAAGTGTATTTGTTTAAAAAGTCCGTAATCACTACTGGTGTAAGGTACATAACTACCTGTAAATAGTGAGGCTACTTGGACAACAATATCCTACATTAACGTCTTCTCAAGCCTACCATTTACACCCCTTCCCTGTGCAAATCCCTGTCTTCAAATTCAGAGAAAGCATGCGGGACATTGGAGAAACAAAAGACAAATACCGCAGCTAGTTTGTCGAATCTGGCAAACAGCTCATTCAGAGTCATAACCAGCTCCTGGGCAGTGCACTGTGAAGCCAGACTGGTAAACCCCTCAATGTCTGCAAAGAGGATGCTGCAACAAAAAGATAAGAACAGATAGAGAGTTAGAGTGACCCCATAGGCAGGATCTACAGCGTAGTAACAGACAAAGAAAGTTAAAAATATAAGCACAGGCAATGTGACAAACAAGAGGAGGCCTTTCACACCATCCAGCCCGTTTGGTAGAAATTAATCCATTCTTGAAAGATGCCAGGGTATTCTCTTCAGCCACATGGCTGGGTAGCTTGTTCCTGACTCCAGTAGCCCTATTCATAAGGAAGCGTCTCCTGTTTTCTGTTTTAACTGCACTTCCACAGTGTTTCCACTTGTGTCCTCTAGGTTTGGTGGTGTGAACAAATATTTAGCTATGAACATTGCATGATATCTCAGTAACCGCACCCAACAACAAATAAAAGAAACATTTCTTTTTCAGTCTATGGTAAATGTGCATATAATAATGTACCTAAGTTTTTTTTTTTGTATGTATTTATCCAAAACAGAAAAACACTTTGTAAGTCTGGATTAAATCACAATCTTGGCCTGCCTGTCTTGCAAATTACAAACCCAGTACTTCATGCTGGTATTTTGCTGACTAAAGGCTTCCTGCTTCATCCAATTGGAAACCTGCCATTATGTACAGGGTTTATAGTCTGCAATTTGCAATTAGTTGATGGGCTGACAGTCTGATGTAAACTTGCTTGCCAGTTAGGGCCTGAGAAAAACCTACAAGATGAAATCCTTGCTAATGAACAAATAACAGTGTTCAGCTTTATCTGAAGCATTGGTCAACAATCTAAGAACTAGACAGATTTGTGGAAATATAACATACAAAAATGGGAATATGAAGTCATATTAATCATATTAAAAATCATTCCTTTATCCTGTTCGCAGTATACATGTAGTCCCGAGATGAAAATCGACAAAAACTGCAACATGAAAAGCAGGGTCTGTTATGATCAAAGGGGCATTTCTTGCTTATGCAAGAGTCTGGTGTTAACAGGTACAAAAGACAAGCAAAACCTAAGCAAATCACCAACAAACGAGCCAAGGAAAACAGTGCACGGAGAAACTGGAAACCCTTTCCAGTGGAAATGGGAGACTTTGCTATAGCATTGTTTCTGTTATGGCCGCTGTCCTGCGGTATCCCTCGGCTAGTGGTGGCCCCAGGAAACCATCACATTCTCACGGGGCTGAAGATCTAACCAGATCACGGGGGTTTGCTGCTCTAACCAGGTCTCCTCCTGGTGATCGGCCTTAATTGGTCATGATCAAATCTATTATCCAATTGCTGTTTCTCTATTGAATGCTGAGGCGCCTCTTCGACGGCGCTTCGCCATTATTCATTCCACCCCGTCCCAGGGGCACTACTGTCTCCTCTCTCTCTCCTCAGTTTTCTAGTCTTTTGGGCTGTAGCTCTGGCGAGCTGAAACCTCTGCAGCCTCCCCGTGTAGCTACTGTATGTTGTCCTGGGATGCGACACTGACAGAATGTCCTTCTGCTTCTGGGAGCTCGGCAGCAGGAATCTGCTCCTCGTGGCCGAGTGAGCGACACCGCCAGACCAGTGGCTTCCCGACCCCAGTCGACAGGCTGAGCACCCAGGTTTCTGTTCTTTCGCTGAACAAGCTAAAGCCTTCTCTCTCCCTGTGCTGCAGCTTCAAGTCTTCTCCTCTCCCTGCACAGCAGCCTCAGCTTCAAGTCTTCACTCTGCTCTGAGCAGCAGCCTCAGCTTCAAGTCTTCACTCTGCTCTGAGCAGCAGCCTCAGGTTCAAGTCTTCTCCTCTCCCTGCACAGCAGCCTCAGCTTCATGTCTTCACTTTGCCCTGCAGCCCCAGTTTTGGGCTTTGCTCTGGAGCCCTGGACTCTGTCCCGCTGGCCTCCTTCTCCTGCGTTTCCGCCCCAAAGCTTCACTAGGCAGCTCCACTCCAAGCTCTACAGAGAGTCCTGCCTTTGTGATTTAGTCTCGTCTCCAACTGCCCTCATTCCTGCCGCCTTTCTGGCTTCTCTCTGAGGCACCTTTTTCTCCAGACTCTTATTTTTTCTCTCACTTCCTGTTTCTCGGGCTGTCTGGGTCACTTTTCCCTTTCTTGTTTCGTTCTTTTTTTCCTTGCCACCGTCCAGAGCCCCAGTTGGAGCCCTCTCCTTATGGACAGTAGTGAGTTGATCTATTATTGCCTCCCTTCACTTTCCCTTTCCGTCTGTCCTGGAGCACTTGAGCCCCAGTCAGTCAAGTCTCTTCGGGTGTTCCGCTACTCTCTGGTCCCTTGCACTTGGGTTCTGACAAATCACCACCTGCCTCTCGGCATCCAGCCATGTCATAACATTTTCATGTATCTCTGAGACAAACATTTCATAACAGTAAAACCAGACAGAATCTCCTCTTCTTTTTATATACCTGCATTTTCCCCTGTGTGTCTCAATAGTGTCTCTCTGCCATTACAACTAAACAGTTAAAAGGCAACCAGGCAAGGCTGTAGAATTCAGGGGAAGAAAGTGTATCTAGACACTGAGCTTCCAAAAACAGGTGTGACAGAGACTCTCTCCAGCCCTAACTCATGTCGTTCAGAATGAAGGAGACTCCCCATTGAAAATAACTTTAGTTAATGACTGAAATATCTGGTGTCTACAGGAAGTAATTGATTTTTTAGTAAGATTAGTTTTAACGGTGGCATCTGAGAATTTGCAGATGCACTGCATTTGGCCAGGGCAGGTGAAGGTCATATTCTGTTTGTCTACAATGATGAAACAGAGCTGTGAAAGCCTCATGATGGGCGAGATGCACTTTAATCCATCTCAATGTGGATCGCATACTGTAATTCTCTCCTACTGGTACATGTCAAACATCAATACTGCTGACCGGCTCCACGTGGCCCTGGGTGACCAAAACACAACACAGACATGAACTTACATTAAGTGGAACCTGTACTCATTGATAACTGGGAATGAATCTCCATGTGTTATTAGCGGGTAGGAAATAAAGCTCATTCCTACAAAGAATGAAGAAAGCAGCTACAATTTCTGACTTTGTCAGCTTCGGTCTCCTCAAGACTCAAATCACTGAAAAAGTTCTTCAAGCAGGAAACGTTTCCAAATTTACAGTCAATAAAAAAGGCTTTGAATTGTGTGCTCAGAGCAAATTTAAGCACTTTGATCTGTAGAAAATGTTTCCCGCTTGAAAAAATGAGGGGAACTGAAGCAAATTTCAAAGGCCTTGATGAAGTCAACCCACTTCTTCGGAGGACTTCTTCAGAGTCATGGGAACAGTTATATAGTGGGAAGTGTGGGTCAGCACAAGATGCATGTCCTTAGACAAAAGGTTGCAGGAGTCTGGAACAAGTTACCCATCCATGCTGTTGAAACGGACACCTGTGATTCTTTCAAGTAGCTGCACAGATTTCTCACACCAATTAGCTTCTGTGTGCAGTACCAGCTGAGCTCACTCCTATATCTCCTTTGTCCTTAGTGCTTGGTAAACAAAATTAAACATTCAGGTTACTGGGGCAAAAAAGAAAATCCTGTAGAAAGTCTTCATTGTGGTTCCTCTTTATTTCTGTCATACTATCCAGTTAACTGAGAATGTATTTTTTTTCTCAATATTTCAATTCTGTTTTTTTAATTAACATGATGCATCTAATAGGGCTGTTTCCCAGACTACAGAAAAACTGTGGAATGAGGTAATTAGTATACCAAGAAGAATTCAATGGATTTCTAGCTCTTATAATGAGTTAGGGCTGATGTATACACTTCTTTGTACCAAGTGACATTTCAATTTAAGTAATATAACACCGGGGATGTTAATAGAACGATGCTTCTACAATAAGAGTGAACAGGGTCAACTTTGCATCACGTTACTTCAAACAGATTAAGAGAGGATGATAAGATTGTAACATTTCTATTTTAAAAGCATAATAAAGAACACTTATGGCTTGATGAATTTTTACTTTAAATGTCTATTTTCAACATACTACTCAATATTGTAGCACCTCCGTTTCTTGCATATTGGTGACATACGTTTGATGCCAATTACACCTTCCTGTTCCTATTCAGTATTTCCAAGAAAGTTAATAAACATTAAAGGCTGAAACCAGAGAAAATACCCAGGAAGCTGCAGACTGATTAAGCTGTTCTGTCATCAATCACAATTGAAATCTTTGTAGATAGTCAAGAAGGAGACTGATTTTCATTTCCTTGTTTCAGCGCAGCCAGAGAAACAGCACATTGTTGCTGCTCCATGGTTACGAGTCTGCCCACGTAAGAGAACACTTTTGATTTTGGAGCAGGAAGAGCTCCTGTCATCACTCTCAGGAGATATGCAATGCACTGAAATTGAAATTTTAAAAGTCAAAAGTCCTAATATATTGGTTTGGTACTGCTTATCATTGAATTGATATTCTTTAATATTGTGATATGTCAATAAAATATTAAATAAAGTTTTAAAAAGTCATCATAAATATCCACCTCACTTGTTTCCCCTTTTAAATTCAGTTGTTTGGAAGAATTACTAGTTACAAATGCCTGATAAGATACAGTACATTTCTAATTATATTATCCAACTTGAAATGCCAATGTTTAGATTATATTTAGATACATAATGTTAGTTGATGAAAACAGAACCATTTTCGTGAAACCCTACATGTAATTTTAAGGTTTCTGACAACAGGGGAGTTAAAAGCTCTGCACATATTCTCTCAGCAAAAACATATATTATTCTCAGGAGCCCAGCCACTACTGACACTGCTGAAAAAGACATCAAGAGGGCTATGAATAGTCTGTTGGGCTGGTGCTTTAAAATAGTCAGACTCCCTTGTTTGTACCATCCTATCAGGTCATTTACAAAGGCATTGACAACCAACAAGTTATAGAAAGGAGCACTGTGATGATGATGACAATGACCATGAAGATGAAGAAGACAAAGATGATGATGGGAAGCTGTAGTGGTTCTGGTCAAGAGATTGTGTCTTTCCAGGTGGATGGCACCGTACTTTGAGAGAATGCATTGTACTAGACTCTAAAGAGCAAATTAAGAGTCTGAACAGT